CTAGTGACAGACCTTGCAAGTGGACTTCTCGTGGAAAAGAAACCAATGATAATAATATACAACGTTCCAACCAGTCTCAATTTTGAGATAACAGAACTTGGAAGGCGAAAGGATAAGTTCCAAGAAGAAGGTGAGGCTCTCACACGAAGCTGGAAATAAAAATGCTGAAACCGTCAATGTACTCGAGGTTACGCCAAGCATCAAGGAAACACTACTTAAAGACAAATTTTCAATTATCAAATAAATATTATTTTCTCAAATAATCAATTCTTCAATTTGTTGTTTCCTAATTATTTCCATAGTTTCAAATTCCTTTAATTGACCAAATAAGCTGTTAACTAAAATCCATTATTTGCCAAATACCAAAGAACATTATTTCAAAAATTTATAAGTTATTATTCGAAATAAATTTTTCCCAGATCTGCATCAGAATGATCAGGATTTTCTCCAACTAACTTCTCCTTTCTGTATTTTCCTTGTACATTGACGCATCTATGCATCACTTTAGATAAAACTAGAAAAGATAGTAGACTTGCTAGATTCAGGCTATGTACACAGGCATAGGCTGCCCACTATCGATTAGTTCCTTATAGCAAGAGTCTTATTTCTATTATAGCCGGTCACCAGATATGACGACCAGCAATAGATAATAAACTACTATGAAGAACGAAGATACACCGACATACCTTTTTTGAATATCTTTCTCCTTTATGCATTTTCAGTATATCATTTCTTCATCCTATTTTTGTAATTGCTAAAACACACCCCCCACAATAGTAATAGCCATAACTTTTTTCTGGAAACACCTAACGACAAATAGGAAAATATAGTCTCAAGTTTATATAGTTTCTACTCGCCAGTCTGCTTCAGACAGCATCCACTCGGCAACAGTTATCATTGTTATTTTCATTGTTTTTATTTGTTATTTGTTTATTTGATATGTTCGTGCAACAAGCAAACGAATTTTCTGCTTTTTCTCTTGTGGAAGATTATCACAACGATGTTGAATAAATATTATTTTTTTATAAACCACGATGCTGTTATATATTATATTTTCCTATATGTACATTTAAAATGCGAATATTACACACAACACGCACGTATAGCGATAAATGTTCAACCATCAGTGTATCATACATTTCTGCGGAAAAAATTCTAATCTATTATATTTCAATTCTACTGAAATTCATAATTATAAAACTCAGTTAATTAAATCATTCAATACTATTATAAAAGGGAAGAGAAATTGCAAATTATTAATTATTATAACAATTATTAATTAAAACCTATAACAAAATATATCACCAGTATCAGCAAGTAATATGCATCTTTCATGAAGTCGGAGGATATCAGTCTTCTCTATTATGAAATGCTCAAATAAAATTGTTTCAATAATAATTATTTATAATTTATCTATTCATATGGATATTTTATTTTTGCAAACATTTATATTAAATATATTTTGATTTTATAAGTACTATAAATGTATATATTCTAATTGTTAAAATCGCGATGTGCAAAAAACTATTTTGATCCCTATTCTGATCTAATACATAAAAAACTTGAAAAACTTGAAAAAAAACTTGAAAAAAATGGTACTACTCACGGGTACAAAAAATACCCGCGGCCACTATGCTCATCAAAAATTCTACGTATACAACTAACCAGCCGTGCCAATTCGGACCTTTCATCCTACGATATGATTGAGTGACCAGAGGAACAAAAATGCATGCGACTCACTGCGAAGAACGATATCATCTGCACTGGACCAAGAAAAATCATCGTGAAGATCTTCATCAAACAGATATCACTGAAAATCCCATGATGGAAGTGAACGCCGTGAAAAATTTCTTGAAAAGTTATTTGTGAAAATTTAAATAATGATAAAAATTGGGACTCTAATAATTTGAAATGTTTTTCTTTTATAGCTATAATTTTACATTAGACTTCAATGGAAAGAGAACTGTAGAGAATAGAATTAATTCAAGTACAGTCTGCTAGAATACTTACCTTGTGCTTCTGAAGCATCGTAAGATTTTTAGAGGAATAAGGGGAATTGGAGATTGTAAAGAATCTGTAATAAAACATAAAATATTAGAATTTATATTTAAAAACAAAGCAGAAGTTCTTAAGAGATAATGAAACATCTTACATTCTTGGTTTTGGAGCCACCGTTAAATTTTCCTCAAAATATTTCAAAAAGTTAATATTGTGAAGCATCTGTAACAAAACGTCAAACATTATACTTTGTTGTCAAATTTGAAACATGAGTAGATTGAAGTACAATATATGAAATTACTTACGATCATGATCTCCTGGAGAGGCCTTACCGCGTTGAGCACTGATTCTAATATACTGAAATCGAATGTTAAATAAAAAAAAATGTAAAAAAAGAAAAATAAAAAACTATTAACGCGCGCGTTTAAATAACAATCGGCGGACTCACTGACTCTAACTTCGTGAATTATAAGTTAAATGAATTAATAATCTAATTTAATTTAATAAGAGCCATTTTGCTTGGAAAAATATTAAAATATTGCGCAACAAACACTGACTCTACTGACTGCATTGCGCGCAATGAAAAATTTTCTGAAAATAAGGCTGATTAAGGGGAAGGGCAAAGAATACGTTCATTTAAAGAATATTGCTATCTTTCTAAAAAATGATTATAAATTTGCATATGCATTAAAGATAGTTAGAAATTATAAAATATTTCCCAATATTTGCAGAAATATTTGTAGAAATTGTATTCTGAATGTTCATTGTTAAAGTGAAGTATGCACATTAGTAATATGTTATATCGTATATTATAAATATTCAAAAATGTTTGCATAACTCAAAATTTCGTAGCTCAATACATAAATATAGCATTTAAAAAATCATACATGTGTGAAATCTTGCTTTGAATCGTTTAATTGCGCATTAGCATTCGGAAAAAGTATATTGTAGTAAAAATATGAAAATTTTGAATTTAATAATCTAATACAAAAATATATATAAAAGTATATACCATTAAGTTACTACGATCTCCATATTTGAAATAAAATATTAATCAATTTAATCTGTTCCATTTTAATCCTTGTATCCCATATAATTACGAAATTACATATTGTGAATTGTATATCAAATATACATAATTATACATTTATACATTCTAGGTAACAAATGTTACGCAGAATGAATAAAATGTTACCAACTTTTCGTGAAAGTTCATCAGATTATTCATTAATGATCGTGACGTCTATGCATTCTATGCTATCTTTGCAACCAAGCAATAACCTGCACAAAAAGAAACCAAAAGTTAGAACAAATATGTCAAATGAAGGCAAATATGTAAAAGTGAAACCATAATCAACTTCAAATTCTATTAAAAAAGCGTTCGAAAGTACGAAACAAGCTACCGGTAACCGTAAGAGTGAAATCAATGATCGAAAAAAAATCAGCATGAGAAGCTCCAAAATCTTAGTCTATTTCGTTAGCTTGACGCTCAATGAATCGTCAAACACACGCGTATTAATTAAATGATATTATTAATGAGATATAAATGAAAATAAAAAAGTGTCGAAGAAACGATGCCATCTAAGTCAAAAATGTACGTTTTATTTTAAAAATACACAACACAAATGCAAATCTAACAACTATTGATTTAAATTTTTACCTGAGAACTTCTGAATGATACTTCTTTCTGGATGATTCTTCTGGATAATACTTTGTTCTTTACAGACGAGATGTGCTTCCTTCCGCCATTCTCTTCGCTTAAAAATCGATCATGAGAAATATCGATTGAGTTCAAGAATCGTAGGAAGTATATTGCCTATTTCACCGTTGAAGCGCTTAATTTGGTATAAAAAAAAAAATTCTGGTCTAAATCAAATACACAAAATTCATGAGACATTTTTAAAAAAGAACGAAAATATTCATATACTAGATAAAAAATTGTCTTAAAATACTTTAAATTGTTATAATTTCGTGAAAAAAATTTGTAGAGCAATTAACTTGATTTTATTTTAAAGAATAGAGTCTCCACTTTAACAATCTTGGGTTTATTTCGTTCAAAGATATTTATTTTTACATCGTGCAACAAGTGTAAAAATAAAAATGTTTCTGCTCAAAACATCTCACGGAAGAGAAGTTTTCCATCACTGAACAACTTTTTTATGATCAGATCAATCATGATCTTAAAAATTGAAACCTCTTTAAATTGAGCCTTTAAAACTGCAAGTCATTGCAAATAACATTGTCTTAACAAATAACTTCAAAATTTCAAAAACGGATGATCTGCAAAAAATAATTACCACAATATAACTTTATTTGTGGAACCAAATATATATATAACCAAACAATATTTATGGGAACATTTCTTTGATACTTCCAAGCTTTTATAAAATCGAGTTTATAAGATTCACTCAAACTCTGAAGTTACACACTAAATAAGTAAAAAACATCATATCTAATTCATATCTAATTATGTTGTTAAAAACTATATTTCAATCATTTTTTCTAATATCTTTAAATAGATGTAAATAATCAAATATATAATGAATTTTTCATCTCAATTTCCATCTAAATCGTTATATTCCTTTATTGATGAAGTATCACTACGTTCAATTCAATAAATAATTCTCGAAAGAGACTGGCAATACTGTCCATATTTTTTTATTTCAATTCTCACCACTAGCAGTGCTGCAGTACAAAACTTGTCTGAATCGGTACGATAGGATGTAACACGAAAATGGTAATAAGATATTGAGCAAAAACCGAAAAAATACATCGTATGCAATGTCTATTCACATACCTCGTTGTGGCAATGTTTATTTATGTACCTCAGGAATGGCAATATCTATTCATATATCTTGTCTATGCCTCGTCTATGCCTCGTCTATGATCTCGTCTATAATTTTACATGGAGTCGGTAACATCGCATGTGACATGAAAACATGAATCATTGATGAAAATGAATATATGTACATCGGTAAGATTGAAAGTGACATAACCATAGTAAGAAGATTGGTGTACCTCTAATCTTTGTTGTGGTGTTGCACAATTCAATGTCACTTCATTCTTTCTATTACGTTTATCTCATACATTATTTGTATTTGATTTTTGTACATATGCTACAGTGATGCAGTTTTATTTGGTTTGAAGTTTGTAAGATAGATTTATTAAAATCAACGTATTGATTACATGAAACTTAAAACTAAATTAATATTTGGTCTGTATCTTCAACGAAAAATACGTTGAATCAACCTTCAATTTACTTATCATTTAATATTATTGAAGTATTTACATATATAATTATGTGACATAATAAATTTATTCTTTTTTTATTTATTTATTATATACATTCAATACATTAGTAATTCTAATAAATTTTACAAGTGATTTCTTATAACAAAAATTTGTCGAATTAAATCACAATTTACGATCATAAAATATATTTGCCGTGTTTTATTTTCATAGTGTTAAGTTTATTATTTTCTGAATTTGCATATGAAATGGCCTGGTCTGGAAGATTTCATGCAAAAAGCAATAATGATCTTATACAATATCTTAAATGTAAGTGATATAAATATTTTGTAGCTATATGTATATTATAGACATACATATACATATATTACATATATCGTATACATTATATATATATATATATCTTTTTAATTTAGCATCAAGAATAATTAAATCAGATAAAGTTTACGAAGCAATGTCTTCTGTAGATAGAGGAAATTATACCCGTTCTGGCTATGCATATATAGATTCTCCTCAGGATATTGGCTATGGTGCAACTATAAGTGCTCCTCATATGGTATATATCTTATGAATTTATGAATTAAAATATAATATATAAAATATATCAATGATATATTATATTGATTAATTGAAATTATTCAGCATGCATATGCTTTGGAAATACTTGAAGATAAATTACATGATGGCGCTAGAGCATTAGATGTTGGTTCTGGTTCTGGATATTTAACAGCATGTATGGCAATGATGTTAGGCTCAAACGGGTTAGCTATAGGTGTTGAACATATTCCTGAACTTAAAGCATTTGCTATGCAAAATATTCAAAAAGATAACCCAGAACTTCTTGAAAGTGGACGCATTCAATTAGTTGGTAATAATTTTTTAAATTTTCTATATAATAATATAGATTTGTATACTTTGTAGAAAAGTATGCAATGTTCTATATTTATATATTCTAATATTTATATATGACATTTTAGTTGGAGATGGACGATTAGGCTATCCAGAAAAAGCACCATATGATGCTATTCATGTGGGAGCTGCTGCTAAAGAAATGCCTCAAGCTGTAAGAAAAAACTTTAGTTAATGTTATATAAGAATTTATTATACTCACTAAAACTACTTTTTATATAGTTAATTGATCAATTAGCTCCTGGTGGGCGCTTAGTATTACCAGTGGGCCCAAGAAACTCGGATCAAGTATTAGTACAAGTTGACAAAATGAGAGATGGAAAAATTAAAAAAACGACTCTTACAGGTGTAGTTTTTGTCCCATTAACAAGTAAAGACAAACAATATCCTTCATGAAATACATGTATGCTCCAATAAGTGAGCAGATTTTTTTCTGTGAATTAAATGTAAACGGTAAATAAAGCTTATTTTATAGTTCTAATATATATATACAAGTGCTTACAAATCAAATTAAAAATAAAATATTCAAGATATTTCAAATTATATATAATAATCATAATTATAAATATCCGTAAAATATAGATGTTATTAATATTATTATATACATATATAATAATAGATATTATGTAGATACACATTAAGAATTTAATAACACATTAATAGTGAATTTAACTATATCTTTTTATTTTTAATATTTATTATTTAAAATCAAATTTTATTACAATTTCAGTTTTAATAAAGATTAAAAGATTTATCATAATTAATTGCATTTTGATTTCTTACAAATACATTAAGTATATACCTGATTACAAATTTTCTTATAATTAATTAAGTTTTTACATGCTATTATATATTTTAGATTCATTATATGTAATTATTTCCATTTTATACATAATTTCATATATTTATGAAATTTTATTATTTAAATACTTAAAGAAATGCCTCAAAAATAATTTACAATAGTGTATCAAATATTACATTCATAAATTTTGTCACAAAGTATAAAATAAAATTTGATTTGATTCAACATTGTCATTTCTTCTTAAATATAGGGGCAGTGAGATGAAAGTTTATTTATATTTATTTATTTCTTTTGTCCAAATTATATGATTAAAGTGCTTTAACCATGAACAGACTGAATGCAGAACCTGATATCAATCCCATGCCAAGAAAAGCTCCTATCATAATAGATGCGATTTCTTTCTCTTGAGAATCTACAACCCTGTTTAAAGATTTTTAGTACAAAACTAATAAAAATTTATTGAAAGAATATCTATATATAATAACTTACGTAGGAGTTAAAATAAATGATAGATTACATAGATAACCATTACTAATGGCAAATGCAATAGTTATTAAAATATAATAAAGATCGCTATGAATATAAACGGAAAGATGATGTCGGGGCTGAGCATTACAAAATATAAAAGCTGGTATAAAGATGACTCTCATTAGACTTAAAAGCACGACTTGCCACGGTTTATTTTTTGGCTAAAATATGAATTTGAATATTATTATAATAACAAAAAATTAAAGTTCTAATATTTTTTATACACACCCATTGAAAAATGCCTGATAATATTCTGCCAGTATAATCACCACAACTAAAAATAAGGTAGGTCACCACAGGTACAAAATAGATATCTAAAAAACAAAAAATATAAAAATTTTGTAAAATTTTTCATATTAAATTCAATAAAGCTTACCATTCCACGCATACCCTTTGCCTTTACATTGACTTTCCACTAACACAGTAAGTGCTGGATATACAGAAAAGGATATAAAAAATACTAAAAATACATTAATACCATAATGCCAAATTCTTTTAATAATACGTGTATAAGATATTGTAGTCCCTTGAGGAAAAGTTACTTCTCCAGTTATTGAATAATCTGCTTCTACATTTTCAGGTAATTTTTCTACCATATGATGTTTAAAAAATGCCTATCAACAAAGTAAATGATATATATTAATATATATTATATTCAAGTCTTGTCTTCAATTTATAACAGATTATTTGTTCATGCGTCTGTGTATCATCATCATAAGCTACTTATAAAACAGCTGTATAGCAAATATCATTATAGCGGTGAGTAATTTGGAATACTAAATTACTTACTACTTTTTCTAGAATTACATATGCAATTAAAGATAAAAATAACATAACATCTCCAATTATAAAATAAACCAGGCCTGAAAGTACAGGACTAGCACCAATCCAAAGGGAACATATTTCTGCTATAGCAGTAATAATTCCTCCAAGAGCTTGTCCACTTGACATAGCAGTTATATATTTTGGAGAAAAACGTCCAACAATACCCATTAAGCTTCCTCCAAAAATTGCACTTGCAGCTATAAAAACAAATATCTACAAATACTATATTATGTGATTTAATTGTTATAATATTCAATAGTACTTTAGTTCTAAAAATATACCATTAACACATGCCACTGTGGTCAAAGTAATTATTAAAAATGTTCCTTGCCCTAAAAATAAAATTAATATTTTATATTAACTGTAAAATAATTTTATATGAAGTATTTTCATTTATTTAACTTACATTTGTCTGTATTTATTTTAACAAATATTGTTGTTAAAATAAAAAATAATAATATTGTACACTGGGAGCTGACCATTCTTACTCTTAAGGAAATTCTGTTATTTTAATATTTTTTATGTAATTTAAAATTTCTTTTAATTTGAATGTTGCATAAATTCCTTATTGTTACATAGTTAAAATTACATTTTACTTACTTTTTACTAATAAATGCATTTAGAATTAAAAAAAATGTATTTGGTAGTGCACTTGCTACACTTATGTAAGATGTGAAACTAGCTTGGAGATCAGTTTTTTTTTCTAAATTTTCCACATGACTATAATTAATATTTTTCGTAGAATTTTTATGTATTTCTCGAAATTTATACATCCAATAATCATCAGCTGTGATAAAAAAACTCCATGGAATTAATGTATTTATACCAAGTACATAAAAAACAATGTATGCAAGATTATATCTGAAAAGTATAATAATTTCTATTATATAGATTTCATATATGTCTATGTATATATATTCATAATAATAAGCTAAATTATTTTAAACAATTTTTACTTGTCACTAGGTTCATATTGTTTTAAAAACGGTTTTTCATCTGGAACAGAAATGTTTGGATCATCGGCTTCAGTTTCTAAATCATCTTCAAATTCACTGTCTGATACACCTTCTAACAAAGGTCTTCTATTGATAGAATACGACATGGTAAAGCTAAAAGCATAAAAACATTGTCATTATTAATTCTTCAAAATTATATATTACATGTAAATAAATTTTATCAAAATTGTATATTTAATGGATATTAATTGAATAGAATTATATTTAAACTTTGTACTTACGATATTATATACAAAGCAGCAATAAAGTTTTTTCTTCACAATTTGCACACATTTAAAACATTAATTATTTACATTGTGACAGATAATTAATATAAATTTTTTTAAACATTATTAAATTTAACACAAGTAAAAACTTTCGAAGACCATGTTTAATAAACCACGTCTGTAAAACAATTGATAATGTTTTTAGCACATTATTGTTTTAAAGTCTCGAAAGACTTAATAGTTTAAATATGTACATATGTATATTTAAATATGCACATATGTATATATGTCATTTTCTTGACCATCTGTGACTAAACACAGATACAAAAACCAAATACTGTGTCATTATAGTATTAAATTAATCCTAAGTTCTCCTTTCTTTATTACTTGTTTACATCTGGTACAATATATACACAAATGAATTACACGTGAAGTGTAATGACGTACTGTCAAAAGTATTCAATTTATCACATAAAAGCAAAATATATATAAACTACAAAATTTTAAATTTAATATTATTTGTTTTACTAATTAAAATTATTTGTTTTACTAATTAATATTTTGTTTTACTAATTAAAATTTATTTCTATATTGTGCATGACAAATAATAATTTAACCAATCAAATATAATGCGCTAGTTTATTTTTTACTGATCAGATATATCACACACAACATATATACATATGTTGAATTTGAATATACTACATACTATGTATGCATACGTATCAGATCCCACGATTCCACCATTGATTAGATAAAATGAAGAGATTCAAGTCCAATGTTACTCAAGTTTGCATATTGACAAGGTATAAAAATAGTTATCTAGAGAAGTGTATATCAGCAGATTTTACGTAGATTATATATCTGAAAAATTATACTCTGCGGTTAATATGCGACGAATTTGTTATTTGTAAATGTAGTACGTTCAGTAAATTTGATGGGTAATAAATGCGATATTTATTGTATTTCATCTCGTAAACTTTTACATGATATGGACGTGTGATGATATAAAAAACTGCAAAAATGTATTCTGTGTTAGGAAAATGGTAAACATATTTGCTTGATTAAATCGTATCATTTTTTAATCACTTTAATCAATTTGACAGTCATTTTCTTGTAGTTTTTGCAGAAAAGATGCAGTAAGAGCTTTGAGTACGGGTGAAATATCCACTGCATTACGACCTTTTTATTTTACTGTCCACCCTGATCTTTTTGGGCAATATCCCACGCAAAGAGTGAGTATATTTTAATTTATAATGATTTAGTCAATTTATTAAAGTAAATTTTAAAAGTAAGCAATTTAAATCACTTATGCGTCGACAATATAGTTTTTGATTATAGTTAGGATTATTTATAGAACAAAGGAAACGCAATAATTATTGCATATATTACTAATTATGCAAATAATATATGTATAAATAGATTTATATTATGTAAAAATTTGCAATTTCTAATAACTATAACATGATATACCAAACATACATTAAATATTATATTAAATACATTAAATATAATTTTTCTCATTTTAATGTTTCAGACAGTAAATGAAAATTCCTTAAAACAATTAAGTTCTATTATAGAAAATTTACAACAACAAAGACCGATAAGGCCTACCACTTTACCATTTTATTTACGCTCAAAAAATGAAAAGGAACTCAGGGCTGGAAAATTTACTTTAGTACAGATTCAATTGAAAGAAAAGGATCTAAGACAAACTATACTCTCTATTCTGAAAACGTGTGATTTACCAACAACATTTGTAGATCAAATAGAAGAACAAAAACCACCAGATAGTACAAATTATAAGTCAAAATATTGGCAAAGAAGAGGAGCTGGAGAGGATATAGATTTCTCAGAATTAGAAGATGATCCTATTTATGCTTCTATTCTAATGAAAAGAAAAATTAATTCAGAACCTGATACTTTTAAGTAAGTCTATATTATTTTATTTATGTAATTAAAGTAATAAAAAATATAATTTTATAGGGCATATTTAGATAAACATATTAATGAAGTACATGTGAAGTTAGAAGCATGTAGACCAATGAGAGAAGAAGTACAAAAGTTAGAAAAGATATTATGCTCTGAATTAGGTTTGAAAAACATTATATGGGATTGTGGATGGAACATAACTCATTATAGAGGATGTCTCTTAGCTTTTAAGGCATTAGCTGAACATCATCCTGAACCAATGGAAGTACTCAAAAATAGAACACTTGTTTTCGCCAATGATACAGGCATTAGTTTAGAAGGAAATGTTATGTTAAATTCAGGTGAAGTGAGGCACAATTGGCTTGATGTAAGAATAAATTATTAAATTTACATAATGTTTACAATATATTATACTTTGATAAATGAATATTAATCTTTACAGTTAATTAAAAATATTCAGAAGTATGATCTGGTATTATTTAGATTACCAGCTTTTGAAAAGGCAGTTTCACAAGTGCTTCTTGACATTAAAGTTGGTCGACGGTGCGTAATACAACACATTAATTGAGTGACGGTAAGGCTCAGGGTACTCTATATGTGCAGGAAATTCATGCCAAAAGTAATGGCTAGCCAGTATGAACGACAACTTCGACAACTTACAACAACCCTCTCGGATTATCGAGGACGACGAAATTACCCAAAAGTATGGCCGGCTGATCTGTCTACTTATGAAATTGTAATTGAAGCGTTAGTATTACCTATGACATTTAATATCTGATATATATTTTCTTTTAGTTGATTTGTTTGTTGTAAGTATATAATATATATATTTGTAAGTATAACTTATAAATTATAAATTTATATGTGAATAATAAAATGAAATTTATTTTCAGTGAAGCAGGACCTTTAATGCTCTCTCCTACAGGACAGTTTATAGTTCCATCTTCATGTCCAAGTTTTCTTTTAGTAAATTTTATTACTGATAATTTAGAAGAAGCTACTAAGAGATTACATCACTATAATAAGTAAGATCATTTTGTAATCTGGCATATAAAATTGATTCACTATTCTAAACATATAATTTATTTGTAGCATAAAGTATGTAGAACGTGAACTTTATGATAAAACTGTCCAGGAATTGGGATTATCTGTATTAAATAAGGATGATAGTATAACTCCTGATTTGATGATACAATGCTGTGAACGTTTATTATTGCATAAAAACATTTTAGCACCTTTATTGAAAGGGGTTATGCTTTGGGTGACACATTATTATTCTGTTATGAGTGATGGTGTATTATGTATACCATGGGATTGGAAACTTTGAGAGAGTTCGAATATAATGTATTTTGTATTATCCTTTTGCTGTTCTTTATCTTATAGAAATTAAAGCAACAACTATATTCAAGAGTTAATTATTTGTTAATGATTATCATGTAGATTATATATGTGATAAAAAATCTTAGATTTTTATAAAGCATAAAATACAATTTTTTATATAGGATAAAAAACTTAGGATATTGCACAAAGCAAATAGCTCCTTTCTTATTAGCTCTTTGTAAAATACAATGTAAATAATATCTTATAAACTGTATTCGCATATTAAATATAATTATTATATGACTAATCTTAATACATTGTATATGAATTTTTACAATTTTAAATTTGAACAAATAACATGAAAAAAAATTTTATAAAATCATGCAATACAGATAATGCATGTAAGTAAAAGTTAACAAATTTTTAAATTAATATTAAATTCTTTATTGAAACTCTTCTGTCAATGTTTCATAATACATAATAATTTTTTTTTTTCAAGAAAAATTACAAAATCTCTTCATCTGTATAAATTTTATAAAATTCATGAATTTTTCATAAAAATATGATCAGATTAATATGCTAATGTCTGACATTATCGTTAAAAAAATGTAGCATAGTAATAATTCATAGTAGAGCAACGAAGACCATTAGATGCCTTGCAATTTAATATAAAATAATCACGATGACCGTCATATTATGACAGAAAATACATCAAACATCTGTAATCTTTTTTTAAGATAAACTGGACTTGGTTTATCATTTCTCGATTGTTACAGCAATTTAAAAATTCGGATCATGTCTCAAGTAGAATTTCTACAAAAGAGCTACATTCGCACCGGTGAATGAGAGAGACTGAATTAGATAGAGAAAATTGGAGTTAAGGACTTGGACATTTTACTTCGAAGTCGCACAGTTTCAATGGAGGAAAATGAAATATTTGAAGTATAAGATCTGAAACATCTTATGTCATGAAAGTATTAGTAACATAATATAGTTTGTAATATTAGCTATCATTTTTATAAAATATATCAATGTATTATTAAAATTGAAGCATGAAATGAAATGTAAAAATTGATGGATTTTTTTCAAACATCTGTTACAGAAGTAATATTTGGTTCTTTAGTTTTATTTTTATGAGTTTAGTATTAAAATACTTCTAAAATACTTTGAAAAATTTTAATGATGACAAATTCTTCTAATTATTTATGTATAATTTTTGTCAATTCCAAAATGAATTTTAAAAAAAAATACCATCGTGATATTTTCTATACCAGTTCTGAATACATTGAATTTTACAGTCAAATTTGTTTGCCAAAATAATTATATCCAAACGAAATGATAATAGACAAGCTTTTGGTAGAAATTTTAAAAGCCAAACACAAGATATGCTACATTAAAGAACATTATAGTCATTGAAAAAAATACAAATAAAGACAATTAATTTTTTTACCTTAAGTTCCAATTTCACGGTTACAATATACTGATGAAAGTAGACTAAAATAAAGTCTGATGGAATATAAAGAATATGTAATAATGGATGATTGAAGAACTATCCCTTAATATTTATGAAGAATCTTCAAAAATAAGTTAGAATTTTCATAAAAAATATTTAAATAAACAATTATAAAATTATATTTTTCAATTCATATAAAAAAACCCATTAATATAAGCAAATAATACATTTTCAAATAGAAATTATTTTTTCGCTTTTTCTTATATATATAACACTATGAATTGTGAACTTAAAATATCAGGAGTTGAAGGAAAAGAGCTGAGGACAGCCAACGATCTCTAACTCCAAAAATACGCTTAGGTGAGATGAGTAATTTTCATCAAGGTGTGGGCACCGTAAAGACGGCTACCCATCCTAGAGCGAGTCGCAGACGCAAATGCTTAACCTGAAGAGTCGCCATCGGTCTATCACGCAGCTGTAGCCATTGTGATAAGCCTCTAAAAATATTAAATTTAGATTCATAGAATGAATACTAGTGATCTGTAGTAATCAAATGTGTTAAGAATTAAAATGTCGGGTAAATGTTACATCTGATTACTTCATGTACACACAAACTATAAAAATGCCGGTCCAAAAGGATACAAATATTGTAAAAATCGCTGTTCAAATGACAGAACAAGTACCACAACTCATTGAATTTAATCAAAAACATCCACTTACTGCAATTATTCAGGTATTTAAAAATTAGGAATTAATAATAAGAAATTTTTTAGTATATAATAGTATATATCAATATTCTTCAAAAAAAAAAAACTATCTAAAATTAAATATTAAGATAAAGACTTACATAAAATAAAAATAACATATATTATTTTTATTAGGAATTGTGCAATGGGTGGGGTCTTTCTGATCCTGAATCATATTCATTACAATTTTCAGAAAGTAACAATCAAAATTATATCACAGAAAAGAATCGTAATGAAGTAAAAAATGGTAGTATTTTAAGATTAGAATTTTCCCCCTCAAAAACAGCCTCTGACATTTTAACAAAGCTTAACAATGGGACTATGGAAGAAAAAACTGTTTCTTTGCAAAAATTAAGTACTCTTAGCACAGATATGACATTTGCATTAGAATTCATTAATAAACAAGGATTAGCCTTAATTATATCACAGGTATCACAAATCTGTTTATTTTTAATTTATATTATTTTATACTTTATTACAATCTGTGATATACACAGGTGGAAGGTGAAAAATATAAAGGAAATGCACTTGCGTATTCACTTCAATCATTTGTAGAACTAATGGATCATGGAATTGTTTCTTGGGATATATTAGAGACACCTTTTATTAATAAAGTAGCAAGCTATGTGAATAATCAAGCTGTAATTCAAGATACTAATATTATTGAAGCATCACTTAGTATTCTTGAAAATATAGTATTAAATTCTTCTGGAAAATATGGACAAGTTGAAAAAGAAGTTACATTTCCTAATTTAGTAATGCATTTACAAAGTACACGTCCACAAATACAACAGAATGCAATAGCTCTAATAAATGCGTTATTTCTTAAGGCTGATTTGTCTAAACGTAGAGCTGTTGCTGCCACTCTTCAATCTAAGCAAGTTAGAAATGTATTTTTGACAAATATCATACAATCTACTGGTCAGGTATGAAATTAGTTCTCTTTTTTTATTAAAAAAAAAAATATATATATATAGTATTTGGAGTATTTCATGGAGTATTTAAATTAGAACAATTAAATATCTTAGTTGTTTTTAAAGATATAGATTTTTAAAAATATGGATTTCTTTAAAAAGTTATTCAATATTCAGGAGGCCATAATATAATTTTTTTGTAGATAGAGAGATTTCAAAATTAGCTCTTTCTTTTATATGGAATAATTTAGTTTTGCAATTCAACTTTTTATTTTATATAAAAAAAAGTATTACCATGTGTATATTGAAAACATATTAATTTAAATGATATTTTAACTTTAATTTTATAAAATCTGTGCATCAAAAACAAAAATAATATGAACACAAGAATACTGCTCTTTTCTTCCCTTGTCTTTCATATAGTAAATTATTTATATACATACATATATATATATATATACAGATTAATACTTTTTTTCTAATATATATAGATTAATACTTTTTTTTATAAAATATACTAACATATATCATAAAAAATTTTTCGACTTACAAAAAATCATTATTCCCATATTATGGCTTCCTTAGTACTATCATTAACGTAATATTACTATTCATCTATATCTTCAAAAATAACGGAAATATTTAGCTGTTCCAGTTTATATGCTGCATTCTGTATGTATAAATTTTAATGTATACATATATTTTAAAAATATGAATTTTAATATAGGTTGGTGCAGAAATGGCACATCAATTATATGTATTACAAACACTTATGTTAAGTTTGTGGGAACAGCGTATGATGACAAAAATGGATCCACAAGATCAAGATGCACATGATAAAATTAAAGAACTTCGAAGAATTGCTTTTGATACTGAAGGAGCTGTAGGTGGAGATATTACTGCTAGAAAACAAGGTCTTTTTGCTAAAGACTACAAAAAATTAGGTTTCAAATATGATATTAATCCTGCTCTTGATTTTACTGAAACTCCACCTGGCATGCTTGCCTTAGATTGTATGGTTTATTTTGCACGTAATCATATTGAAGCTTATACTAAAGTTGTTTTGGAGAACTCTTGTAGAGCTGATGAACATGAGTGTCCTTTTGGTAGAACAAGCGTGGAGCTAGTCAAATTACTTTGTGAAGTAAGTATTTAACATAAATGTTTAAAACAAATTAAATTTTAATTCAATAATATGATTAGGTTTTACGTATTGGAGAAGCACCCAGTGAACAAGGACAATCATATCATCCTATGTTTTTTACACATGATCATCCATTTGAAGAATTTTATTGTGTATGCATAGTCCTTTTAAATAAGACTTGGAAAGAAATGAGAGCCACTACTGAAGATTTTGTAAAAGTGTTTTCTGTTGTAAGAGAGCAGATCACTCGAGCACTTCAATGTAAACCTACAGGATTTGATAAATTCAAAAATAAATTACAACAATTAACATATTCAACAATTACTAATTTATGGCAACAAGAAAGGACTAGTAGAGAAGAATGGGAAAGTCATGCAAGGCCGATAGTTGAACTCAGAGAACAAATCACACCTGAAATTTTAGAACTCATTCAACAACAACGCTTAGGATTTTTAGTAGAAGGCACCAGATTTATGAAATATAGTGCTAGAGGCCAGGTATTGATCTTTATTTCATAAAGTATTATTAAACGAAACAATTTCTTCGTGTTTGTAACTATGCTTCATACTTATACGTTATTTTACTTTTATACTTGTACAATATTTTAACTTGTACATTATAGAGAATCAAGGATAAGTTCTGGTATGTTCGACTTTCACCAAACCACAAAGTATTCCATTATGGTGACTGTGATGAAAAATCAGTACCAACAATAGATGAACTTCCTACAAAACTAGCTGTTGTTGAAATTCGTGCTTTACTGATTGGTAGAGATTGTCCTCATATGAAGGATTTGCAACGACGAAAAACTACCCATCAGTTAGCATTTTCTTTAATTTTAGATTCTGTAGAAGTTTCAAGTCTAGATTTCGTTGCTCCCGATGAACAAGTGTTTGATTATTGGACAGATGGTATTAACGCCTTACTTGGTATGTTGTAATGTTGTTCATATCTTTAATTAATATCTTTTCAAATCCAAAAACTATGTTTTATTTACAGGTAATAGAATGACTAGTAAAGAAGCGGAAAATGACTTGGAGACATTATTATCCATGGATATTAAATTGAGACTTTTAGATACAGAAGGAATTGATATTCCTCAAGATCCGCCTGCTATACCCGATCCTCCACCAAATTATGATTTTTGTTACGAATTAAAATAATTTCGTCTTACATATATTCGATAATTGTTATAACAATTTAATATAAGATATATTAATTAAGTAATGCTTAGATTTTATAAAAAAAAATTAAGTATTATTCTAAGCTAAAATTTTTATACAAACAATTAATTTTTAGCATTTTTTTATTAGTATTTTTAAATTATATATATACAAATTTTTAATTATATAAATTAAAACTGATATTTTAATTATAACGCAGTATATTTTACCAAAGATATATTTTACGTATACTAATTACACAAAATATTCTCAAAATCATTTGTATAGATGAATTATATTTACATGATAATATAAGATGTTTTTTATCTAATGATTCTTAGAAGACTCGGAGATCTAATATTATGTATGATTTCTCCAATAAATTTTTAATTAAATTATCGTAAATTTGTTTAAAATCATGTTTAATAGATGTTTTGGAAAAAATGTAATATTGAAGGTATAATAAATCCATAAATATAAATTAATAAATTATTTATTAATTGAATCATATTTCTTATTCAATACCATAAGTAAAAAGCTATAGTATTAAAAGCAATAGTCATTAAGATTGTGTGCAGGTACATATGTTACAGTTGACATAATATTAATTGCTTAATTAATAACATTTTTACTTTCTTAGTGGTGCAGTATTACCAAAAAATAGTAATTGCAATTTATCGTTATTTACATGATATCTTCTGAAAGTATCTGATAATTTTGTGGATCATTTGCTTGATGATTTGGAGGACATAGAAAAAATTCTATAAAATTAAGAACAGGACCTCTACTAAAGGGATTCAAATATCTTCCTTTTTTGTCTCGTAAATATGAATATCGTTTATAATTAAACATTTCGTTTGTGGTCAAATTCATACATGCATGCAAAACCTGTATAAAAAAAAATTTTTTTTATAAATATATAAATATTACATATTCAATGTTAAAACAGAATGAATTTTTATATTTACTGAGGTACATGTCAAAATCCATCCAAGTCCACAGAATACCAATGCTTCTAGAACACCCAATACATACAATAATTGGATTCCTTCAATTGCCATACAATAACAAGCAAAATAAATAGTGAATGAACAGTTTATTGCTACACACATAACAAAAAGAAAGAACCACATTCTGGAATAATTGAATAATTACAGATAAGAAATATTGAATTACAATTGTCTACGATTAAATATAAATTGTTTTAAACTTTACCTGTTTCTCAAACCTACACAGTTATATATAAATGGGCAGTGATGATCAAAATATGTAACACATCTATTACAAATTCTGCAATGCTTAGCTCTTAAAGGTCTAAAACATCTACAGCTATGACATAAACGAGACAATACAACATTTCTCTTTTTCCATTTATCAAAATATGGAATCTGAAAGAAAATTATTCTATGAAATAATTATATAATATTTTATAACGCATTATAAAATTATAAAATACTTGTTTAATTGCTCTATAGTAGGTTTCACTATTCTGTGGTACATAGCCAGGATCTCTTCTATTTGCTACAATCCATGAGATCCACATAACAATATTCCAATAAATGAAACAATAATGGCTGCCACGTAAAAGATTCCATGTTAATGGAATACATTTTAATAAATACATTGGATATCCCCATAAAAGAACGGATACCATAAATAATAATATAGGACCTTTACTATTTCCAGCTCCACCAAATAATAATGCCCTTGAAAGACAATAAATATCGTAATTAATAAAATTTTTTACAAATATTTCATTAAAAGATAAAATACAAACCAAAGTTCATTAATAGGTGGAATCCATCTAGCTCGCCGTTTCTGTTCAGCTTGTAGAATTCTTACAATTTCTGAATGTCTATGACTTTTTGCCAATTGTAATGGTGTTTTACCATTCTTGTCACGAGGTTCTAACTCAATCTTACTTTTTTCACATAATATTTTAACACAACTAACATTTCTAGAAAGACATGCTAAGTGTAGTGGAGTGGATCCAAAGTAATCTGGTTTTTGTAAGTCTACTCCACTATACATAAGTAATCTTATTAATTCTGCATGACCTTTATATGCAGCCCAGTGAAGTGCGGTATCTCCATTTATATCTGTTAAATGTCCCAGTGCACCAGATCCTAACAAAAATGCTGCTGTTGCAAATTTTCCAAACATACAAGCAGTCATGAGTGGTGTTAAGCCTTTAAAATCTGCTGCATTAACTGCAACTCCTGCCTAAGAAATAAAAAAAATAATTTAATATTTATTATGAATAAACAAATAATAAATTATTTAATCTATTTGAATACCTTTAATAATAATTGAACTATTGCACTATGACCTTTTCGACATGCCCAATGTATTGGTCTTGGACCCTGTGTTCCAAGACAAGAAAGATCAACTGGTCCATTTCGTTCTATTAAGTATCGCATTACCTATAACATATAATAGACATTTTATTTAAAGAAGAAAATCTCAAATGAAATTAATTAGCAAAAACTAACTTCAATGTTTCCATCTAATGCAGCCCAATGGGCTGGAGTATATCCCCATTCATCTCTTGCACTCAATACATTTAGACCATTCTTTTCTACCAACTCATCAACTGCTCCAATTTCACTAAAATGATATTTTAATTATTTTAATTATCTTTGAATTTATTCACATAAATAAAATTATATTTATACCCGGCTCTAAGGAGTTCAAATATTCGTTTTGTTTCATCAGATGGTGTTTGACCTGGAGCAGTTTCATCGGCATAAATATTGTCATCAGGACCGTTTCTTGGTTGTAATTCAGTGCCTTTAGATGGTTCATGATTTTGATGAGTAGTGCTAGAAATTGGAGTATTCGGTAGATGCCCGACCATGTCGGGATCGGGACTTAATTCCCATACGGACCTCGCTGCTCCGGGCCCTGTAACAGGGCTCACAGGATATACCTAAAATTGACAGTAATTTCAAGTATAAATTAAAATTTAAATGTGTTAATTTATAACTTAAGTTTCAAAAAACTTTTAAATTGTCAAATTATTTAAAATTCGAGATTCAAAAAATTTCAATTTAAAACTTCGTAACTTAAAAACTGTTTGTTTTCTTTAAATTATTAATTCCAAATTATTTTTTATCCACTATCATTTTTCTTCCATTATGACAAAAACTTTTATTTCATAACCAGCTTACTTTGCAAAGCGTTGCGAGTTCCGAATTTACACGCTCGTGTTCGGAAGGTGTCCTAAAGGATGCGCCCTGTACAGAGGATGTTCCACCTTCCGGAACGGTTAGTCACAAGGAAATATTTGGTCCAACCATATTTTCTAATCTTTTGTTTCTTATACACCTTTTCTTTCACCGTGATAAATTAGAACAATACGTTCTTCGTATCAGTAGTATATCAAGTTTCTGCACACAGCAGTGTCCGCATTTTCAAATAGGACTATCGTTATATGATATTGCGCATTTAAATCAATACTTTGGTTATTATTGTACGCTTGCGTAGTAAAATTAACAAAGCCGCAAAATTCACTCATTATTCTTCTTTTCATGATTTCAATATAAGTATGTGTATTTTATTACATTTTTGTAATACTATCAAAATACATTTCAAAAATTTAATGAATTTAATACGATAATATAAGTAACGATAATTTGATGATTTACAATAAATAAAATATATATTTTTATTATTTGACGATTGTTAGATATTAAGTAAATATATTTAAATGTTTTGCTTTTTTAACGTTTCTAAAATTAAAAAAGGCAATGCTTTTAGAATTTGAATATGTATCATGAGGCATAACTAGATGGCGTTAAATAAATTGTCTGTAGTACACAAAGTGTAGTATGTACCTTATAATCAATTTGTTTTAAATAATTTTGTAATGACTAAAACATTATTAGATATCGTTTACTAATGTAACATGGCTCCTACAATACAAACTAATGGTAACACAGCTGAACGAGATAAACGTACAGTTAGACCAGCAGAAAAAAGGTAAAAGATTGAATTATAACCTGCAGTTTTCATAAACATGATATTGATATAAACACTTTTTTAATGTTTCCGTTTTAGGTCTGAATTAATATGTAGAGTTAAATATTGCAATACATTGCCTGATATACCATTTGATCCCAAATTTATTACATATCCATTTGAATCTACTCGGTAAGACCATATGTTTAAATATTAACAAGTTAGCGTATAATACATAATTAAATAATATATACTTAACATTCATAGATTTATTCAATATAATCCAACTTCTCTGGAACGTAATTATAAATATGAAGTACTAACAGAACATGATTTAGGTGTAGAAATTGACCTTATAAATAAAGATACATATGCAGGAGATGTAAATGCTCAGTTAGATCCTGCTGATGAAAAACTTCTGGAAGAAGATGTTCTTACTCCACAAGATTCTAAAAGATCTAGACATCATGCCAGAAGTGTGTCTTGGCTTAGACGTACCGAATACATTTCCACAGAACAAACTAGATTTCAACCACAAACTGTGGATAAAGTGGAAGCTAAAGTTGGTTATAGCATTAAGAAAAATTTCAAAGTAAGTCTTAATATTTATATATTTAATTTATATTAGAATTTTTATTACGTGCATGAAACTTTATTGCATTTATATTTACAGGAAGAAACTTTATATATGGATCGTGAAAGCCAAATAAAAGCAATAGAAAAGACATTTGAAGACAATAAAAAGCCCATTGAAAGACATTACAGCAAACCAAATGTATTACCTGTGGAAATTTTGCCAGTATTTCCAGATTTCAAGGTATTTTAAATATTTTTATGCAATATAAATGTTTTAATTATTTTGTTATTCCTTAATTGATCTTTTTCAGCTTTGGAAATATCCTTGTGCACAAGTCATATTTGATTCAGATCCAGCTCCAGCTGGACGTTCTGTGCCAGCTCAAATTGAAGAAATGTCACAAGCTATGATTCGGTGAATTTATATTTTGTTATTATCTACTTTACAGCTTATCAAATATTATAACAGAGATATTATTCTAGGGGTGTGATGGATGAAAGTGGTGAACAATTTGTAGCATACTTTTTACCTTTGGAAGAAACATTAGAAAAACGTCGAAGAGACTTCACAGCTGGTATTGACTATGCTGATGATGATGAATATGAGTATAAAATGGCTAGAGAATATAATTGGAATGTTAAAAGTAAAGCTTCAAAAGGATACGAAGAAAATTATTTTCTTGTTATAAGACAAGATGGAGTATGTTTTACTTTAAAATAATATATAATTATGTAAAATTTATGTGTATTTTATTATTACATATATTACAGGTATATTATAATGAACTGGAAACGAGAGTACGACTTAGTAAACGTCGTCAAAAAGTTGGACAACAACCAAATAATACAAGGTTGATAGTAAGACATCGACCACTTAATGCTAATGAATTTAAAATGCAGAGGTACAGAGAGAAACAATTGGAACCACCAGGAGAGGAAGATGAAGATGAAGAAGAGGAGGAGGAGGAAGAAGAAGAAGAACCTCAGCAAGAAGCTGAAAAAACAGAAGATAGAGGTTAGTAAGATTACATAAAATTCTATTAATTATACAATATAGTATATTATATACAGTATTCCGCTATTGAAAGCAAGTCTATATAAAAATGAATCAAGAAGAAAGAATAAAATGTTTTCATTAAAATCCTCGGTTTTGAGAAAATCAAATTTGAAAATTTGTCAAGTATATCGATACGAACATATTTTATACGTAAAAACAAAAAAAAGATATAGAATAAAATTTTTTTGTTTAAGAATTTACGTTTTCGTTTTCAAGAAAATAGACTGTGAAAATAGACCGTTTTGTTAAAAATTGCCTTAGTGTTTATTTGATAAATTTTTACAAAAAACAAAACAAACGAAAACAAACAAATAAAAAAATTGTTTTATACTTTCATTTATTTTCTCACATAGGATAATCCTCTGCTAAATGATTATTTATTTCTGCCCAGTCTAAAAATTAATTTAATTCCAGTATATTTAAAAAATATTCAAAGTCAATTTTCTCAAAAATAAAACTTGAGACAAAAAAATTTTATTCTTTTTTTTCGACTCATTTTTGAAGAATGGAATGTAGAGTAGAATCACTTATTGTTTATGAATCGTGGGACGCCCTTTATATATATACTTTTTAAAAAATTATATAATATATTTGTTATTTTAGAAGGATCCGAAAATGAGGCTGAATCTAGAGTATCATCAAGAGGATCTTCTCGAGCATCATCAAGAGCATCATCCCGAGCATCCAGCAGAAAATCCCGTTCTCGTTCGAAATCTGGTTCTAGATCAAAATCTCGTTCAGCGTCACCATCAAAGTCTAGATCTGCTTCTCGGTCACGTTCTGAATCCCGTTCTCCTTCTAGATCTCGTAGCAAATCAAGATCAAGATCTGGTACCCCTCAGTCCAGAAATTCTTCAAAATCAAGGTCCCGATCAAAGTCAGCTTCAAGATCTCGTTCTGGATCCCCAGCCAAATCTCGATCTAGATCTCCAGCCAAATCTCGATCTGGGTCTCCAGCCAAATCTCGATCTGGATCTCCAACTAAATCTCGATCTGAATCCCCATCAAGTTCGAAATCTAGATCGAAGTCTAGATCCCCCCTCTCACGATCAAGATCAGTCAGCGGCAGTGGTAGTGAATCTGGTACTGGTAGTGGTGAAAGTGGTTCTGAAAGTGAATGAATGATAAGAAATTTGAAAATATTCAATCATTATATGTACATATTGATTGTCATATGTAAAATACTATATAATCATACATTCATACAAAATTTTTAATAATAAAAGATAATCGATAAAGAAGGTTGCATTGTTTTAAAATTGTTGTAGTATACAAACGTGTCAATAGAGGGCAGTTTATATTTCCTTGAAAATCACCTGCTAGTCTCTTTTAAGAGTAATATTGCATCATCAATATGACGTATCCAAACTGTGTTTTATCCGTGACACACATGGTAAATTATTAGCAACAAAAACGTCAATTATAAAACTTTTATAGCGATATGATATCCATAATTTAGAGATTTGTATGGAACGTAAAAAGTAAGTAAAATTTGATATGTGAGAATGTATTACAGTTTATATTCTATTTAAAATTGATTATATATTCCAAAAACATTGACGTTGACTTACATGACGCATTCGTATACATATACATGTTATATACAGTATTTAGGCTTATATAAATGTTTAACAAAACTTGATTGAACAATAATGATGGTTTGACATATTTTGTTTACAAATTTAACAAAAATATATCTTATTTAAACATAATATTCTTGTAAATATCTGAAATCAAATATATTTTTTAAAATTAATTATAGATGGCACCCAAAAATAAAGAAAATACATCTGGAAATAAAAAGAAAAGGCAGATTTCTGAAGAAGAAGATGATGAAGATTACCGAAGACGTAGGGACAGAAATAATCAAGTAAATAAAAACAATTTGTTTATTGAATGCATGTAAATATATATTTATTTAGTATTGTAATATTTTTTTAGGCTGTAAAACGCTCTAGAGTGAAAAGTAAGTTACGTACACAACAAACGTTAGAACGTGTAAATCAGCTAAAAACAGAGAATGAATTACTTGAGGAAAAAATTAAGATGCTTACAAAAGAATTAGGATTTTTGAAAGATCTCTTTCTCGCACATGCAGGTGTGCAGATGTTACATTATAATCATTTAATTATAATATTCTTTATATTCTTTATATTTCTTAATTATAATAGTCTTTAATACATAAACTACAATTTTAATCTTAGGTTCCAGTCAACATTCTGTAAATTTTCAAGATGTAGACTTAAATGCTCTTCTGGCTGAAGACACAAAATCTGTGGAACAGATGAAAGACACACCTAAATCATAAATTGCACTGAATTCCACGTGAAAGAAGTAACGTGGTATTGATCAGATCTGAGATGAAGATGCACTTTGGTTCGTCTATTTCTACTACAATATCAGACTTCTTGGAAAGATGTCTGTTTATTTATGAATTTAATGAATTTGAGATGCATGGTATTTTAGTGTATGCAGCTCTTTGCATGTAAAATTTATTATCATTGGAATCTCAAATACTAAATAAGAGAAGATACAGAAGTTAAAGACTAAAAAGTTAACAATGCTTGTAGAGATAGAAATTGTTTTTATTGGAGAAAATGACAATGTTATGTGAAGAAACTGTATTTATGAACGAGATAAGTGGATAACAAAGCATGTAAAGCAACATATATTTATAAAAAAGATATGATGATAAAGCATGTAAAACAAATATATTGTATTTATAAACGGGATAGGAAAATAACAAAGAAAATATTTTAATAACAGATTTTACGTGTTTGTCGTAAATTTTTATTTTTCATAATAGAAAAATGAAATACCACAAATTATAATGGTTTACGATGGCATTATTTTAAGCATTCCATTATAATTAAATTTCCAATATTTACCCTTAAAATATTTTATGTAATTGAAATATAACAGAGAATGTTTTATAAATTGTAGTATGACAAGAATTTATTTTAAAATATATTTAAAATATAAATATATTTTTAAAATATATAAAATTGTTAAATATATTTTTAAATAAAATAAAATAAAATATCCGTAAATCATTAAGCATTTCATTTTATAAATAAGTTTAAATTTTATGGGAAAGATGCATTTTTTTTTGAATATATATTTTCTTTTTTTTGAATATATATTTTCCCTAGAAAACACTTATCATTACTAGTTACTAGATCCAATGTTCACTTCAGTGACTTGAATTATTTTATTAACCATGGCATGAGTTTTAATGTCAAAAGTATATTATAATATAATTTAAACAAACGAGTGAATATGGGGAAAACAACAAAAGTAGTTGTTTGTGGAATGAAAGGTGTTGGAAAAACTGCGCTGTTGGAACAACTCATATACGGAAATGTCAATGTCAAAACAGTAAGAATTTAGGTTATGTTTAAACAAAAATCAGTAGCAATATTTTTCGACATTTTCAACATTACATATTAATTTTCAATTTTAAATTCACATTTTAATTACAACAATATTATATTGGTTCTCTGATAAATTACATTTTATAATTTAATAGGAAATTCACCCTACAATCGAGGATATTTATGTTGCAAATATAGAAACGGATCGCGGTACAAAGGAAAAAGTACGATTTTATGACACTGCAGGGCTAGAATCTCTTCAGAATAATGTGAATAATCAGCAGTTGCCGCGACATTATCTCGGTTTCGCTGATGGATACATTTTAGTTTATGATACTGCAAAACCTGAATCCTTAGATGTATTATTTCCATTAAAAAAAGACATTGACAGGAATAAAGATAAGAAAGAAATAATTGTGATTGTTGTTGGGAATCGAACTAAAACTGAAGAAGAATCTCATAGTTTGGAGAATATAGCAAGTAGAGCTGCAAATTGGTGTACTAGAGAGAAAGTGAAACATTATGAAGTAAATGTTATGGATAGGACAAGTTTGTTTGAAGCATTTGTTAATTTATCGTCTAGATTAAATCCTCCTACCAATAAGAGTACATTCCCGCAGTTAAGTATGGGTAGAAAAAATATCAAGGTTGAAGGACTTTAATCACATTTATTTATAATTAATCACATTCGTTTATATTACCAATGCTAATGGTATTTTTTAACCACTGGCATTGATTTATTTATTTAGCGTATTTAAATTATCTTTATATAAAATAAGCGTATATTCCAAGAATGATGTACTTAAAGTATTATTTTGCTCAAGTGCTTATAGCAATATGCAATAATTTATCTTATTAAAAATTTTGCTCGATTCTGTGTATATGTATTTTCTGCATTTTGTTCTTTGTACTTAAAATATACATATTATCGAACGATCGATCGTAAATTGTAATTGACTTTTTTTGTACTGTTTGCTTGTCATACATATGTATACATATGTGTATATATATATAAGTCTTATTTAGTGAATTAATTTACCATTCAATTGGTTTGACCAATTTTCGTAAACAAATATTCGTTCTGAACATATAATCCCATAATTTACTACTGATACCGAAACCTGAAGAGTAAAGATTTATTTATCATATAATTGCTTAATTTTTGCAGAACAAAAAGAAAATTACCTAAATCATGATGTAAAAAATGATGATAGTTATGATTTCTTTTCATTAAGTACATATATGTCCCAACCTTTGGCGCACCATGATGTAAATAATAATGTGTCAAATCGTAAAAAATATAGCCTATTAAACAATTTTTTCTATATTTAATATGTTTTTAACATTCAGAATTATTGAATGTATTTTAATATCAGTACCTGTTAATGTACCAGCTACAATAAAATAAAGAGTCGTTTGAGGAAACACCATACTATAGATCATCAATAACACTTTTGCTGTCAATGCAGCTGGTAAAATAGGAAATACTAATCTTCTATTATCAAATGGTGCCTGTAAAACAAAAATGTATTCTTTATGCGATTTGAAATAATTTTCATATATTGATTTTGCTCTTTTTGTATTTTCTTTTTTTAACCAAACGAATTTATTAACTGATAATTAATTTTTTACCTTGTGATGAATACCGTGAAGTAAAAAGTGCAAAGTAATAAGTAGTCTCGAGTTAATGGGTGGTTTATAGTGAAAGATTTCACGATGAAGTACATATTCTAATAGAGTCCATAACAATATACCGAATATATATGAAATTAAAACTTCAAACACGGTGCTTTCTGAAAATAAAACAAACTAAATTTCTTTAACTAAATTATAATTTCTTTAATTAAATAATAATAATGTATTTTAGAAAAATCACTGGTAAATCGGTATCGAAAATATTCAATATACATAATTTTGTATATACATATAATACAATATTATGCAATAATAAAAGAAAAGAGAAGAAAAAAGAAGGAGAACATGTGAAAATGTCAAAAATATAATTACCGATATTATCGGTGCTGATATGTGTCCATCCGCAATAAAGAAAATAAAGACATACTGGAATCCATATTATCGGTATCATATACCAAGGTGTAATTGTTAAACTTTCTAAAATGTTTGATTTAAAAAGTTTTATATCCTTATTCACTGGTAAATTGACCCATTCCGAATAATGCTGGCCTAGTGAACCTACTTGTCCAAGTATAGCTTGGTTCCAATCGATCAGGTTCTGCTTGAACAAACGTTTAAATAATACTATCGTCAGTTCGTAATACTCATAAATCGTTCCATTTAATGATTTCCATTAATATTCAAATACTTAAATATTCGAACATTAAATGTTAAAACTGTTATAATTTTGTAAAAAGAAATCGTACAATAATAAACTTTGGTTCATTCAAGCTTGAAGCCTCTATTTTCAAAATGCATTCGCTTTATTCTAAGATGTTTTTATACGTTATATAGCAGATGACAAACTGAAAACCTTAAAACTTTTAAAATAGTATATAAAAACTTTTTTTTTTTTAGTATATAAAACCAGAAAATTTTTTTATGAAATGAATTTAAAATGAATTTGAAGACCGAAGTTTTGCTTTGACAAAGATTTCTCAAAATTTACTTTATGATCTTTTTTCGCCAATTTACTGAACTTTGAATATCGGGCAAATATAACGACGGAAATATTACGATTTTTAAATTTTTCATCATCTAAGCCTAGTCTTCAAATTCATAGATTCAGTGAAAAAAAATTTTCAATATTTTTACATATTATGATAATTTATAGCATTTTTGAGAAGAAAAGTATCTTTATTTATCTGCTTTACTACATGATGTAAAAATATTTTATTATAAGATAAAATGAATTCATTTTATTATAAAATAAATGCATTTTGAAAGTAGAGGCTTCAATCTTTAAAATGAGCCTGGGTTTATTATTGTACGATATACTTTTTACAAAATTATAGCAGTTTAAAAATAAATATTTAGTCCGAATATAATAGGAATCACTGTAGTTGTATATGAAATGATTGGAACAATTTCAACACGTATAATAACAAGTATTTTAATAGATTGTACTTACTTCGTATTTTTGGTATTTTTCTTGATTGTTTAATATGAAGTCCTGCAACAGGTGAAACGCCGCTTCCGAGTGGGGATTTTCTTCGAACGCTTTATCCAAGCTTCGGTTTTTAAAGAAATTTAATATCTTCGCTCCGCCAGGATGATATCGAAGGAAGTCTTTTATGTTGTAAAATTGATTTTTGTAGCTAACTACAAACTGATTATTATGCTTGTTCTCAATTGATTGTACCTGAGATTTGGATTCTCCGGTACGCTTGCGTACGTCGCAGACAGAGTTCGCGGTATTCGCCATTGAATCGATCGAACCGGTTGCTATTCGCAATCTCGGGACGGTATTATTGGAGAAATATTGGAAAAAGTTGTGTGTATATCAAGCGTTGTAAATCCTCACTGGACTGATGAACGAATAATGAGCAAGAATCCGCGAGGTATCTACTTTTAAAGATGAACTATTTTATCGTGGCACACTTGAAATCTAACATTACGCGTACACAGTTATCGTATAAATAGACAGACGACATTATCTTTTATGTGTTTCCTACCTTGATAAGTTTCTGTCTATACGATGACGTCACCTTTCAATTTTTTATTTTACTCCCAACTCTTGCTGTATTTCTTATCCTCTTTGAGATAATATTTGAAATCGCTAAAAGTTATCATTTCGATGTATGTAACGTTGCATTGCTTAATGTAAATCAGTGTTTTATATTTGTATACTTTTTGTTCGTTATTTTTCTTTCATTACGTTCCTTTTCTTCTGGTAGTTATATTTGTCACACCGTAGCGATGACATTGAGCGATATTGATAAAGGATGTCATTATATACATATATGTAATAGATATAAAGCTTGATACCAGAACATACAATAGGCGCGAATACTTTTATGTCAGCGTAAATGTTAATTTACATTTTTAAATGTTTTTTTTTTTTGTTGGCTGTACTATAGTATTCGAGAAGCAAATTTTTAATTCAGATTAGATATCATTTTGAGGATATTTTAGATTGCTAAAGTCGAAAATGTCATTTTTCAAAGAAATAGTTCTCGAAATATCCGTAAAAAATATCATCCAGTAAATTCTCTCCATATATATATATGTTTATAATTGTACGCTTATAATTGGACAAAATCGAAAGTCTTAATCATTTTGGTTCTGAGAATTTTGATTTGATAAGTATATTCGATTAGTATGATAAGTAAGGTGCAGATTTTCATATATCTGTGGGAAATTCTAAAGTATGAAAATGCGCACAATGCATATAATACATGAATATATATAAAATATTTATTATAATATATAATATATAATATATAATAATAGATAAAAGTAGAATATTTATTATAATATATAATATATAATAATAGATAAAACTAATCTCTACTTCGGTTCAAATTTAAAAATGAAAAAAATCCATAATACTTTAATATTTATATTTTGTGATATAATTTTATATCAGCTTGTAAGGTAGTGTAAATCATGCTATCAAATCCAACAGTGGTTCGTGGAATTTGTACTGTGTATTGCGTACTACATATTCATGAACAAATTGAAAATAACTTTCTTCAGTGCTTTAGCTGGAATTTTCCTTTAAAAAAAAAACCACATAAATGGTTGTTTTTAACAAAGATTGATTTATGGAATAATTTTTAGAATAATTGGAATTAATTTTTAAATTAATTAAATTAAGATCCGAATTAAAATAGTAAGAAAAAAAGTATTTTTGAACATTCACACAGACGAAACAGATGAAACTGCACAGAACGGAATAGAGTATTCTATGCGCGTTTATACTGATATAATAAACACTAATACTTTTGTTTTTTTAAAAGTGATTTTTAAATATTGTGCGTGCACAAAACAGATGTATTCATTATTGTAACAAAACGGAAATATGATATCAGCAATTTTTCAAGTTCATTTTGCAGCGTATTATGTGTCGATTAACTTTTATTAATTCTTAAAATCTTATCGTAATTCTTAAAATTTTATCATAATTCTTTAAATAAAATTTTTAAGATACTGAAGATAATCAAAATATTAAACGCTTTCAAGACCCAAGACTTACTAAAACTTCCAACAATTTTAACCTTCAAACCGTGTTTGAACTGATTGTATTATATCATAATAGAGATTTGAAGCGACTCGAAATATCATCTCACTTCTGCACGTAAGTCTAACAAAATTCATGAAAGACACGCCTTAGGGAACAAAAAGCAATTTTTTTTCTGACTCGTAGTGTTTATATATAATAATAATAATTATTATTATTATATTACTTCTTTCCTTACTTTTTATATCTACTAAACTGTACATGTAATAAAAATTATTTAAATTTTTTAAATCAGGATGGAATCGAGGAACGAGCAAAGGAAAAATCAATAGAATCAAATCTTCATAAACTCGTGTACTCGGCAATAAATAAGCTTTTATTTAAACGTTTTGGATATTTGTGTATACAATATACCCTATGTACGATCTATATTTAAATGTCTACGAACGCAGCAGCGATCATGCTCCGGTGTGCCAAGTGAAAAAACAAGAAGAACGGAAAGAAGACAGAAAAAGGAGCGGGACAACATCCTTTCATGGGGTAAATCTGAGCATCCATGCTACCAAAAATATAGCATTTCGTTCATCGCGCGATGAATAATGTATCAGTACATATTTTCTTTTGTTTTAGCATTGCTATCGATGTTCTTGAGCCAGGTACTGATCTGTCAATCGAATATATATTACACCGCTCGACGGAAAGACAGCTGTCATTACATTTACAAGATATTTATTCTTCCACAATTGGTCGTCACCGATCGAACGTAATTGACCCTAGAAATAAGAAAGAACGAAAAAGTCTCTCATTTCCGATTTCCTAAGGAACGATTGCACGATCGATATCGACCTCGTTGATCTCAAACGGACTGAACTTCGACGAAAACTCTGACGATCGCGATGAAATTTCCGCTTCTTGGTTTTTCCCCCTTTTCCCCCATTTTTGTCTCTCTTATTAAGTACAAACCTAAAAAAATTCTGCGACCCGGCCTCGACATGCCTGCCTCGGAGACATTCAAACACGGTATTTCGTTATCTATCGCTGCCTTGAATAATCGGGTTCCTAGCAATTCGGAAGTATTACGAAACTCGGTAAAGAGATACCGTCTATACACTATTTCCTACTCGTACGATTCTATTTAGGCGAGTAGGTTCGTAATTCCTAATTTCGGTTTCGATATCTGCAATTTTTTTCTCTGTTGATCGTTTCATTTCTTCTCACCCCTGAGGTCTGGAAGCAATAGGAACGTAGGCACCGTCTAGAAATCGAAAATCGAAAATCGAAAATTTCAAGATGAATAGTCGATTGTACGTACTACAAGTGGACATTTCATTCTTAAATGGACGAGCCTTCATCGGAACGTTTTATTTGTTCGATTCGTAACATAAGCAGACGGTACTCTGTCTAAAAATGCGAAGGAGGGAGATTAATATCAACGCAATTTGTTCTTTCGTAGAAGAAACCTAATTTTTAACAACGCTGTCGTAAGGGATCTGCACGTAATTTTGCATTTTTTTTTTTTTTTTTTTTACCATTCTTAATTTGCTGCATAATGCCGATTATACGAAATAATTGGACAAGAATTAATCGCCTAAAATAACATTCAGGCCGTTGAAAACAATTCAGATCTTGATAAAAATCGAGCTAATGGAACAAAGCTAGCGAAGGCGCGATTCCGAGTGCGATTAAAATCGGTCTCTCTCTTTCACCTTTTGCGATGTATTTCGTAACGCCGAGTATTTGTTTCAGTTTTCTCCACTTTTCTATTCCTTATTTGCTTTGTACACGCTGTACAAATCCCGTGTCGTAGGTTCGACGGAAAGTAAGTATTGCTTTCGAAAAGCACTGATCACTGATCATCCGATTCTCTTAATCCAGATCTGCAATTCGTATCGTTTTACAGATCTCCAAAGAACTGAAATTCCAAAGGGACAGATGTTCGATTATTTCTTCCTTCCCTTGCCCTATTCGTAAGAAGAAAGTACGCGGCGAATCCAATACTCGATTTTTAAAAGTCCATCACTTCCATTTTGAACGGTTTACCCTGAAGCTTATTAGGGACAATTTTCGTTATGGGCGGTGCACTGTTGTTGTCATCGTCGCTATTCACATCTTCATCCTCCTCGGGGAAGTCTTCGAGACGATCGTGATACTCGTCCAACTGAAAAAAGCAAGATCGTTACCGTTAATCGCGAGCGGCCACGTTCTTCCATGCTCGAATCGTGAACGAATAATCGCAACTAAGGCTGTGCGTGATCCTGTCTGGAACATAATAGACAAGCCAGGGCGTGTTCTTTACTAGTGAAAAAAAACTGCGGTGCCAGTGAAGTATCAAAGCAAGAAAGCTCTTGCTCCCGGTGAACTCAAACACCGGGATCGTTCGTTTCTCTCTTTCGCAGGCAACGTGCCGATTTCACACGGTGTCTAAAAGATGTTCGTCTAAGTTTAAGTAAGATCAACAAGCCGAAAAAAAGAGACATCTTCCGTGTTCTCTCCGTTTCTCTCTTCAAGATCTCATCCTCCCGATAGAAACGACGGTGCAAAGCACGTAAAATCAAACTAAGAGCATTCCATAAACTTCCATAATATGCTACGGACTCACGTGTAAGGTAACTATGGAAGAAGCGATTAATCGACGTTACCGCACACGGAACGGACGCTTCCCTATAACTGCAGGTACGTCCAACGTAAATCTTAATGGTCGTTGAGGCTTAATCGGCGCACCTTGAGCAAGTAAGTAGGTAACTCCTCTTCCAGACTTGTACTCGTGACGCGTATACCAAGCATAAGCGCGTCTCTCGGTGCGCCAATTAAGTCGCCATTATTATGACGACTACGTCTATACGTTGTCTAAACAAGCATAATGAACGTGCCCCGCGTGTTTTATCTATAGTTATTAATTACGATCGGTGATAAGAAACAATTTGACATATCAACGATACGAAATGGGATGATTCGTGTGAACAATAAAAAGTTTCCTGGCTTAAGATAACCGTGTTGTGCGAATCATCGGGTGAGAGATGCTCTTTGATGAACCGGCAAGAAATAATAGATAAAAATAGAAAGCAGATGCAAGTGCGTGTCGAGATCTATAAGATCGAAGGATGAGAGGATGATGAGGACGCGCGATCGATGTTGGTGAAACGAGCGTATCACTATCGAAGGTTTTCTGGATCTACTCACATCGACATCACCCATCATCTCTTTAGTGGAAACTGTGGTATCTATACGTCGTATGCTGCCTTGATGAATGTCAACGTCCAGTTTGACGCATTGGAACCGTCTCAAAAGGAATACGATTGGTATTGGCGCGATGCCCGCGAAAATGATGACAACCGCGATGGCCAACACCCAGCTGGGATACGCAGTAGATACGGCTATACCCTGAAATGAGCAAAAAAAAAAAAAAAAAGATGTCGAGGCCGAGTTGTGTTAGAAAATTTGGCAGCGAGACAGAGGATGCGAAAATTTATCTATACCTGTGACGCGTCCCACGCGGAATATGTAGGCTTTTTGATGAACATTGACGCTATGCTGGAAAGGAGAATACAGACCATGATTATAGGGGCAAGGAATCTCCAAGTGAATTGCCAGTATACCCCTGGTCTGTATCCAGTCATTTCCTCGATGTCTTTTGTGAATCTGAAAAAAATATTACTCTGTACTCACGCTTTCTCAACGTTTTTCAGATACTTAAAATGATAAAAATCTAAAAGTTTAACACCAAATGAGGAACGTGTAACAAATTGAGAATGTATTCAAATATTATTCTTTTAACATATTTATCCAATATATTGTATATACGTGATCTTAAACCAATTGTTTTGCTATCGATTGTAAGATTATCTGCACGAACTAAAGACTCGTAGGATTAAACAAAGATAAAGTATCAAGATAAACAGATAAATACTTTTCGTGTCCATAAACGAAGATGACGGAAATCATTTCCATGAGCGCGACCATTACGAGACCGATGGTGCCGGCGAAACTGTCGAACATCTTCAGCCAATATTCTCCAGCACCGGTACAGAATATTAAACCAACGAAGAAGCAGATCGTACAAACGACCCCTGAAAAAGAAAATGATCGTCGATCATTTTTGTTCTATCGCGAAGATAGACAACGATAATCGTACCTGTCATGTATTGCTTTTTTATTCTCTTGAACAGATCTATGTCAAAAATGACACATAGCATGCCTTCTAGTATACCGATCTGAGAGCCCAGGCCGAGTGCTAGAAGCATTAGGAAAAAGATGCAGGACCAAAATGAGGCGCCGGGCAACTCGACTATCGCCTGGGTGAAGACTATGAAAGCCAACCCTGTTCCTTCGGCGGCCTGATGATCGATAAATTTTTAAAAATTGGTAAAAAGGAAAAGAAAAACTTTTTTTCTAAGGTACAGACACAAGACAAATGTTTGCTAATTACATTGTCCAATTGCTCGCTGAGACTGCACGTTTCAAGTGTGAAGTTTAATGCGGATGCGTTTAACGTATTTACAACTTGTTCGTATTCGTCCATGGTGATATTCTCATGCGTTATATATCCATTTTGAAGAAGTAAGTCTTTGTTACTGAAAGCAGAGAAATAGAATTCAACGATTCGTTTTAACGTATCTGATGATACTTTTTCTCGTTTCATTCAAGTGTTTCGTCCAAGTTAAACGAAAAGAATCAGTTTACCTCGCGAGGCACTTATCGACATTTGTCATCGCCTTAAAGCCTAGAATGGCGAATATCACGACACTCGCGTAAATAGCGGTGAAGGCGTTACAACCGCTAACCAGGATCACGTCCCGGACACAGTTGTTGTCCGGAGTGTTGTAAGAACCGAACGCGATCAAGGAACCGAACGCTAGTCCGAAACTGTAAAAAACCTGCGTCGCTGCGTCGAGCCAAACCCTCGGCTCTAATAGTTTCTCGATCTGTAGATAAAAAAATAGAAAATCACGAGATAAGAACACGGAGCAGTTCATGAGAAGAGGTAGAAAGAGAAGAAAAGAAATTAATTACCTTTGGCGTGTACATGTGGGCTAATCCAGCGCTGGCACCTTTTAACGTTATTCCACGAATAAAAAAGATAGTAAGCACCAAATACGGGAACATGGATGTAAAATATACCACCTTTAAATCAAGCAGAAACATAAGTCGTTGACACAGTATATCTGACTCGCGCGTTTACAAGGAGAAGGAGTTTACAAGTAGGAAAGTAAACGACTACTCGCGAGGAAAAGAAAAACCGATTGAAACACTCGACGTCTTCTTACCTTCCCCGATGATTGTATTCCCTTCATCACGATAAAGAAGACGATGATCCAACTCAACAGCAGACAAAGAACGATCCACCACTTGAGCGTCGATCCTTCTTGGATCGATGGTGCTGCATCCAACGTGGTTCTGTACCAAAAATAGGCAGTTTCCGAACTCTTCACGCATTCTTCGACTGGCTTGCCATTAATCTCTGGACATTTCGCCCACGGTAACGGCTCCTGCATTAAATCGCAAAATTTACCTTCGCATCATTCCTCATTAAGCAAAACTTTCGATGACAAAAGCGGCGAGATTTGCAATTTGTTGTTACAAGAATACTACATCATGCACATTTCGTCCATTTCCTTTCTCGCCAGATTAGCAGTTGCAAACGAAAATTGAAATCGATAGGTACTTACGTTGAATTTAATCGTGACGGCCTAATCGAGCGCGGCATGAAACATAAATCGTATTCGTTAATCGAACGATCGTGGAACTGTTCTGATACTCGCGTGATTACAGCTCCCGCGTATTCCATCGATCAATTAAACGCAATAATTGAGTTGCTATTAGACTCGTTCTCGATCGATGGAATAATAACGGCCCAGGTTCAATTTATCGATCGAATCGATCGGTTATCGGATAATCAAAGAACTCACCTCGAGTGAATTGAAAAGGTAATAGAAGCACCAGGTAATGATGACGTTGTAATAAAGGGCTACGAAGAAGGTGACGATGCACGATGCTATTCCTATGCCGCCTAGCCATGGATGTATCGTGTTCCATACACCAAGGGCACCTTGTCGCATTCGTTGACCGAGACCCAGCTCGATTAAAAAGAGGGGTACACCCTCTAGGATCAGCATCACGAAAAAAGGGATGAGAAAGGCACCTGAAATGATTTTTTCGGTTTTTTTTCTCTCTCTCTCTTTCTCTTTCTTTGCTGTCTAAAAAGCGAGATCTGCATTCTTATTATTATTTCTCTTGGTGAAATAATATCGTTCGTTAGAACCCCCATCCCCATTCCACCGTCTCCCTTGTTGCTCTGACCCTTTATTATAGAATGAATGCCGTAACCGTTCTCTTTTAATCTCTCCCATTTGCCAGAGTTGGGCCGTGTCCCTGCTTACAGAATATTCTTCGTTCCCCCTTTTTTTTTTCGCGGTAGTCTAGTTTGAGACAGCCGCAGCCGGAGTGTCTGGTTCGGTATTGATCGAGTGACGCGTACGTACATAATACTTACATACGTAGTAGGTACACGTTCGATCTCATTCGAGCATTTCTCCTTTGACGTTCTTTTCTCCCTTCTCTCGTCATTTTGATCGAAAGAATTTCGCGAGCGCCGACAGACGGCATACTACTGATCAATCGTGTCATGTTCGATCCGATATTATCGCGATTACATATGTACATACGTTCTCGGCGTAAAAGATTAATTCGTTCAAGTACGCGACAAGCATGCGATACTCTGTGACACTTTTGGATAAGAATTTTTAATTCTACTGCTTGTATCGTGTTTCATACACGGTGCTACTCGTTTCCATTGTTGTTTCGAAAATTTTGAAATACCAATTCCTAAACTTCGTCGTGTTCATTATTAGAAAAACGAGAGGGGAAAAGTATTTCGTATAACTGACAGAGGTTTCACACAGTTCAGGAGAGACAGATGATTCATAAAGGTTGCGGATGCGGAATTGTTACGTATCTGCCGATAGAACGTTAAAAATCGATGGACGCGCGTCGCACATCAGCGTCAGGCTTGAACAGTGGCCTCGACGTCGCGTCGCGTCGCGTCGTGTTACAAGGGCAGAAGAAAAGGGCACATTGAAAATTGAATAGGTCCTGGTTTGTTTTCGACCTAGTGTCATATACGTCCTGACGTATCGTCGACGTAGCGAATTGCTGATCTAACCACAGTCTAATTAAAAAGAAACTCGAGCTCCGTTTTATACGTTCTGCGCAATAGTACTCTCTTTCTCTCTCTCTCTCTCTTTCTCTCTCTCTGTTCGTCGGATCCTTGGCTCGTCGACGTTCGTAACACCGGTGGAAACTTCCGCGACGAAATTCGTGGGGGCGTCTGATTTAACGTAAACCACGTTTCTGTGACGTAACGTCCTATCGTCGTGATTTCATTCGTAGTTCACCCGCCACCCTTGTTCGCGCATCCACCCACGTAAGCCAACAGCGTCTACCGATATACATACGTTGTTTCCATTTCGTTTGCATTGGAATGTAATCGAGTTACGCCAGGCTCGAGGTGTAGGTCGTGGATAGAAGAAAGATCGTGGATAGAGAGAGCGGAAGGTTCAAGGGCGAATTTTATAGGATTTTATCGTTTTCCTGGGTTTCCCTCTGTATTTAGATTTTCGAGAGAGGGGACAGAATGTATAATCGCGAGTATACGGGCGATACGACGACCAGACATCGATGACACCTCGCGATGTTCCCGTTGATAGTTTCGAAGATTCTTGAAACGCTTCGAGGATATTTATTTTTAAGCATTAAGGCATACACGACGGGGGAAGTGAGAGAACGGTTGATCGAACAGCGCGACCGAAAATAGCGTATAACGTTGCGTTTTACGTGGCCATTTGACTCTAGCTTCAAATCTATCTTCGTTCCAGTGAACATTTTCAAGGAGAACGAGCAAGTTTAAGTCCGAGGCTCTTTACCTTTCCGTACATTTAAATATGCGTTTTTCCCCTGTTGTTGCCCTTTCTTTTCGCGAGAAAAGGCGACAATGACGAAACAGAAAAAATTGGGTGATTGACACGTGGACGAAATATCACTCACCTCCTCCGTTCTGTTGGCACAGATAAGGGAATCTCCAGATATTCCCAAGTCCCACGCTGTAACCAATAATACTGAGGAAAAATTGCATCTTGCCGCTCCATTCTGCTCTGTTTTCTTCTTTGGTTTCTTGATTACCAGCAGCATTTTGACTTCCTGTTACCACGATTGTCACGTTCTGACCTGCCTGACGTTCCTCGTTCAACGGAGCCAGCTCATGCCCATTTCTCGTATTCTCGTTCTTGACTACCATGCTTCACCTCAGAGTCCGTTATTTCAAAGATAAATAGTTCAATTTCCACCTTCCACGTTCTCCAATTTCTTTCCCCTCTGTCTTCGATATTCTGTTTTTACTCCTTGTATTTTACCTTCTTCCTTCCTCCTTTCACCTTTCTCTCCCTATCTTTAGACACTTAAGCAATTCGATGGACCAGCACCGATCAGAGTAACCGAATCGATGTTTAAAAAGTGTATAGATATATTTTGAAAAGTCAGCGCAACGATCAATTACTGGCACGAGGGACGAAGAAAACAGTAGATAATGGCAGCAACGAGAGCAACAATGGCTATCGAGAATGATTATCGAGACGACCAACAGTGTAACAATAACAACAACGACGACAACGTTAACGACAGTGTCAACGAAGCCGACGACGAAGACGAGGACGAGAACAGCGACAAAGGCAGTTCAACAAAATGATCTTAATTGTTACATTTAACTATAAGAATATTTTTTATTATTTTCTGTGTCTTTCTCTTTTTTTTTTTTTTTCTTTTTTCTTTCTTCTCTGTTATAATACCGTTATCTCGAGTAAGTTAGCTGTTTGTATAGAAAAAATTCCTTAGGGTAACGCGGAAGGCATGCCTGGTACGAAGAACGCGCCTGTTTGCCGAAATAGCTCCCACGCGGACGCAGGCTGCGAACGGCAGAAGGGAGAAAGACGCGTTGTGTTACACTTCTCCTCTCTGTTCGCTTTATTCTGCTGTATGTTGTAAAAAATTATGTCGTTCTTCACCATCGATCGGTTATAGTGTCGCGTGGACGTTCACGGAAGTTGAAACCTGTGGGTCGAAACGTGTTCGTTACGAGATACGAAGGAAGAATGATGATAGAAGCGATGATACAAAGAGTTCAACAGAATTACGTGAAAATTACGTGATTCACATTGGCAAGGCCGAAAATCAACGATTCAAATATCTGTCTCGGAGCAGCGAGTATAATCGATACGGCGTGGGTTTTGTACGAGGGAGAGAGTCGTCGTATATCGGACGTAATTTTTCCTTTAATTTGCACACTATGAATCGAGAAACTTGCCGTTTTCCTTTTAATAACATCAGATAGGTTAATAGAAGAGTCGAAAGAAACACGACGAATGGGAATTACGAGACGAATCAGAAGAAACAGAGGAAACGAGCGGATAATCGAAGAAGGATGAGAGCACAACGATCGTTGAAAGGGCTCCTGTTCGTACGAGCGTGAACATTAGTTTGCCCTTCGTGCAAAAACGAGGCATCGAAATTGAGAGATGGCGCAGCCGTGGTCCACGCACAGGGAAAATCACTTTAACGACACGAAGATACCGAAGGAAGCTCACGTTTCACGTTGCTAACACGATATTGTCCTGGAGCATGCTTCCTATCCTCCGACTTTTCTTTTCTCACAGTCCGGCGTCGTTCCTCTTTCAATTTTCTCCTCTTTCGTCTTCCGTGAATGCTAGTGTTCCTTTCGATTGCGTGTGACATAAGCTTCACGAGCCGTGGAACAGTTCTTGAATCGTAAAAAATATTAACGACGATTTACTAAATCGACAGCATCGTTTGCATTACGGTCATGCTTCTCTTTCGTTCGCGCACGCTCTTTCTCTTTCTCTCCCTTCAAACTCGTTATCACAGTCGTCGATTCTATAGTCTCGAGCGTATATTGTTCAAGATGTAACAGAGGGGACGTACGTACGTACATGGAGCAGAGCTAGCCGCTGTTGGATTGTTCTTCTATTCCTGACGAAACTCACGGAACTAACCAAAACTTGTATCGTTATAATTATTTCGGAGCGGTAGTCCGCTGATTGAACCGACGGTGCTCGCTCGAACGTGGATAGCAGGCGTGTGGACGGCGAAAAGAAGGAATAATTTTCGGAGCCATGTAGTTGGGTTCCGTAACCTCCCTTCTCGCTCGAAACTCGGCTATTTTTTTCTGGCTCGTCCGATCAGACTTGCCTTTCGTCTTTTCGTTTCCTCGGCCTCGCTAGAACCTGGATATTTCTCGTTCTTCCTATCTCCGGTTGGTCGGCAAATAGCCCGCGCGAATTCTTCTCGCTGTTCTCGAGCTGCTCTGCTTGAAGAGACTCTAACAACGCGCCCCGTGCACATGAACGTCAATAACTAACTGAACCACCGTTGCGCGGCTATGTGCGCGCGCGCTTACGCACGCACGCGAGGGAACCAACGGGACGAAGCGGACCCTGGAGCTTCAATAGTACGACAAAGCTTTGCACGACGCTTTCAATCCCCGATTGGCCGTAATAATTATGTACATATGGCGCGTACGCTCTTCCGACTCCCAACTGTCAGCTCTCTGCGCTTCCCCATGAGCGAAACTATTCGATGTGTATCAGGAACAGCCGAGTTTCTACTGACCGAGTGTCCCTGGGGAGAAAATCGGGAGACGACCGTGAGCAAAAGAGGGAGAGGATTCATACCAACTGATCTATCCCTCCGTACCGATATATTTTCTAAGTGGAAAAAGAACAAAACAGACTATCTTTTCTTTGTTCTGTTCATGTTTTTCGTTAATGTTACGTTATAGTAGTACGTACCCGGCAGGGAGAGTAGGAAAGTGACGCGCGCGCGCGCGCGCGCGCCTCGCTGCACATCGATCTTCGTCGCAGCCAATCCCTGCCATTTTCGTTTGTCTCAATTGGCCCGCGATCTCAGCTTTCCTCCCGTCTTTACGAATAGAATTCGCCTTATTTTTTTCCGTTACTTTCGACAGACGTGTTTCCAACTCCAAATCGACCAACCACAGACTAGGGTTTGGATTAGCTTTTACTGACCTTCGTGCCTCGAGATCTAGTCTCCTCAAGGTCTTCCGTGATCGTTATCTAGGGTCAGGTTCTTGTGCCGTGGGTAAAATCATACCTGACGGCAACATGCATTACGGATCATACAATTAATGACTGGTTTCCATATATAAAGCACTCTGACCTGTTTGATTCAATTTCATTTCAATTGATTCCGTTCGGTTATCATTCATTCGGCACGTTATCATTTACGAATGATATTCATCATTCATTTGGTATTCTCTGACATCGGAGAGCTTTATTTAGGGAAAGATTAGTTGTTATATCGCTAAAATGATTGTTGATAAGGTGTACGAAATTATGTGTACAGAGATATTGCATGTGATAAGGACTAGTACGGAATTTTCATAACTTACTAACCGTAGCCGTAGCAGGTACTCATACAAAGACGACAAGAGTACCCATTTACGAGAACTATCATCTACTCAATAATTGTGTCAAGGGCAGATCATGTCCAAGCCATGTTGAAGAAATCAATTTGTTTAATAAATACCTCCCGTGTACGACGATATGACAAATTTTGAGCAATCGTACGCAATTGCGACACGAATTACTCGTTCGGCTTGCCCGATTAATTCCCCCTTTCTTGTCATCTATTTATAGAGATCCGCAAAACCTCGGCAAATAGACAATGTCTAAAACGATTCCTCGTTGAATGTACTTTCAAATCGATTTCGTTTCCTTCCTTTGTTCACATTTATTATCTTTCGTAAATCACAAGTAAACAGAGTCGATTATATTTGCTTCTATTTTAACGTGACCGTGTAATTGCTAGATATTGCCTCTCGTAAAGCGTTTCACGTCACATCCTCATTCACGAACTTATTAATAATGAGACATTGTTTATGCGCAGTTAATTTCAAGTCATCTATGTACAGGCTAACGTGGCTTCCAAAGATTGATGCGCTGATATTCGTGGAAGGGTCGTCGCGTGGCGATGTTACCTCGATGATTTTCTCTAGTACCATTACAATCTGGTTATGTATGTGTATACATATAATTTATATATATATACTTGCATTGTACATCACCATGAAATGGTATTGCGTAAGCGCTTTATAGTAATCGACTTATACACGTATAAAAATTTAACTTGATTTGTACAAATTCATGCATTAATTTCGCTTACGATTTCGAATCTGCATGCGATCGGAATGTCTGTTGTAGAACACGCGATTTTCGTGACTGAAGATATTGCTTACTTTATATTTTCCATGTGTCGCAATACTGTTCGTTTTTTTCGTATTGCGCATAACAAGCGATTTAATGTTACTAGAAATCTCGTTCTGTCTACGTTAATAAAAATAGGTTTTGCGTGAATAGAATCAGTTTTACGATCGATTAGAACGTTACAAGAGACAGATGCTTCAACGTCGTTTGAGTATTCTTACGTAAATATCAAATAATATTAGCCTAGGCAGTAGACAAGGGTGAGAAATAGACAAGGAAAAGAGAATAAGGTGAAATAAAACACTCAACTATCAGATTATTTAACAATATTAACATTTTAACAATACATATATATATATATATATATTTAGGAACATATATTAATATTATAAAGCTTTTGTAGTCTCCAGACTTGGAATAATAGACTGGTATATTCTAATCATTTAATATTAATTCATGACGACTGTTTATCCGACACAATGTGTATTCTTATCATTTCTCTAGGAAACTTTTAAACTTATGAAAATGTGAGATTTTCTTGATAAGAATCAAGCCATCAACTTAATGAAATAATCAGGTCCGCTATCCGTAATGTGTATTGCTACAAATCGAATCAAATTCGATTAAACTGTGTTACTTTATTCAACGGTACAGTACCAGGCATCTGAAATAATAAAATTACGGAAATTAAAATTTTCACTATTTTATATTTTAAGATCATACCTGGAGTTACTGAAACAATCCAATCTATGTAAGCACCAACTCTAGTATTTAAACCAGCAGTAATGGCACAGCCTCTACCCCTAGTAATGATCCCTATCAAGACAAGTCGCCTAGTCGTAGGATCTTGCCATAAAACTGGTCCGCCACTATCCATCTATTTATTAAACAGATTTCTTAGTATTAATATATTCATAAAGAATTTATTTAATCACCCAATTATATCTCAATTATGTCGTAATTCAAAAAGGAATTTACTTGACATGAATCCTTGCCCTCAGCATAGGTACAGATTTGATTTGTAGTTACATTCGGGTAAGTTTTGGAACACTGCTGATTCGTAATTACGCTTAGAGTAACTTTTTGTAAGATATTAGAAGTTGGACCACCGAAATCCGTTGTTCCCCAACCTAATTTTAACATGAGTGAATGAGATAAAGTAGCAATGTGTTCGTTATATAATCATTATATCACTAACCCAATAATTCAACATAATTGCCGCCAAAAGTATCTGGTGAATGTTGAAAAGGTAGACAAACTGGGCCTACCTGGTTATTAAATGTTATATATTTTTCTGTTTTTAAGATAGCCACATCATTTTCACCATTTCTTTGATTATACCCAGGATGCACAATACCCTGGATTACTCGATGTAATACCGTAGCATTTGTATCCGTTCCTAAGTGTCGAAATCACATTACAGTGCGAAATATGAAATATTTGTATTTTCAGCTAATACTTACCTGTCTCCAAATCATAATCCCCAACAAGGGCACCTAAATTTTGTAAATCTCTATTAATGAGGCAATGCGCTGCAGTTAACACGTATCTGTCGGATATTATAGTAGCACCACAGAACACAATTTTTTGGTTGGCATCCACAATACCACACATCATAGGGAACTCGTGTACTCCAGCATTTGTTCCACCGACTATCCGGCTCTAAGAACGATCAACAAAAGTCCCAATTAAGTCCGAAATAATTTTATTTAGAAGAAATGTCGATCAATTTGTTTCGATGAATACATACGGGATTTTTTCTTCCGCATGAACAATTTTCAGGATTTTGCGGTCTGGACAATGCTTTCACTTCACAAAAAAATCGACCGCCATTCGTGAACGGCACCGATTGTAGTGTTATAACCATCGAGTTTGATTCGGATTGTATATTAAATGATCCATTACCACAATACCGATGTACAATAGAAGGACTGATTTGCACAGCTAGATTGTCTTTAAAGCAATTGTCACTCTGCACGAAAATTATTCATTATTTCCAATTCCTCGTAATAATTCCTTATTATAAACTTTATTAAAAAGATTCTTTATTAAAAACTATGGTCTTACCCATGGTAATTCAAATACAGTACAAGACAAATTAATTTTATAATCGCTCACGACCGTCCACGAACATGATACATTCTCCCTATATTGATATTGGATATACCGTATTGGATTCGTAGAAGTTAATCTATCGGAATAGTTGCATTGACCATTACTTAATTTAACCGAAAATACAGACCAACTGAGCAACAAAAACGCCGCTGCAATGTAAAAAAAGTTTCTTGAAAAATAATTAAGATGAGTTTGATTTTTTAATTAATTCATCCTTTTATTTTCAGCGAAAAGCAGAAAATTAAATGTAAATACTATTTTGGAACGCATACTTAAAGCGTAAGCAAGTTACAAGATGTAAAAAAATAATTATAAGTGCAGTAACTGTAAATGTGTAAATATTATTTATGTTCTGCGAATAGCGCAAACGATGTACAATAGAAAACATAAAATAATCGTTAAATTTTTTTTTCTTAAATAAAAAATTCATTGTGTCTACCTTTTGTCATAATACTGCGGAATGCAGTATTCAGACAGAATCATTTTTTTCGTTAAATAAAAAATTCATTGTGTCTACCTTTTGTCATAATACTGCGGAATGCGATGATAATGCGTACGGAAACCATGATACTTTGATCAACAATTTGTTACGTGACAGATACAGAAATTTCGAAGGCACGATTGCTACTCATCTGTCTACATTTGCGTGCATTCTGGGGTTTTTATCCACATCGCAAAGACGAGTTAAGACGACAACTAATGATTTTACGGTATTATCACGAGGTCTTATCAGAGGTAGTTGCAACCTCGAAAATAAAAGTAGATTTATGACAACTACTTTCGAAACAAAAATTCCTTAATGTTGATATTCGTTCATTTTAAACGTATATATATTATTATATATATTTATACGTGTTTCATATTTCTTTTTTCATTAGTCATTTAATCGTTAATATAATCGTATTTATCAGACTGTTAATACTTCTTAATATTAGCATGATAGATATTCAAGATATTGATATCTTGCGGTTAATTGGAAATCATATGAGATATACTTTGGTAATAAAAATAAATAAAATCAATTGATAAAATAATCAATTAATTATTTTATGATGTTTTTAATATTTAAAAAGTTTACTTGTTCCACATTTGTCAATGTAAATATTTAATTAATTAGCAACGAATAATTTTTTTTTATAAAAGTATAGTTTATTTTTTTAAATAACAATCTGAATGATGCAATAGCAAAAGTTAATATAAAAATATAACACTAAAAAAGTTAAATTTTTTTCTTTCTTTACATACAGTAGTTTTACTAATAATAAATAGAGTATAGCTAGACGTAAAAATATTAATCATTGAAGAAAAATTATAATTATACATCTACATAATCATGTACTTGAAAAAAGCATTTCCTTCGCGATATTATTTTGTTTAATTAATATAGATATAGATATAACGTCAAAATCGAGGACGTCTTAGATATATGTATATAATTAAAATTTGAAATACTAATAATAGTAATCAAAGTAGTCCATAAAATGAACTAATCTTTGAAAATTTTACGCGCAATAAAATCATTTACCTCTATTTTTTTTTTATATATTTTTTATATAATTTTAATTTTAATATAATTTTATATATAATTTTTTTCTATAATTTTATTTTTTATATTGCACGAATATAAAAGCATATTTACGTAACGTATTAGATAAATATTATTCTTTAATGATTTAATTGAGAAATAAAATTTTGAAAGAAAAGAGAAACATATCGATTGTTTATAATTTATCTGAATTTTTTATAACTGCTTTTGAATTACTTTTATTTGTTAGCAAATAAGCGAATAATGTTTATAACTTAAAAATAAGTACAGGAAAATTGAATCAAGCACCATCTGGTGAGAATGTTTAATACATTAAATAGTTACTATGGCAATGAATAAAATACAAACTCAGAAATTAATAAAAATATGTGCGACTGTACAAGTGTACGCGTGCATATTCTGTTCGAATAAATTTGTGATATGTGAAATTGATCAGATCACTCATAGTTTTAAGTATTTTTAACAATTTTGACTAAATGATTTTATTAACTTACATCACATTTAAGTTGTAAAAGAAAAAATAAAAATGGCTAGTTACGGTAGCATTGACAAAAACGAGAAGGTAATTATAATTAATAATACATGTAATATATTTAATACTTAATATTTTGTAAGAGAACAAAAATTTGTGTAAGAAAGTATTTCACATAAACTTAACCTCACTCTTTTTTAACGTATAGCATAACTGTAGGAAAACAACAGATATAATGAGTAACCAGGACACAGCTTCTATACCAATTTATCGTCGTAGACGCATTTCAAAAACTAAACATATATTGAAAACTTGCAATGCTCATGAATATCCATCAGATTGGGTAATTGATAATATAAATGAATTACCATTTAGAAATAAAGGTAAAACGTATGAACATGAAAGAAGTAAAAATTTAAGTGAGCACAATATTCCACAAAAACAAGTATTTGATGAAGGCGATGCAGATTCAGGTATATACATTGAAGGTTTATAGCTGATTATTGGTTTGGATGAACAACAGTAAAAATTTTGTACTTTATCATTTTAGGTATTATTTCATCAAGAACGAAAAGACGTATCTCAAAGGACACAACAAAAATAATTAATGAGTATAATAAATTGGGAAAATGTTATAAAAGTGCTAAGGAAGAATGTCAGAAATTGAATGATACATTGGAGCAAAGAGAATTAGAGCATAAGAAAATATGTTCACATTACGAAGCATTAATTCATGAATTAGAAGGAGCCAAAATCACTTTGGTCAAGCATAATCAAAAACTTGAAATAGAGAACGTTCAGTCAACTGAAGATATAGCACTTTTAAAGAATATTGTTTACCAGTTAAATACCGAATTAGAGAGGTATCAAGACAAGTTAGGAGACCAAAAGCGTGAACATATTTCCACACACACAGAAAATGAAAGAAAGTACGATTCAAGAATTTGGAAAAATATTAATTTTCATGCGTTGGGTCCACTTTTAAACGCTTACCAAGAAAACTTGTCAGAAAAGCAAGAACTTGTACAGATGTATGAACAGGAAATGGCCGATTTTAGTAGTAGATGCAAAGAAATCCTTGTGGAAAATGAATTTATGCACAAAGAAGTAGAGGAATTGAAGTTAGAGGTAAATAATTATAAATGTATAGATGATGGGGATAAATAAATAAAAGATATTTCAGTTGTCATATAAATAACTGTAATGAAAACTGTGTAGTGCAATAGGTACGCAAAGGAGATTAAAAAATTGGTTGAAAATATTACGTCGTTGAAAAAGCAAAATGATATTTTAAGAAAGGAAGCTGCAAATATAAAAAGAGAAACTAATGATATTCATTCGTCGTATGAATTAAAAATGGAAGTAATTTTAAAATGTAATGAAACATTAAAAAAGGAATATACAACTTCGGCATCGGAATTGAGCAATCTACGTGGAAAATACGAAATTTTAAGTAAAGAGTTTGAAAAAATGAAGGGTAAAGAAAACCAAACTGTACCTACTATTATTCATACTACCGCTATTGAAGAATGTAAAACATTGTTAGATGAATTAAAGCATCAATATGAAAGTGAAAAGCGCAATCTTTGCAATCATATAAAACGAATAGAGGAAAATCAACCCGAGAACGAAAAACAACTTATAATGGTTACAGCTGAAAGGAATCATTTAAAGGGTCTTGTAGAAAATCTCGAAACAACTTTAAAGTAAGTCATTTATTTGTATATTTTTTACGTAAATATACTGTCCGTACATAACGAGTACTTAGATTGTTCGTAGACAAACGCAACGTAAAATTGAACATATGCAAACTCTTATTTATTCGACTCGAATTTCACGTAATTCTTTGAAAGAGAAATTAAGTAAAATGACTGTTTATTGCGAAGAATTATTTTCCAAGTATGAAAGAACTGTTGCAGAAAGAGAAAAATTACTCTCTTTTTTATGTGAAACCGAAAAAGAAAATGTAAATATGGATCGCCTTGGTAAAAGTATTAACAATCGAATGGAAGGCTTAAAAAGTCAATTAGAAGTATGTCCAACGTATACATATATGGTATTTAATAAAGTATGGTATTTAATAATAATAATAAAAACCGCACACAATTTATGATTTCAGATTGTTCAAAAAGGTACGAAACAACAGGTAGATTCTGTGGAAAAACGTATAAAATTACAAGAAGTTCATGTACGCCGGATGAAACTTGACTATCAACGTAAAATACAATATTTGAATGATATAATTAAGCAACAAGAGAATATTATTGAAAAATTGCAGAAAGAGAAGTATCCTAGTCAGGAGAATTCGACAAGGCGGACAGTTCAAACAACAAATGATGTTAATCTAGGCACCTGTAATACTGAAACAAAAAATTTATGATCTTTGAATCTGGATCATGAAACACCTGCACGTTATAAAACTCATGATAAGATCGTTCATAATAGATTGGACTTTGAAACTGCTTTTTAACGAATCTCATAATAAGCATCTAATTATGGAATAGGTGCTCGAAACATCGTTCTCGTATTTACAAACCGTGTCAGTCGCTTTATTTAGCAGTGACATCAAATGAAGCAAGTGGTTTCGAAGGCTACCGTATTTTACTATATGAACGGTCGATGGTTGTAAAGGCTCCAGTAATCACACGGTGAAAAGTTGATGTCATCCGTTATAGGTATGATGTCAGACGCGTTCCATTCATTCATATGTAAAATATACCTGTTCTTTTTTAAGTTATTTACAATGAAATTTAATAATAAGTCTGCATCAATAATATACACATACACGATATTTTAATAACCTATCAATACGATAGATATATAAAAAATTAATTTTTCAGTTACAAGAATTTAAAATATACCCTCCTGGTTTTCCGTTTTTCCTTCCTTATTTCGCTGTAGCTTTTGTCAAGGAAATTTGCATATGATTATTTTTATAAATGTACATTCGAAGGAAAATGAAATGAAATATTGGAAACAAGAATAATATAAAAAAAGAAATAAGAATAAGAAGTAAATAAAGAGTATTGGAGTAATAAGAGAAAATTATCTTCAGGATTGGTGTAAGGTGATGTAATTAAATAGTCACCGGAGAGGCGTTGCAAACCGAAACAACCGCCGTCAGATTAGTTGTATCGTTAAAGTTCGGAGACTCTCGACGTGTGTCGGACGCGTTCGTCAAAAGCAAAATGTCGTCTGCTAGGTGCGTCGTCAGGAACCGGGTTGTATTTCTAACGTGAAAATTGCCATGATAAGTGATAATGCGATGTTTTTACATATAAGTACATAGTGTTTTCTGTTGGGAGATATATCAAAAGTCGCAAAAAGATATTTTTTGGATCGGGCTCTTTCGTTGCTGACAAAGATACTTAAGAAGAATACCGGTGAACATTGATTTTTCCTGCTTTCGCATCTTACTCGACATATAATCAAACGGTAATGCATATCCTTCGTATTCTGTCGACTCGTTAATATTGTAAGAATTTAAATGACCATATATGTTTATTAAGGAAAATAGATTGTAAGGAGATAGTATATTAAATCATTCTTGTTGTATCGCGTGAAACTGATTATTTGTTACGAAAATCGAACCGATATGCTCGAATGAATCATAATTACATTTTATTATTTTGGCACGGTTATCTTGATTAGTTATTTGCACGAATGTCTTTCGCAGATGTCGCTGATTCTAGATATCACACATTGCTCATAAAACTTTTACGTCTGAGTAGAAAATATCAAAATTTTGTAACGTTAATTCAATATTGATAACGTTCTTCGAGAGTAACGTTGTTCTATCGTGTATATCTTTGTGATGCGCAAACTCAAAGAACTCGGTGTCATTTGGTTGGAATATTATTAACTGTGTTCTTGCTACATTTTCTGTTAGGTTAGGTTTAACTTGAGAAACCCAGATTATATTATTGTTTTAATTAACAAAAATGCTTTGAAGCAAGAATGTTCTCGAGAATCTGAATATTCAGCAAAAAGAAAAAAACGTACAAAAGTATTTATTGTACTCTAAAATTTGAAGTATAGAAAAGATGGGAATGAGAAGAAAAAAATTGCTTCGATTGCATGCTTATCAACTGAAGCCTTTTATGTTGCGAATATAGAACGGATGTCCGTATTTTTTTATTCAGAGTAGAAAAAATTAACCAAGACTGTGAAAAGTTTCATTCGTAAAAATATTTCGTTGTGTATAAATGTTTGATTAATAATTATCTGAACAAGCGATTTCGAATGGACTATCTTACCTCGGACAATAATAGAATCATTGTTAAATAGATAATAAAATGCCTCCCAAGAGTTTCATTTGTTTCTAGCACAAATGTACATAAACGACTGACCCAGTCTGAAAATAAAATGGTGAGCTCTACATCGAAGAATTTATGCATATTTCAATTTTTCAACATCGCTTGAGAATTAGTTCGACTTGATATGTTATCACATCCGCTTCCGGTTCTTTATATCGGATCTGTCTCGATCTATGTATCTTGCACCATTGATTTACATATTCAATATGTACAGAAGTTAAATAGGAAACGCGTTAAATGTCATTATTAACACAATCAGCATTCACTTGCAAATGAAGTTTCATGATATTTCGAACATCCTTAGAAAGCGCTGTACGATAGGAAGCATTACTTTCCCCACAGTTATGAGTCATAATTCGCGTACTAAAATATTAACGCAATGTTGTTCCGTCTCTTCTGGACACGTATACGTTGCCGCGGGTATTTTGAAAATCAAATATTTTTGTACGATTCACAATTAACGCTGTTAAAAGAGAAAAAGAAAGAGGGAAGAAAAAAGTAAAAATATTTTGTTTATATTTATAGGATGTTTCGAAAGGTGGATACTATTGAGGACAGCAAGGGCGATGAAACTAGACTATGGCACTTTGACGAGTGAAATACTGAAGAATCTTCGATTGGTAGCAAAGATCGTGACACGATCAGAACGACAAGAATTCGAGACCGTGTTTGAAAAGTCGAACCTGACCTAATCGTTTTCAACCAAATCTAATCTGACCTAAGCGCCGCTGTCAACGAAGATACGAAGCGTTACTGATTATCGGCATATTGGAAACACGTTACGTTGTTAGCTAAAACACCTGCTACACGTATCGACGAGTATCGTCAAAAGGACGCCAGACATCGCGTACGCTTTCCCTGTTCATTCGTCTCCTTGCCACCTCTCTTCCTTCCGTTCCGCCGGTGCAGTTCGTGCACTTCTACGCAGCGGTACGCTACTCTACCCTACAACAGCGTCGTGTACAGTAAATAAACGCGCAGCATGTTGGAAACGAGTTCCACGTGCTTTCTGTTTAGTTGAGACTATTTTCAACTACAAAGCTATTCATTCTGAAACCAGGAAAGAGAAAGAGAAAGAAAAAGAGAGCTAGTATGATTTACATCTGAGAGGAAGAGAGTAGTAAAAAAAGGATGTCGTATCTAATATCGGTGCAAAGTTGCCAGCTGCCTGTCGATAACACGGCGATTTAGTTCGGTACACTATTCGCCGTTGCCTTTGTGAACGATATTGAACGAAGACGACGTAATACTTCGGGACTCGTGTGTGCCACGGTTGTGAAATTGCCAAGTGGTTGTGAAACAGTGCCAAGGAAAAGAGAAGTTGCACGAATATGGTGTAAAAAAAGAAAAAGGAGAAGTTTCAATCACACAGTTCCAGAGAATGGAGTTCGAGCTGGACGGAAGTCTCAAGGAATGGGTAAAGGATAAACCGCTGAGTATTCTGCAGCTAGATCCTGCTGACAGAGCCGTCTTACGGATTGCCGGTAAGTGTCAATTGTTATTTCTATTTTTATTTTCATAGCCGATTACGCATTTGAATTTTCTACGTATTATGATGTTTCATGTTTCGTTTTTCGTTTTTGTTCTAAGTTCGTTTCATGAATACATATTAATTACACAAGGCTTGCTGATTTGCTGATTTGCTCGAAAAAAAAATTCTAGCCTTCTAGTTTCTGAGTTTTAAGTACTGGGTGTACACGAACTATACGAGGTATTCAATCAATTGTAAAATGGGCATCATTATACACACGAGTGTGTTGAATTACGTTAAATGGCCATGACGTTTGCCATGCTTATATCACGCCAACAGCGAGTATCGTACTATAATATTTAATCGACGATACGTACATATGTAATTGACCAGGATATTAACGTATAATGAGTATAAATTAACCACACCGATATTCAATCATTTACTCTTATTTTTCAACTCGAACGATATTAATCGAACAAACTTATACGTCACAACTCGTCGACACGTGCGTCCGAATTAATAATGATGCTTGTAATTGATGAAATTCTTCAGATACCCTTCCTGTCAATTTCCTTCCGAGTACGATTGTATTGATTTAACGCATAAGCGTTTCGTGAGAAGAGGAAAGTATAGTAGTCGACGTACGATTGTATCGTATCGGACTCGTTTGAAAACTGATACGTGTGTACTCGCGTTCATCTATACGGAGGCAAGTATAGTCATGAGAAATTAACCGCGTTGTAAATTCTTCCGATGTAGGAAATGAGAATCGTTTGCGGTACAATTTTGCGCCGACCTTCGATGCGGGGTGTTGACCAGGAATAGACACACGAAACCATTCGATAAATATCGGATTGCAGTTTGCCGATCATCTTACCGTGAGAGTTTTTTCATTTGGTTTACGTGCCTCTGTCACAAGTCGTTTTTCGCGATGCTTTGATTTTCGAACGAGTTCCACCTCTCGGTACATACTTCAAAATCACATTAAACAGATCTCTTTAGCGATCATCCATTTCGCTATTTCCACTCTTTTTCTCTGTTTTCTTTGTTCTATAACGATAGGACAAACGTGTATATGCATATGAACGTATGCATGTAGGATACATCCGATTCGTGAAATTACAGGCTCTAATTCACGCTCACAAAAGCAACGGTGCGCGCGGGGTCTACTCGGTTCCGCACCATTTTCAGGTAGCGTCGTTAAAATGGTATTCGATCGAAGTAACGTAACTTATATAGCGTATGTAGGTAAGAGCAAATACCGAAGTATCGCGTCTCGAGCACGCGAGCATAATTGTTTCTAATTATAACGACCTATTGGTGCGCTATCGTGAATGTTCTAGTAACCGTTATTCTAATCGAGTATCGAGGGCCGATTCTCTCAATTGCCATGCTACTTCGAGAGTCGCGCTGCTTCTCCTTCCGCTGATATTAATTTATGGCTTTCTGAGAATATGAATCTCGTCTGGTAGAATGACTTTTAATCACATTGAATGCGTTCCGGTTGAGAAGTATGAATGAAGACACTTGTGTCGCGATCAAAGAGAGCAGACGATCGAGTAACGCGTGGCTAACGATCTAATATCGTCGCGTCGATGAACTCACGACTGTGCTTTTCAGCGGTCACGGTCCATGAGATCTTCGTCCCAGAGAGGTTATACTAGTTCACTATGCCTACGCGATGGCAAGTAAGGAGCGGAGGTGGGCTCGCATTAATCTAGGAGCGTGGAGGCGGCAACAGGTGCTTAGGTCACGGTTCGATGCCCCAGCCTCGAGAACGTCTTCTTTTCCCTTCCTCCTTTTTGCTCCTACAATCTTTTTTCCTTCCTCGTTGTTACTTTCTTCCTCGTGGCAAACTCGTTTCATTTAGACATTTAGCGACATTTGCGCATCATTCGAGCATCATTTCTTTTTTAAGCTCGGATCACGGTCCGATGGGATAGTTTAACGCGTTTGTATTTTTTTATGAAATTATCAAATATTCTAAGAACATTTATTGGAAAAGATATGAAGAAAGTTTCGAAAATCGAGTAAGAAGAGAACAGAATTTGAACAGGTGTATTTTTTTTTGGCACCTATTGTACGTATTATTACGATACCCGTTCTTCTTTGCTTCGTGCAAGGTTTCACGAGCCGCTCGCTAGATGTCCTGGAGTACTTGAAGTACCTGAAGAGAGAACTCGGTGCATCCAATGCACCTGTGTCTCATTTCGCACTTTTTTTTCGAGATAATAAGAGAACTTTTCAGGACGATTATAAATAACTACAAGTATGTCTCTAAGCGAGAAGATAGAACCTTCTTTAAGCGAGAAGATGGCACTTTAATTAATTGGTTGGAACTGATTTATCTGACAATTCAGAGATGCTTACCTGTTTTGAAAGATTTTCTCATCGAACATCCCCTTGTGCCTTGAGATTTCTTGTTTAAGGAAGAGGAAAACGTTAAATTATACATTTTTGGCGTTAGTCTAGATCCGATCAACCGTTTCGACGTTCACAACCAGACTAAGTTCCCTTTGCTGGAATCCAGGTTTTAATATATATTGTGTGTGATAATCATCGGTGCGATCGCGGTACAGTTAGGAATTCGTGTGTACATGCCAGCGACGTAGTTAAAGGTGAAAAAAAATAAAAGTAACAGATAAAAAGTTGCCTGGTAGGATCCAGGCCATAAGACGAGAACGATGAACCGCTGCTTCGAACTCATCGAATATGTAGTAGACACTACGATATAGCGTTAGAACAGTGGAAATTATCTCGTTTGGGATAAGCACATTCAACTCGGTCAACGGTTCTACTTGGTAAAGGAAAATTTGTTGACGAGCATTTAAAATGGCAAACAACTGTATGCTCAAGTTTGAAACTTATCTCTTCTATTGAAATTGAAATTATTTCGACCTTTGGCTTACAAAATGTTATATCCGAAGTTACCTGGTTTTACTTTCGACATCTTACAGCAAGAATTATTTTCTTTCCGGGTTGGTTACCTGCTTGTCAAGTTGTCAAAAACCTAAGTACACGTTTTACTTCTGGGTAGTTCATAAGATAACCAGAGTCATTTAGATTTGAAATATAAACATTGTGGATTATTTTATAAAAATTAAAAAATATATATATTATATGTAGAATATATTATATTCAGATATATTATAAAAATACATTATATATAGAATATTATATTCAGAATCACTGGATATTATTTATTTTCTAAGAAAAAAAAATTTATTCTCTAAATATTACTCTAGGTATTTATTAACTGTCTTATTTTACATCTTTGTACTGGAATAATAATAAACAATATCTATTTTTCGTTAGTAAGATTTTCACTAACAAAGGAATTGGATAATTTCGCACGACACAAATGTTATCGTGTATCTTGAATCTTGATAAGATAAACATTTGTGTATTCGCGACGAAAGTCACATATTTAGTATCCACATCTGTTAGCGGCGATGTCGCATTTGCCGTCGAGTTTCACCGCGAACATAAACAGGAGATAGAATATCGGCGACGTTAGGAATGATCGACGAAGAAAAAATGAGGTACATTTGGTCATTTGGCTTGGTGCCAGATTGCAAGAATTCTCACGCTAGCGGCGGGTCTTACTGTGTCTGGAATACGGGCGTCGTTTTCTTATTCGCGATTTTTTCTTCAGTCAGGAAAGAATTTCCCGCGAAACGGTAAACGATAAAGGGCTACGACGATATTGGACGAACGTCAAAGTGCAGTAGTATTTATGTATGAACATACAATAATCCTTGTGTTTGGCAGATTCAGTTCGGTGTTCGGTGCATTGAATTTGTGATTCGCGGCATTTTGCACGGCGCGCCCCTATCGTTACGCGACCTGCCCTACGAACCTGTTTGTAACGGCAGCTATTCTACAGCGGCAGAGTACGGCGCTGTCAAAAAGACAGAGGCCTGTCTTACCTGATCTTTGTCTATCACAGCTGTCCTTTGATCCTGTCTCTATTCGGTTCTGGAGGCCGGTTTCACCCCGACCCTCGACTTGTCGATTTCTCTGTTCAACGAACGGGGAAAGTGAAGGATGAACGAGCTGCAATGGCGGGGCATGCGAGGAGTAGGTTCTGGAACCTCGAGGCTTGAGGTAGAGGCAGCTTGGGTGGGCGGCAGTTGTCCAGGCCGCCGCAGTCTGTGTCGAGGCGACGTGCTCTACACGACGGAGCGGCAAATCGCGTCTTCTCTAACTCGCAAGCCGCTTGCTCGCTCTCCTTCTCTCCCTTCCTCTTTCCTTTCTTTATTCTCCCTCCCTTCCTACTCTCTCTCTCATTCTCCTTCTATCTGTCTCTCTACCTGTTTCTCTTTAACGTTTCTCTCCCTTCTTTTCTCTCTCTCTCTCTCTCTCTCTCTCTCTCTCTCTCTCTCCTTTCCTCCCTCCTTCCCTTACTCTATCTCTGTCTCTTTCTCGTTCTCTCGTCTTCTCCCTTCACGCGTCTCGTTGCCATTCCTCCTCTTGCTCGGATCGGTCCCTCCTTGCGTTCGTCGCGCTGTTCCTTATCCATTCGTTGTTCCTTTTTCCTCGGCCCATTCATCCTTCTCGGTCCACCTTTCCGTCTTTCTCCGTTCGACCGTTTCTTCGGCGCGAGCGTGCGCGCGCGTTCTTCTCTCGCCGTGAGTCTCTCTATCCTCGTCGTGCGGCCTACAGCTACCTGGCCGTGTTACGGGGTTCCGGATACGCGCGTCGACTTCGTCAACGTTGGTCGTGCGGTACGTTCTACCAAGAATTCCAGTGCCACGTCTTGTGTAGCAGCGGTTGGTCGGTTTGGGTCGGACGGCTGGACGAACGATTAGTTTGGTTAGTTGGTCGCTGCTCTGTCAGTTGCTAGATAATCCGTGTCAACAGTGTTCTCACGTATAAATACGTTCCCGATGTCATAACTCGCGCATGAACGCATTCTTGACAAAGCGTTCACAACGATCGGATAGAGTGATAAACGAATCAACGAACATCCGCAATCCGCAATCCTCTTTGTTATCGTGACGTGTTGTTGGTAACGTGTCAAGAATTGATAACGTATCAATTTGTTTAGATAGATCCATAATATGTCGATTGATAACTAGTGTAACAATCGAAGGAAGTTCGATGTACAAAAAGAACTGGCCTCGTGGCCTCGTGGCGTAGATGTTTCTCGTATTTAACACGTGACAGGAGTCTGTTCCATTAGTTTGGTGTACACTCGTGGATGTTGGTCCATTTTCCCGTGGAATATGTATAGATATTCAATGAAAAATTTCGGCAAACCCGTTGGCCTTTGAGCCAAACACGAGGCGTTCCGTGAGTCACGCTTCGTTCCGTGGCACCTCCCAGTTCTTCTATCTCTGTCTTTAACTATGACTGTCTTCCTCTTTTTGTTTCATTCTTTCTTTCTTCCTCCAATGTTAGACTCGTATACTCACTCACTCAGTCTCTCCCACTTGTATTCCTCGACTGCCCCTTCCATTAACAACCGCGTTGTTGGTAATCACGAAACGGCATATCGAGTCTGGACGACCGATTCAGCAAACGAGAAACGCGTGCACTGATATTATCATCAGGGTTCATTCAAGATTACGATCACGTTAGTATTTCTCCCCTTTGTTTTCTTTTGTCATTTCAAGCTTCGCTTCCTGGAATTTCCCTCTGATAGACTAACTAGTCGCAATTGCTTTGTGTTATTCGTTTCATTCCTTTTAAGTTGGTAGTATGTTAAGCAAGCTTCATAATAGTCTGAAATCCGATCTCCGAAACGCAAGATATGTCACTTGATGGGCTGACGTAAGAATCGGGCTATCAATGGAATGTCGAGAGATATCGGTGCGATCAGCGAAGATAACATGTTACACTATCGTTACATATAGTATGTATACATATACCCTTGTTCGAAGGTGTAATACTTGGATTATTTTGTCGAATGCAAAATTATGAAGTCATTCGTGATCTTTGTTATCTGGATTATCAAGGACATTTATTTACATTACAAATTTGTTTTGTAGTACGTCTGTTGTTTTAGGCGTTCTGGCTACTTGTTTATCGTATTAGAAACAATTATCTATCTTTTTTTACATATTTATTGTCGTAGGCAATTTTTAATATTATTTTACTTATCGTATTCGATGTAATTATAATTTACTTTTTCTCGACAACTTTTCTAGAATTTCTTTTTTCGAGTTCACATAAAAATAGCTGTGAACCAGAGCTATTTAATATTCACATAAGATTGAATGACAAGATTAAATTGGAAAACTTACCGCTAACTTCTGCAAACTTTCACAGTATGAGTTTTAAGTTTTAAGTTTTAAGTTTCGATATGACTAGTTCCACGATCGAAAATGGCAAGCTTCATAGTTATATCGTATTTTTGAATGGGGGTGTATAAAGATAGACTTGACGATTTTAACGGTAAGTGAATAAGAAGAAAGTCGTTTTCATCGAATACGGGGATTGCGTAATAATTGCAGGCTGCTGGAGTTCTATGACAAACCGGCTTCGCGAGAAACACCGCGTACAATCACGTATGAGTCCGCGTTTATGTATCTCCGCGTGTACATGTGGAATTTCTTAATTTGGTCCGATCGACCTATTCTCTCGAATCGGTCGTAGCCAGTCGATCTGTCTTGGTATCGTTTCGTCGTTTTCAACATCGTCGAAATACGAAGGAACATTATTTCGTGTATGCGTGACGATTATTATTGTACCAACTAGACGGGAATCTAGTGTCCACTGCTTTTGAATTTTCATTGTCTATTTTAAGAAAAGCGTACATCTCGAAACTATGGAAAGCGTGTGGTATGCCAAAGTGGAACGAATCGTGTATTTTCTTGTCAAATTACTGCATTCGTCATAATTAAGTTTTGTCATGTACATCACATTCAAACGGAATGCCAATTACATATTCGTATGACACATACGCTTCTTGTTTTATCTCATCATCCTCTAGCATACGATACTCATCCCTATTCCAACAAATATTTTGTTTCTTATACGATTGCTCTTCGACTTATTTTCATTCACTGTCTTTATTTTTCTGTTTTAATTTTGCATTAACTATTCGAAACATTTCTTTATACTCGCTCACAATTACAAATGATTCTGTTCTCACGCTAATTCGCTCTTGCTGTGATTGTCACTCTCTCTTGTCTATCCTCTTGGGTATATCGCCCCATCTTCTGTGACCTCTAGCGTAATCGTATCAAAAACGTATTTGATTGTTGCGTTAACAGACACGGTTCTCGGCTGAGCGATCTTCTATTCATTCTCATTCCAATTTTTTACTCGTTTCCGAGGATATCATGATGTCTCAACGATTGCACAAACCTTCAAAGATTTATCGTTTATTATCGTTGTTTAAACAAAAAATTGAGCAAATTCAGATTGCGCGAATTCATACCGAGAAACGACGTAGATCGTTGTCTCTCTTTCGGATTTTACGGAATCACGTCGAACGTCGACTGTTCTATTTGACACGCGGCCATCGAGATCACGTTTGCAACCTCGAAAACCAGTTTGGGTCACGATGCGAAATAGGAATGGAGTTTAGAGAAAAATCGAAAGCTTTATTAACCCCTTGCGCTGGCAACTGGTTACCACGGACCATAACGAGTGACCAAACCGTATACAATAATCCGTCGCTTTCTTTTTCTTTCGTCGAACTCGTCGGTATGACATCATTGGATAAAAATTATTTAAGAAGTAATAAATTTATTATTTGTTTTGCTTATTTGAATATACTTAAAATTGAGAAAATATTGCAATTTTGGGACGAAAACGAATTCTCGACGTGCGTGGCACGTCATTCCAGCGCAAGAGGTTAACCGAGACGTTCGCATCAGCGGAAAATTTATTTACCGATTGAAGTTTAGAATCCGAGACTTGATCGAATTTCTCGAAGGTTGTCTGCAAGATTCGCTTATTTATATGTATGCTTGCGATTCGCGATATCAAGTTCGAGGTTAGGAAGAATTGCGAGACGGTCGGTTGGTTTGCGCGAGGGTCATACCGCATTGATGGGAAAGGTTGATTCGTAATCGATACACTTCTCTAGAGTTACAACATAGTTTGAAATAATTAGCGATCGGTATTACTCGTTACGTTATCGAGCTATGAATTTCTATATTGATCGGTAATGTAAAAGAATTGGCGAATTCATGAACGCGGCGTCGATCGTGCGCGTAACTGGGACACTGAACGAGCAAGATGCGAGAAAGATGCTTCTGGCTGTCGGGGAATTGATGGCTGGTGAACATTTTGTCACTTACCTCGAGGCGGTGGTTACGATAGACGTGAAGATAGGCGGGGTTTCCGGCGGCGGAGAAGTCACGGGGGAAAGGAAAGTCACACAGGTTGTGGTGGTGAAACGAAGGGACCGCGGAGGTTGCTTGTGAAAACAGGCCGGGGGAGAGGAAAAGACGTCTCGCGCGCGCGGCTCCTTACAGCGGCGTGAACCATGCTTTGCCGCGTGCAACTCAAGGTTGAATCGAACTATACGATCAGTGGTGAGAGTCTTGGCTTCCAAGAGCCCCCGAGAATTCCTCCTCCGTGAGCTGACCCGTTATACTGCTACGCCGTTGCCGCAAGAATGCCGCCGAGCCGGCCCCCTCTTGCAGCTCGCGTTATGGCGATCCGATGCGTGTACACGCGCTTCCTCCTTCTTCATTCTTCGTTCGCTTTTCTCTGAAGCCTCTTACTTGTTCGCGTTGGCCACTGATGATCATTTCTTTGCTACCTCCTCGCCAACGTAGCCGGTTTCGTGTTATTAGACGGCGATCTCGTTCACCGGAGAGCTCAAAGATCGTAGGTGGTGCAAGATCTTGGGCGGGAGCTACAAAAAGATCACGTTTTGCGTTTCGATCTATCGTGATGTCATCGATCGTTTCACGAGTATCGTTTCATCTCGTCTTCACATGTATTCTTTTGAAAAGGAATTTATCAGGACAAATACATCCACTAGTTTTCGTGGAAGAATCTGCTCGGTGAGCAACTGTCACGTCGCGAACTCCCCGCCCTGTTTCCGCAAGTTCTTTTAATGAAATTCCAACAACAAGAGATGTGACTCGTTTCTGTTTGCGCGTTACGTGCGCGCACAGTACTTTCTCTCGAACTTTCTATCTACGACGTCGTTTAACCAATGCGACGGACCACGGTTAGAAGAAGTTCGTCTAATACCGCGTGGCGCGTGACACGCGTTACTCTATTTTCTATTCGCATCTAATTCCGTCTGTCCGAGAGAGAACCGGGCAGAGTCGGAGTCGAGTCGAGTCGAGTCGAGTCGAGTCGACTCGACTCGGATCTTGACGTTTCGCATTGGACATGCTACACCAGAGGTATCTAACTTTGTCGAAAATATCAACGGAATACTAATATCAAGGGACAACGAAAATCATTCACTGCTCTTCGATAATATCGCACATCAGTGTTCAAAGTCGAACAGGGATCGTATTTGCTCGTGATACGTGCATGGGGCAGATGTCTGAAATGGAATGAAAGAGGGCAAGGAATACGTAATATCGTCGGGATCGGGTAATCTAAATTCAAAAAGTCAGATAGGATTAGCGAGGGCCCGTCGCCGATATGTCGCAATTGGCGTTTTCGCTCCGATCCAGAAGACGACACCCACATGCCATTACTTCCATTACCATATACGAAGATCCCGATGGTCTTGGGTTTCCCCGGGTGGCACCCGTGTCTCAGTCACCAACCGCCTCGTGGACCGTCAGTTTGGTAGATCGCTCGTTGGTTCGTTGGTACACTCGCTTACAGCCCACAGAGTCGGTTGTTGGTTCGTTAGTACAATCGCTGATTCGCTCGCGTGCTTGATCGTTGCCACCGTGTTCGCTTTTATCCCTGCCAATTCCGACGCCTTTCGTTTTCTTTCATCTTGTTCCCCTCAGTTTCATTTGGTTATCGATCTGAATTCACTCTCTCGCAAACAGCGTTTTAACATGCTGTAGTTGGTCTAGTGACGCGTACAACTCGCTAATAGAATCGTTGGGTTTAATTGGTCGCGCGAAAGTCAAGCGGGAGAGCAACGAGAATTACCTCGGCCTCTTCTTTTTATCGTGTCTGTGCGAATATAGTCGGAGTCTCTTTCGCTCTCTCTCGAGAGGAACGATAAACGAAGGGTCCACGAAAGACCGATTACCGGCGTCTCGTGGTGTTCCATCGAGCCACTTTGGCCGAGAAACGTTGAGTGGTTACGTCTGCGACGTGCCGTGATAAATTCGGTCGTTGATTCGTTAAGCTTCGTTCGCGTCTAGAGACCAGGCGAACGGCCGAACGGACAAACCGGGAACGAAATTAGCCGTTCTTCTCGTTGTCCGCATTGTCTGTGTCGCCGATGTGTGTGCCCTCCAGTTCCTTCCTATTTAATCGCATCGTGCTTATGTTCGTTCGTCCTGCTTGTCTGACTGTGTAATCGTCGTTCCGACCTTTATACCATTTCTCTTCTTTCAACAGTGCAACGCCGCGACCAGTGTCGAAAATTAATCGATTCGAAAACAAACGGATACCGAAGGGAGTACGCGGTAACAGCAACAGGGAAGGAAAGTGAATATAATTAAGGACGAAACTAGGTCTTCCGACGACTCCAAGTGCCATATACATATATACATGTATATATAATTAAACCTTCCATTACGATAAGTCTACCTTAGTAAGTGTTTCCATACGAAACGTTTTTAAAGTGTTCCACGGTCGTTTCCAAGCCACGCATACAAAGTACAAGGAAAAGGAAGCTTCTGCGAAAAAGGAAACTGTCAATCGTTGAGAAAGAATTGTATTTACTTGGACACGGTGTCAGGAACGAAGAACGACACGAAAAACAACACAGTGTGCTGAACGTTGAAAAGAAGATAAGCTAGTGAAAAGAAAAGATAAGATAGTGAAAAGAAGAAACGGACGCGTGATGAAGGTTGTCACGCTATAATATCGAAAGGGAAAGAGAAAGAGCAAAAATCCGATGACCGGGCAGAACGTCGTTTCGTTGTTTGCTGATTTCGAAAGACCCTACGAAAACTTGTAGCGAGCGTAACACTGGTTAACGAGATGTCCACTCAGGCTTATTACAAGGAGAGGCTCGGTTTCGATCCGGCCGATACCGTGGCGGAACACCATCGTGAGCAGAGATCGCAGCACGGATACGAGGAGTCTCTTTCCAAGTTCAAAGGTCAGAACGAAAATGGAATTTCGTGGATGATGGAAGAACGGGAAAATTGGCGGGTTGAAGGGGCCGCAGAACACCGTTCCGGCAGCACTCAGGCTTTCTGGGGTTGCTGGGCGATGTTCATCGAGGCGCACGGTAGGTGAAGAGTTGGCATGCCGATGCTGGATCCCGTCCAATACCTTGTCCCTGACCCTTCTCATTCTGCCAAAAGAAACTTCTTTTCCAATTGTTTCGAACACACGTTTTTATTTTTCTCTTCTTTCATTATTATTAGTATTTATTTATTTATTTATTTTATTTTTTTTTTTGATTTAATCGAATTTGCTTTGGCTTCTCTGTTGGCCCTTGTCACCCGAGAATCGAGACAAATCGGCGCGAAAGACATATGTAGTTGGCACTACGCGAGATTCTCCGTGTTCTAATCCCTCGAGCATTCTCTCTCGGCCAAAATGAGATTTCGTTTGCTAGAAGCGGAGAAATCGAGGGAAAGGGATGACCGGAGAATTACATTCATCGCGTAAACTAGAGTTCGTATCGGTTTGAGAGTATGCCGCGAACGGAAGTATCTTTTTTCAGGTCATTTACCTTTTACCGTTTGACCCGAATGTTTCGCGGAAGTAGCTTCGGAAATAGCCGGGGCAAAATAATTCGCGCCTCGTGACGAGCTCCGATCTAAAGACTCAAACGTATATCCGATACGAGAAAATTCTTAATCGTATGCAGTTTTGCGATTTTCCTATACGTACGATACAAACACGTTTTGAAATTTTTTTGGATTTCTCTCTCTTTTTTTTTTTTTTTTTCTTTTTTGTCTACTTAACATTGACTAACTATTTTGAAGTGTCTTTGGTGTGCCTAATATCGCGCCGATTTTTTTTTGTTCACCGAATCGACTCGTGATAGATGATAGTCTCTTTAATGTCTCGACTGTGTAGATTCATTTATACTAGACTCCGCTTTTACAAACGGGTTACGCGCAGCTTCTTTTGTCTATGCACAAGCACGTAGATAGTGTCTCATTTGCGAAACAAATTTAAATCTGAAATGATTCGACGGTCATCACGCATGTGATACGCAACCGTTTTAATCAAATGATTCGCTTTTATCGGGATAATTCCTTTCGTACGTATGCAAGCAGTACGTGCCACATTTGTAAAGATGCGAGCACGTACTTTCTTGGATCATCGTCGGGGAAAAAAATTCGTTGCAACTCCTTTTCCATCGTTCCACCAAAAAGCTCGTATCCAGGGAACGGATCGTCCAGCAATCGTTCCCATTGTCACACGCTCCGAAATCCCATATGTGTGGCCGCAGAGACGAGCATCCTCGTTGTCCCAATTTATCTCCAATTGTGCTTCGGTATGCCACTCTTCCGAAGCGCAGCTTTCGATTACATCGAAATGTATATTTTCTTTTTTTCAAGGCATACTTGGCTCTTCGACGAACTTTGATCGAGCCGATTACGAGTGAATGCCTTGTCACGTCAATTAAAGAAACAAGTCTTTTTATTTTTAACGATTACGTACTAATCTCGAGCCTAATCGATCGACTCTTTTATCTGTTTTTTTGATCACGTATTGGATGACGTCCTTTGACATTTCGTGAACGCATTACGGATAAGCTGATTTGTAATCGCAAACTTAATTACTATTACGCGGACTCTCCATAAAAGCGTAATTGAAAAACCGTATAAATAGGTTTGTCTATTTCGTAAGACCGTTGTTCATAATTCCTTAGGAAGTTTAGCAATAGTTTGAGGATGTGAAACTTCAAGATCAGTTTTAATCGTCTTCAGTCTGCGACTCTGCCTGACTCGCGATATATGTTTCTTAATGAAAGCTTACAGCTTGGTAGAATCGGATAATCGGTCTTGATTAATTGCTACTGCATAGCCAGAATAGAAGCCTCCTACTCGATTAATTTCGCAATTGAGTCATGTCATCGAACTTGCGTCTATCTCGTATACCAAATGACGACGAGTTCGAGTATTGACGCATATTCCATCAACGAATGTCGTAAGATTACTAGATGGAATTATACGAAATGTAGTACAAGTATGGGGATAAATATTTCTTTATTATCAACGTTCAGATGTTCAGGGCACAGATTAGGAGGATATGGGCAGAATGCAATGAGCAATTACAGAGTCTTCTAATAATTTGATGAAGTTTTAATACACGTTCGCTTATTTGCCTGCGCGATCGGCTGCTCTTTTCTCTAATGATTACCTATATATCAACACCTATCTATCTACCTACTTACTTACCTATCTCAAACCACCTACCTGTCCGTCTGCCTGTCCGTCTATCTGCTGTTGCTTTGACTGCTTGTTGCCTTGATGCCTGCCGATGTTTGCCCGCGTAGGCGATCGCTCGCGACTTGCGTGTCGTTGATAAGAACGAAATTGACAATTTAATGAAATTTCAACGTAGGAAATTGATGATAATCGCACATATATACGTGCGTATTAGTACGATAACGTTGGTCTTTCATCCTCGCGGTCGACGTCCCTAACAAATTGATCCTCTTTGTGATTACAGACGAACGAGACGCGATCCAAAAGAAAACATTTACCAAATGGGTGAACAAGCATCTGAAAAAGGTAAGCCTTTCGAATCGTAGAGAACATTTCACGACATTTCAAACGGTATGACAGTCGATGGGCGTTTACTTAAATTGGTCTGCTGTCCGATGACAACAAACGTTCGTGTAATGAATTCGGATTGAATCTACTTATATATGATCGTATACTCGTATTCTACTGATTATATTCTAATCCCTCGTACAAGAAAGAACTTCAAAAGTATTACAAGGGGCTAGAGGGTGTTCCTCGAACGGCAGTTGTGGCCCTTCCTTCAAAATATCGAACGATACCTAATTTTAGAGCGACCTTAGCAGGAGGCCACGGCTGTTGGTGTCGAGACGAGAGAGTGTACCTATCAAAACACCTGATAGGTGAGCATACGAGAGCAGCGACGCGCAACGCTGGAACAACCAGCTGTTTCGTAACCACATACGTAAACGATAGGGGACCTTCTCAGCCCCCCAGGTATACGCGTATATGTGCGCGTGTGGCGTGTGCGCGCGCGCTTATATGCGTGTGTATGTGTATGCATGTTCCTGCACCCATCTCTTTTCCCATGTAGGACGTATGCGTGGGTCGATCGTAATCCCTTCCAGGAGGGTATTTCACGCGCTACTATAGAAGGTAACGTATTGAGGAAACCGAGTGGGTGAAATTGAGAAAATCATTTCGATTTATATAGTCTTGACGCACTTTCGTTTCAACATTTTCATTTTCGTTTTTTCCCCGCCCATTTTGAATTGGATTCCTTTTTCGGTCAATATTAGTTAATTGCGACTTAGTGGATTGCTCATATTCTCCAACGTAAACCTGATTTTTCGACAAAGGAATGTTTTCTCTCTTCGTATCTTTTTCCCTTTTTTTTCTAGATTGATTAATGAGATTCGAATGGTCATGCTGCCGTCAATGCGCCAGATAGAATAAACATCGCCACTGTTCTGCGTTTTCGTTTTTTGCGCGCCCATTTTGAATTGGGTTCCCTTTTCGGTCAATATTAGTTAATTGCGACTTAGTGGGATTGCTCATATTCTCCAACGTAAACCTGATTTTTCGACAAAGGAATGTTTTCTCTCTTCGTATCTTTTTCCCTTTTTTTTTCTAGATTGATTAATGCGATTCGAATGATCGTGCTACCCGGTCAATGCGCCAGATAGAACAAACATCGCCACTGTTCTGCGTTTTCGTTTTTTGCGCGCGCATTTTGAATTGGGTTCCTTTTTTGGTCAATATTAGTCAATTGCGACTTAGTGGGATTGCTCATATTCTCCAACGTAAACCTCATTTTTCGACAAAAGAATGTTTTCTCTCTTCGTATCTTTTTCCCTTTTTTTTTTCTAGATTGATTAATGAGATTCGAATGATCGTGCTACCGTCAATGCGCCAGATAGAACAAACGTCGCCACTGTTCTGCGCCGTACGCATTCTCGAACACGTGACAGAAAAAAAAAAAAAAAAAAAAAAAAAACGATGCCGTCGGCGATGCCAGCGTGTCTATTCCAATGCCGATCGCTGGTTGTTGATGCCGATTATACAGCATGCCAGTATCAGTTCTGACGATGACAAAACTAAGGATGTAGATGCGCTAATGATCCCGACGACTACAGTGACCGCAACCGACGTCGACGACGACGACATGCGACGCGACCGCGAACAATTCTTGTAACTCGAGACACGCTAGCCTTGATCTCACGTGACTCTCTCGTCTTCGTTTCTTCCTTCCTTCGGTGGCAGCGTCGTTAATCGACGATGCTTTGGTCTTCTTCTATTTTTGAAAATAATAAAAAAAAAAAAAAGGAGAGAAAAGAAAAGCAAATGCGATCGTAGACGATCGATCGTTTCGTTCGAGATAGAAAGCGTATAAAAGAGAAGAGAGTGCATCGTTCAATGATAAATCAAGCAGCGATACATTCCTTACATTGCTTTCTTGTTACGTTACGGCCGCGTATGCAAAGTCTCAGGAGTCAAGGAGAAAGGAGAAGAGAGGCAAGGTTGAAGCGGTTCGTATTCGTAAGCGGCGAGTATAACTCGATTGGTATTTTGAGGGTTATCGAGCCTTGTTTTCTTTCTATGTTAGTTAGCTCTTCGACCCCGGTTCGTTTCGTAACCGAGAGCGGTGACGAAGACCGGTGCCTATTGACGCGCGGTATTACTCACCCCTCTCTTTAACTGATCCTTGTTTAACTGATACTTGTACGTGCATGCATTTCCGAACGAACTACGAACGAGCTCCACGAATACAGACGATTTGAAGACGATCGATTGACGCGCGAATCGAAATTTCTTTTAGAGAAAGCAGTAAAAAAACATAGATAGAGGCATTGATCGTTAATTATATCGATTTAGTTGAAACCGACCGACTTCGACTTCGACTTTAGTAATGGATTCCAGGGTAATACGGCGAACGGTACTGCGTGTTTGCGCGTCGCTCGATACTGGTTCTCTTGGCTACCTACCTTCTCGATTCCGTGCGCCCACCTTTCCTCTTGTAACTCTGACCTTATTCGGAAACGTTCTCCTGCGGACGACGTTCCCGATTTACCACCTCTTGTTCGGTAAGTAGGTGGGCAGGTAGGTAGTTAGGTACGCAGGTAGGCAAGCACGATTCAGTCAGTCAGTCAGTCAGTCAGTCAGTCAGTCAGTCAACCAGTTGTCAAAGACAGTGGTGTCTCACAGTGGTGGCGATAGCAGAAGCTCAAAAGTGAGTGCATGCTTGGCTATGACATACCGTTGCTGTTGCGTAATGTCTGCGCCAGGAAATGGTCCGTTGAAGTAACTTCTGCGTCCATGAATTTCGATCTGTTGAATAATAAAGACATCCTGTGTCCCTCCCTGATTCTTGAAGCGAAATTAAAAAGATCATCTTTCCAAGAAGTAAGGAATCAACAATGTTGCAAAGAAACATTCGAGTTAAAAACGTACCCGTAAAACGTTTTTCAAATGCTCATTTCGCTCAGCTGATTATACGCCCGTCGACTGTACCGCACTATTATCGTTCGCATGATTTCGATCCGCGACGATCGATCGTTGTCCCGGGCGATGCATGTTGCAAAAAACTATGACGAGTCAATCACTGCTTCTGCTCGTCCGTTTTTACTTTCGTTTTACTCTCGCCCAAGAATAGTTGAAAGCTCGTCATTTGCGCGCTGCGTGACGTCCATCTCAGATCTGCTTGCACTCCGCCCATGACAACGCATTGATTGTTTCATGCAGATTTCTGCGGTTACATAAGAGTCCATTGTTCGATGAAAATTAATAATAATAATTCTTTACTTTCGATCTTCTTACGCTTACTCGCAGCATTGGAAATACGTGAAGGTATGAACATGTTGCATATCTAGCGAACGATCGGCTGAAACGAGTGGTTTTCGCGTTTTCTTTTAGTATAATGGGATGATCATTAAATGCATGTCAATAGTATTAAGACGTAAACATATGTTCGTTCAAATTGGACTTTATCTCCTTTAGTTTAGTATTTAAAAATAGTTGTCATTCGGTTACATAGATATGTATAGTATGGATAAATGGATGTTGAGTATGATTTTTCAATTCTTGCGCGAGTTAAAAAGAAATGCTCGAAGATTTTTTCATTCCTGGTGCATTTTTCACGATGTACTGGATGACAAATTCGAAAACGAATGATTTCAGATTCATCGCATAAACTGTTAGGAAGAACATGTTGACACTTGAATTTAAAATTTGCCGCGTTTACAATTAGTAGAAAAAGCGCTGGGCACTTCGAGCCTTTGTTTTAACGCGTCACAGTTCAACGGGAACAAGGCTTCGCATTCCCAAGTTCGTTCTTTGAACGTTGACATGCAATTAAAGATTACCAAACGTAAGTCCTCACCCCGTAAATTCTCAAAGGGGAAGTCACCCCTGTCGCTTTTGTATTCTCGCATGCCACTGAGCTTTCGTCCGGTCAAGGACCACTCGTCCGACCGACTGACAGTAGTGGTAGATTCAAGCAATGTCAATCACAAACGAATTGATACAAAGAACAACGATATATCACGTGGACGCGTAACAATCTGCCTCTACTTTCGGTCGCGCTGAACATATTTGAGATCAAACGCATAACTCGTGGCGTGCTTCTTTTTCAATCGATGTTTTTTTCAGACTTACACGTGCCTACACGTGTGCGTCCTTGTGAACAACCAACCATGCTGTTCTCCCACTGTAAGTTCATGGCAGGTGTTGCTAACGAACATTGTTGCCAATGTTAGAAAGAATTTTTCGCATGCTTGAAGAGAAACAATGTGTCCCGTTTTGTGAATTTTAATTGTGTGACCCCGGTAAATTAATCGTTATACCAAGTAACGTCCTGATTTCATTTTTCCCTCTTTCCATTTATCGCCCGTGGAAATTTATCCGTAATTATCAACGAACGCGCTCACTGCGAAACCATGGTATCGACGTGTAAAAAGCAGTTATCGAGAATTAAACCGTTTACGCGCGACTACGATACAATACCGGAGATTTGCGTTTATCGCGGTCGGCATTTAAACTTCAACCACGAGTTTGAGGGCTACGATTGCTGCTGTGTTTGCACGTGACGCACTGCAGCCATGTAACATTATACGTTTATTCTCATAAGACATGCGACTATCTCTCTGAGATTTTTGCTTCGTCGAAATCCGTTTTTCGTTTTTCCTTACTCTTGACTTATTATTACGTTCGTTATCCGTGTTTGCACGTTTACATTCATAGAATTTGTTCACGTTTTGTGTTTGTTCACTGTTCACCGTTCAATGTCTTCCCATCTCTGTGTGCATCATATATCTTTTCTCTTTTTGATTCAGTTTACTCCATTTTCTTTTCTCATCCGTTTCAGTTCGTTCGATGGCTTGTTTCTATTTTCAGTTCTGAATTTTCGGGAGACACTTGAACGAGAAAGCCGTTTACCAGTGTTCTGATGCGTGAAATTGTTGTTGCAGGCCAGCAGGCATGTCGGAGATTTGTTCGAAGACCTGCGGGACGGGCACAACCTCATTTCCTTGCTGGAAGTTCTCTCGGGCGAGCATCTTGTAAGTATTTTAAAATTCTTTCTCTTCATTATGCTCTTTTAATGCGACACAAACGCGATTGACACTAGTCCACCTTCGGTTGACAGGATGAGGTGATCATTATGTAACTATCAGGGTGGAACTAATTTGCCCTCGATTACAAGGGTAGATGATCTGTATCCTCTAACTGTTCAAATAGGTCACCATATTTTTAAAGAATAGATAACGTCGGATAAATTTTCAAACGCCAGCTTAATTAGATAACGTTATCCGTACTTTGTCGGTCGAGAGTTAACCGTGATTACGATGATTGTATGGATTTGATATACGATTGATCTATTGTATCACTTTTCAGCCGCGAGAGAGAGGACGAATGCGTTTCCACATGCTGCAGAATGTACAAATGGCCCTTGATTTTTTGCGTTATAAGAAAATCAAGCTCGTTAATATCCGTGCCGAAGACATCGTGGATGGAAATCCAAAGTTAACCCTAGGTTTGATATGGACCATCATACTTCATTTCCAGGTGAGTGGATGCTCGTGTCTCCCTGAAATTATCCAATGATACATCCACCACGTAAAATTTAGTAGGCTAAGGAAAAATAGCGCCTGGAAGAAAACGATAGCACCTGGTTCGCCCTTTCGAATCGCGATTATCGAAGAAACAACGATCGTGTTTTGTCTGAAGTTTGAACAAAGTTCCCGTTTTCAAACAAGGGAAACGTTTTTCTCGTAAGAATTGCAGAGCGATACCGATCGAAAGTTTCGTTTCGAAAAAAAACTGGCGTTCGCGGAGGGGAAAACGGTTGGCTAGGAGAATCATCGCGCAGGAATGCCCGACCACTCTCGTTTTTCTCGCGATTCTCGTTCCGATCGAAAGCGAGTCGAACGGAGGAAGCGCAAAGAAAGAGCGAGAGCCGCCGTTCCAGGCGACGTTTGGCGCCATAGAGAATGGCACGCTATGGCATGCCATGGCATGCCATGCCATGCCATGCAATGTCATGCCACGCCAGCCACGCCGCGCCGTTATCATTGTACGTACGTCACTGAAAGGAACGGAACGGGAACGCGTGATGGTCGAGTCAATCGAAGAGGAAAGCCGGCGCCGTTTCAAAAGAGTAAACCGATGCCGGACGTCGGATCGTTTGCGGACGGGCGCAAAAAATCTCGAACGCGAGACATCTATCGCGGCTCGAGTAACCATGTTACGCGATCGCACAAAGGAAGACAGTGTTCGTTTTCGTGGCGATGTAACAAACACGTGTTCACATTCGTTATCTTGTGTACTCTCGAATTGGCGCGTTTGCACTTTGCGAGAAGCGAGAACTAGCCGCGAGGGGGATGAGAGAGAGAATGTATGTGTGTGTGTATGTGTGTGTGTGAGAGAGAGAAAGAGAGATTAGAGATTTAAGTTTATTTCCTTTATATTTACATATTAACTATTGGTTCCCCCTGATCAATATCTATATCTAATAGTGTGCTTTTTATTCTGTTTCGCGCCGCAGAGCTGGCGACGCAAGGTAAGTTCCCTATATTTTTATGCCGTTAGTCGGTTCCCGTTTTTCCGAGGAAAAAGAAAGGAATTGGATTCATCGATTCGTTCGATGTGATATCGCTATAATTACGCTGCGATCAAGGATCTATTTAGCAGCCAGTGTCGGCGCGATCTCTTATCGACTGCGTGAACCGATCGAAAAGTCTAGATGGCGCTCGCAGGTAGTCTTCGTTCATAACAAGCATCGTTGTGTACCGCACAGCTCTTTATGATCCCAGTCAATGATACATTTCCCTAGACTCTAAACGATCCGAGAATCGTGTTGTTTTTTTTTTGTAGCAGCTGGTGACGATTGTTGCTCCGCTCGTGACAGACCTGTCCGTTTATGGTTGTTCCACGCGTCGTACATACGTCGAGTCGACAAGCCGGAAGGCTGATCACTGGCCGAAAGCGCACGATCGTTGTCGCATGGTATTGTGAAACGTGGGAGGTGAAGCAACATTGTAACGCGCGCGTATTGTAACGTCTTGGCGGCGCGTCACTTGTAGTCTCTTCTGGTCGCGAGTCGCCCACCTTGTAATTATGATAATCAGAATCGGTCGATCGAGCACCGAATACAAAAAACGCGAATGACGCCATCGGCCAAGGTCAGCTTGTGAGCGACCGTGCCTTTTTAGTGCATTACACGCATCTTCGCGGCTTTTGCGCCTTCGCGAAATTTACATCTCTTTGCATACCTTGTCTGACATTGTGCGAGGATTCTCTTGAAAACTAGAACAACCTTATCTGACATATTCTAAAGTAGTCTGATTATAAAATTTCTGGAAAGCTAAATCTCTTCGAGTTTCTAGAAGACGGAAAGCTAGTAATCGCGGAAATCAAGAAGAATAGCGAGAGTCCTCGAGGATCTCGTAACGATCGGTTCACGCGGCCTGTATTGTAATGGAAACGAATGCTCGGAACCGGGCAGTTGCAAAGCGCGATGATGTCACGTCCGGTCTCGAACGAACCGCGCGCCTCGAGTCTCTCTCCACCGTTCTCCGTTCCTTCTTTTTCTGTCGTTCGCGTTCGCGATGCTCAGGGACGCGACGCCGCATCCTATTTTCCATTTTTGTTTCAACTCGACTTCGCTTGTCTTTTCAACATTGTTTTCGCTTCCTCGTGATCCGTGCGCCTCGTTTCTCGCATTCCTCGCCTCTCCGTGTCCTCCAGACGGAGCTGACGCGTACTATTAATTAAAACTGAGAGTCGCGTAACGAATTAGGTAAGTTTGCGATGTAACGTAAGCAAACGTATACATCGGTACACCGAGGTTGGGTTTCGAAGGCGGCGCTTACGGAGCGTTATTGTGCCACGGTGAATCGTAAAAATCTCTGGAAAAGGAAAAGGAGGAAGGACACGATGCGCGACGAACGGCAAACGAAGCGTCGCATCGCGGCGAAGTGGGGCGTCCGGTGTGTTCTCGATGCGTTTCGCCTCGTTGCAACAGCGTGTGCTCCCCGATGACGACGCCGATATAGTCGCGGGCGCATGCGCGATCTTTTGCACCGGTTATGCACAAATAATGCCCGTACGACGAGGACGACGAGGACGTCCGCGAGGACACGCAGGGATTTTAGGGGGGCGTCGCGGAAGCATAGGAAAATAGATGACGTCGTGTGCGAGTCGGGATGGGCAACAGAATGGAGAACAGGCTGTGGTATGACAAGTATGAGCAGTCATCGACGAAAGGAGAGAGAGAAAGGAAGAAAGAGAGAAAGGAGAGAGAGGAGAGAGAGAGAGAGAGAGAATCGTAGAGGGAGCGAATGAGAGAGAAAAAGAGAGTGGGGACTGAAGAAGGGGAATGTCGGAGGCGTCTCTCACCTGTGCGCATTTCGTTGGCCTACTCTCGCGACAGCAGCCGGATACAACGCGGCACGCTGTCGGTCGTTCGTTCGTTCGTTCGGTAAATCGCGGTGATACCTCCTATTGTTTTTTTTATTGCAACTACTACCGTTCGGTGTCAAATACAAATCGTTGGAACGTGGTCGCTCAACGACGAGCTCTCTATGGTACATGTTCGTCGAAGGCTCAAATGGGAGAGACACGTGTCGTGGTTGGGGACGCGCGACGATCCGCGTCGTGAAACCTTACCGGTGAAACGTGCGAGCGAACGGGCGAACGGGCGAACGGGCAAACGAGCGAACGAGCGCGCAAAGAAGCACGAAAGGAAACTCGAGGTGGGGATCGGTCTCGATGAGCTACCTGTAGTGTGCGGCAGTTGGTTCGCGATACGCGCGGTGTTGGCCGTACCTGCCGTCGAGCGTTTCCCCCCGATAACGACTAATTCTTCGAGCGTTATCATTCCCTTTCCTGTTGTTACATTCCCCTTCCTCTTCTCGGAGGATCTCTTTGTCATCATCCCCTCCATCAAGGTGTCGTATTTTATTTGTCCTGATCTACGTTGACATTGTCTTTTGGTCCAGTGAACACAATTCCCCGCTCGAGGCGTTCCTTCAAAAGTAGGCGCGATCGCACGTTCCTCCCATTTCAAGAAGAGTCGGTGTTAAAAACAAATCGTAATTCAGTGCAGCTAGTCGGTGCGTTCTCATACGATCGGGAGTCGGCTCGATTTCCAGTCGAATCGCATACGTATCAACCGCTTCTTTTCGAATGGGCCACCGAAGAAGATAAGTATCGCCGCGTCGATAACTTGTTTTCGAGTCGTGTCGGATATCTAACTTGGACTAACGGTGATAGACGCACGGTCGATTCTCGATAATCGGCTTTCGCAGACGGCAGCGCGCGCTCTAAGCTTGGAGTGACCGAGACGACGCTCCGGATAAGGCTACGAATGAGTAGCCGTACGTGCGTTGCCTCTTTCCTTGGAGGTTGATGTTAGTTTCTTCGAGCAAGTCGGTCCTTTCGACAGTGGCCAGAAGAGACACGAGAGAAACGCTCCGATAAAGCCTCGTACCGACAAACGATGTCGATATATCGGTTTAGCAAGGGTGGTAGGCTGTTTGTGCAAGGCACCAGAGAGGATGATGCTCGCGAAAATGTCGCCTCGCCTGTTTCGACCACCGTGACGCCCGTCAATGATGACTTGAGAGCGATTTATACCAAGAGAAGACTTTCGACCGAGGTTCTAGGTAGGGAACTCCGATAAAAATCGGCCAAGATCGTCGAGTAACAAACTGTCTACGAGTTTCGAGGCTCGGATCGCTTCGATGAATTATTGCCTCGTTAACCGATCGTGACTAGTTTTCTAAAGAGTGTAAAAGTCGCGGCACGATCAACTTCGATGGTGCTGAGTTGGAACGTAGCCAAGCTCGGAGCCGATCGTGACGCGATTTCGAATTAATCGGCTGATCACGAGCAGGACGACGCCTTTGAAACTCGTTTGAACTCGTTGCCGGTTAAGTCGGAGCATCGTTGGAATATTTTCAAGCGAGGTTTCTAGCGTATTTGTGTAGCGATACTGATAACGCTACGCGATTTAGGATCCTCGATCGAGTCAACGAAAACGTCGAGGCGTGGCGAGAATGGCACAAAACGTATCGTGACCCGCATCGTTCGTAAAACAACCACTTTGACACGGGGCGAGGAGAGATGCGTGGCCGAGGATCTGACGAAACGTGCTACCTCGGGCTACTTGCAGGACACCGCCGCTTCCTCCTCCTCCTTCTCTTTGAGTCGTCAAGCCTCGCCAAAATCGAAAACCGTCCGGGTAAGCGTAATCTCGGCAATTTTGTTTCGTGATCACGATTCAAAATTCCATGCCTCTATTCTCGCGTTTTCGTGAAAAAACTTACAAAGAGACGTGCGAGAATTCTTTTCATTCTTGGAATGGGAATAGGCTGTAGTAGATAAGCAGGACGAATATTTCGGAGCGAATCGAATCGTGCGATTGAACATCGAAGGGCGAACCAAGCGGAAACGACATCGAGGTCGATGCGTGACACCAGAATTAGATCTAAATGAAAACAAACCTCATATACCCCGAGGATACATAAGGATTGTTTGTTGATGAACTTCTTCTTCTTCTTCTCTAGATATCGGATATTGTAGTGGGCCAGGAATCAAACGTAACTGCTCGCGAAGCTCTTCTCAGATGGGCCAGACGATCGACGGCACGTTATCCTGGAGTACGCGTCACGGACTTCACTGGATCGTGGAGAGATGGGCTAGCTTTCAGTGCATTAATCCATCGAAACAGACCAGATTTGGTCGATTGGAAAGGGGCTCGTACCAGTCAACCACGAGAGCGGCTCGATCGGGTATTCTACGTCGCGGAGCGCGAGTATGGCGTTACGAGGCTTCTCGATCCCGAAGGTAAAGAATTTGCATTGTTGCTTGCTCGTTAATCAAAGTTTTTCCTTTTTCGCGAGTTTCTTTCCTCTTGCCACTAATTCTACACTCGAGAATACTCGAGCCGTCACTGAAGTCTACCGTCGTTTCCGGTTGCAATCTGCGGACCATGACGTTCTCTTCCACCCTCTGCGTTTTCTTTTTGCACGATAAGATAGTCGAGCGATTCTTTTTGGAGCGGAGAGCGGGAGAAGCTTTAGATGATTCGCCTGATATTCGAGCGTAATAGTTTTTGTGTTTCACATTGCAGATGTAGATACTCCTGAACCGGATGAGAAGTCCTTGATAACGTACATCTCTTCGCTCTACGATGTATTCCCTGAGCCACCAACGATTCATCCCTTGTATGATGCTGAGGACCAGAGACGTTCGGAGGAATATAGAGAGTTAGCTAGTTCCCTTCACATGTGGATCCGCGAGAAGATGTGTCTGATGCAAGAACGTGTCTTCCCTCCAACCTTAATCGAGATGAAGAATTTGGCGGCCGGCAGCACGAAATTCAAAAATGAGGAAGTACCGCCTCGATACAGAGACAAGCAACGACTTTCTTACATCTTCAGAGATCTTCAGAAGTATTTCGAAGCGGTTGGTGAGGTGGACATCGAGCCTGAATTACATATCGAAGTGATTGAGAAAAATTGGAATCGATTGATGATGCTGCACCAGGAAAGAGAACAGGCGATAATCGACGAAATCAAACGGTAAGATTTATCCGTATCTAAATAACGAGATTCCATTCGATTCGCATTAAACTGGAGCTTGTGTATCTGATTTTAAGACTCGAACGACTGCAACGACTAGCAGAGAAAGTACACAGAGAGATGAAGGCGACCGACAATCGACTGGAGGAGCTCGAAAGACGTGTAGAAGACGAAGCCAGGCGTCTCGATCGACTTCATCCTTTGGAAGCGAAACACGCGGTGGATCTTTTGGAACAGGACATTCGTAATACCGAGGTCCAGATTCAAAATATTTTCACGGACGTACACACACTTACCGAGGGACGATATAGTCAAGCAGCCGAACTTCACAAGAGGTATTTTCAGCTCACTTTCTTTTCCCTATTTGTTCTTCTTTAGGAAAGTTAGAGGTTTATCTATATTACAGAGTTCAGAAACTGCATCAAAGATGGGTCGCTCTGCGATCTCTTCTTCACAAACGTTTGGTACAGCCGTTGTCGGCCGTATCTTTCCCGGTAGAAGAACGTGTCGTCACGAAACACCGTACTACCGTCCATGAAACCCGATTGGTCGACACCAATCCACATTTTCGTGCATTGCATGACTGCATCGACTGGTGTAAAGCAAAAATCAAACAACTGCAGGACGCGGATTATGGCTCCGATCTACCTAGTGTACAAAATGAATTGGATGTTCATCAAAGAGAACACAAGAATATCGAGCAGTTCCAACCAAAAGTGGATAGATGCGTACAGGCCAAGAGCAACTTCCATGGCGAAGAATTGACGTTATACAGCCAACATTTAACTGTTCTTCAAAAACTTCACACTGAATTATTGGCGGCATCGAATAAGAGACTTTCCGATCTAGACACGCTACACGATTTTATACAATCGGCAACTGGTGAATTGGTTTGGTTGAGTTCTAAAGAGGAGACGGAGGTGACGCGCGATTGGAGCGATAAAAATTTGAATGTGCAGAGTATCGAGCAGTATTACGAGGTAATTAATGTACTAATGCTTATTTTGGTACGATCTTTTACAAATGTGGTCATTAAATTTAATATAGAAGTCGTTAATATCAGTTATTTTTCTTCTGCAAGCGTACGTTTGGATCTGGTATAGAGGTAACAAAGAACATAATTTGAGACGATGATGATGTATGATAAATTGCATGATGGATGAATTTACAAACATTTATATGCATCGAACCACAATCTAACGATCCATCTATCGATTTATAATATATAATTATCATGTTTACAGTCCCTCATGAGTGACCTGGAAAAGCGGGAAATCCAGTTCTCTGCAGTACAAGATCGAGGCGAAGCTCTGGTTCTTCAACATCATCCCGCCGCGAAAACTATCGAAGCTTATATGTCCGCTATGCAGAGTCAATGGGCCTGGCTTCTTCAATTAACTCTTTGCCTAGAAGTTCATCTGAAACACGCAGCTCAGAGTCAGCAGTTCTTCCGAGACGTTCAACAAGCGGAACAATGGATCTCGAAAAGAGACGAGTCGCTCAATACTATTTATTCTCAATCGGAATTCTCTTTGGACGAAGGCGAACGTTTGTTAAAAGGTATGCAAGAATTACGTGAAGAATTGAATAATTACGGTGATCACGTGCAAAAGCTGGTCGATCAGGCGAAGGACGTGATTCCTATGAAACAACGTCGACAGCCCGTAACTCGACCTATGCAGGTCACTTGCGTTTGTAGTTACAAACAAGTAAATGTAAGTAGAACGACTTTTGGTGTTTGGTAGTCTGTCGATCATCTGTTACTTTGACATGTAAATTGCTTTCAGATGTCCATCGAAAAGGGCGAACAATGCACGTTATACGACAATTCTGGCAGGATAAAATGGCGCGTGAAGAATCAAGAAGGTATCGAGTCTCCTGTTCCAGGCGTCTGCTTTGCTCTTCAGCCACCGGACAAGGACGCTATTGATGCAGCGGAGAGATTACGACGACAATACGATCGAAGTGTAGGATTGTGGCAACGAAAACAACTTCGATTACGACAGAACATGATTTTCGCGACCATCAAAGTGGTTAAAGGCTGGGATCTACCACAGTTTTTAGCTATGGGCCAGGATCAGAGAACAGCTATTAGAAAAGCCTTGAACGAGGACGCTGAGAAACTATTGTCCGAGGGTGATCCTGCTGATCCACAATTGAGGCGATTAAAGCGAGAAACGGCAGAAGTGAACAAGTTGTTCGATGAATTAGAAAAACGTGCTAGAGCTGAGGAAGAATCAAAGAATGCTGGACGTATTTTCAACGAACAGATTTCCGCTATTCAAGAGGCACTGGACGAAGCAGAGAGAATTCTTAACACCCGCATAGCTGCTCCATTGCCCAGAGACATTGACAGTTTGGAACACCTGGTTTTGCAACATAAAGATTTTGAACAAACTCTCAAACGTCAAGCGCCAAATCTGGACAAAGTCCAACAAACTTTCCGCGGCATCACTTTGAAGACTCCGGCGATGAGAAACAAGCTCGATGCTGTTACCACCAAATGGACAAATATCTGGAATTCAAGTAATTTGTACATCGAACGATTAAAGTGTGTTGAGATCGTGCTTTCTAGTCTTGAGGAGAATACAACCGCGGTATCTGAATTAGAAGTGAAATTAGCATCGTTCGACGAGCTTCCTTCGGATTTGAAGGGTTTGCAAAATGTATTAGAAGATCTGATGGTGCTTCAAAATGCTATATCTCAACAACAAACCGCAATGGACAAACTGAACGAAGATACACAAAATGCCAGACATATCGTTGAAAAATCGAGACCAAATCATCGTGGTCCTCATTCGGATATGGATCGCTTGGATGATGAAGTGAATAAACTAAATTCCAGGTGGACCAATCTCTGTTCTCAGTTGGTTGAGAGAGTTCGTAGCGCGGAAGCAGCCTATAGTTTAGCTCAACAATTGGAACATGCCTATCGAAACGAAGTTGACTTTATTGAAGAATCATATGGAAAACTCGAAGTTGAGAATGCGAAGGTAAAACACAAAGACTCTGAATTGTATTTCATCATTCGTGTTCTGTGTATTTTATACACGTTTTTTTTTTTTTTTTGTTCTCCTTTAGAATCTATTGAACAAGGTGGTAGAACGAGCGCCAGCGATCGAAGCAGTAAATGTGACGGGTAGTCGATTGATTCGTGAAGGAAAGGTAAGATGACAAGTAACATGATCGCAAATGGACATATTCGCAAGCCTTAGGTAGGCTTCGCTAGCATTAGATAGTCTTTAGGTAGCCTGTTAGCTTACGGTATGAATGCTTGCGTGAATAGGATGTTGCGTGAGTCCTTTGTACGTGTTATTCCTGATTAGAAAAATATGTTACACGATTGTCTCGTTTCGCGATCCCACGTTGCGCTCTCCTTTCGTTTATCATCTTTGTCTATTCTGACGACTGCTAAATTCGTTAATGTACTGCTCTACATAAAGATGTGTTTACCGTCGTGGAGCATCATCGAGGTGCAAATCATTAGAAAAAGCGACTGCTGTTGTTGTCACTGTTGCTATTCTTTTTATTGGAAAGATTGTAATTCGCAGCCAGTGTCAATTACTATCTGTTCATGACGACGAACCAACATTTCGAGTTCTTAGTTGTTTCTAGGAATTAATAATTCTTTCGCTTTTGTCGTAATCACGATCGCTTTAATCTTCTTTCCGCTTTAGCTGCTATAAAAACCATTATAGGCTTAAACGATGCTAAAGTGCTAACGATAAAATATACGTACATATGTGTATACTTGGCTTTTGATAGCTTTACGAGTTGCGAGTGGAAAGCGACATTTTCTTTATCAGATCAAGAATATTTTTCTTAATTCTAATTCAATTCAATTGTTTCCCACTCTATGTTGTTCCTCACTTTGTGCACTCTTCCTTTAATTAAAATGGCACAGTTAACTTATTATTTATATTAAATCTTCCACCGCATGCAAAGTAAGGCACTTAATTCATGGTTTCCAGTGAATGTCTATTTTTTCCATACTCAGTTCAGAACTTTGAAGATCTGTTTATTTCGATGCTATTTCTCTTACGTCGTTAGCTTGCTTTAAACTCCCTTAAGATACAATGGTAGTAGGGATTGCTAAGGAAATAGAAAAGTAGAGAGATGCACATGCGATAATCTAATTCTATCCGCTAACCGTAACGGGCTAACCGAAACCTTTAGATCTACGGACAAAGGCTTCGAGCATTTACGGAACAGCTGGAAGATATCTGCCCGTCTTTGGATGCTTCGGTGAAAAAACCGCGACGAGAATTCGTCTCAACGGTCGACGACGTCGCTCGTGATCTAGATACCCTGAACAAGAGATATACCACGCTCGTCGAACTTCTTCAGGAAAGAGTTAAGCAGCTGGCAGCGCAGCAAACCGAGGAAACGTCCCAACAGGTAAGATATTTCCTCTTTTTCTGTCCTTGCTTCCTACGCGTTTATGTCATCGGAAGATTGATTAACATTTGATATTTTATTCCTTGTCTCTATGCGTCTTGCAAGTTACTCGATTTTTCAAGAAAGGTATTTATGGAAATGGCATCATCTACAATCGTTTACTTCACGACGCGTTGCTAATTGCTCCAATTACGCTCGATAACACGCAAACTACGGATAATATTAGTCTAATCTTTGTCACGTTTCGTCGACGCACTTGAGATGTGAAAGGTGAAGACACAAGAAATAGAAAAATAATACGACTGTGCATAATGTGATAGATTTTATTCCTGCTTGTGACCATGAACAGCTAATCTGGAACGAACTACACGCGTCTCGCGTCTGTAGGTTGGTCCTTGCCAGGGGGCATACACGATCCGCAAAATGTTAATTGCCCGACCGTTTATTGTCAACATGCACAAAATTGGCAATGACCGAGTCCTCGTCCTTCTTCAATATTCTTGAGTCTGCCTACGCGTGACATTTACGTATAATAAATTGATTCATAAATGAAATAATATGCAACCAACAGAAAAATTTCGTCTGGGATCGATACGCGAGACTCGTTAGATGTGGACCATTTCTTACGCAACTAGCACTAGCCAGTATTCGTTTATTACGTTAGCGCGATGAACACACGTTTAAAATTATTTGCGACTGATCATATTTTCAAGCGAATTTCCTGTTTGCAATTTTTATTTTTAATCTACTACGCTAACCATCAACACGTTGACCGTCACAGTGGTCGCCGGTGAGCGACCAATCTTATTGTTATAAATATTTTATAACGATTAAAATAAAATGAACGTCGTCGATAAAAATTTTTTAAATAACACAAATGAATAATATTATAAAATGAAAAATGCGCTGTCATCGTAGTTTTATTATATCATAATATTTCATAAAAATTAAGTAATTCGTTCCTATAGTTTATAAGTTCAATAAATTTGGCAGTCAATGCGTTAAGGGAAATTGAAAAACTCGACAATCGAGACAATTGGCGATGAAGACAGAGAAGAGAATAGGTATATAAATTTTTTTTCCAGTACAATACTTGTCGATCGTACAAATTAATTTTATCACGGAGGTTATATCAGGATCGCATAGGGAATCGTCGTGATGAATGGATCGACTATTGAGGACACATTAGGACCGAGAGAAGGAACAAAATACGCGTGTTAATTAACCGTAAATGCAAAGAGCAATCGGTTGAATCTGATTTTTTCAGGCACGAACGTCTCGTTTCCCGAGATAATCGGCATCTTGCTAACTTGAAACAGTTAGCCAGTTCGGAGGTCATACAGATTAAATCTTCTTATATTCTTCATACTCTCTAAAAATCCTTTTTCGAGAACAACTTATGGTCCTGCGATCAGACCATCTCTAGACGAGCTGTACGCGGATCGAACTTTAAAATTTATTGCAATACTCGAGACGAATGATCGGCGCTTGATAGAACTATAGCGTCGTAATTAAAGAGAGCGAGAACGAGAGCGCAAGAGAGAAAGAGAGAGTGAGTGAGTGAGAGATAGAGAAATAAAGGGTCGGTTAGGGGATTCATCAGTAAGGCTACCTAGCAAGCCTCGGATGAAACGCGATCTTCATTTTTTTGTGAAAAGTTCCAGGAAGCTTTGGAGGGTCTCCAGAAATGGCTGACAGACACGGAGGAAATGGTATCGAATCAGAAATCACCATCGGCGGATTACAAAGTAGTTAAGGCGCAATTACAAGAACAAAAATTCCTGAAGAAAATGCTGATGGACCAGCAAAATTCGATGTCTTCTTCGTATAACATGGGCCAGGAAGTAGCGGCTGAGGCGGAGCCCAAGGAACGCAAGAAGATCGAGAAACAATTGAAAGACTTAATGACAAGATTTGATAATCTTACGGAAAGCGCTGCTAAGAGAATGGAAGCACTTGAACAAGCGATGGGAGTAGCTAAGCAATTTCAGGACAAGCTGGTACCGCTTCAAACTTGGCTGGACAAGACGGAGAAACGCGTCAAAGATATGGAATTGGTTCCAACGGACGAGGAGAAGATCCAACAACGCGTTACCGAACACGATGGCCTCCACGATGATATTCTATCAAAGAAACCTGAGTTTAGTGAACTTACAGAGATTGCTAGTCAACTGATGTCTCTGGTAGGCGAGGACGAAGCGGCTGCACTAGCTGACAAACTTCAAGACGCGGCTGATAGATACGCTGCATTAGTCGAACGATCGGAAGCTGTTGGTAATTTACTCCAACGATCGAGACAAGGCTTGCGCCACTTGGTTCTCAGCTATCAAGAACTTCAGGCTTGGATGGAAGGTATGGAGATTAGGTTGTCGAAATACAGAGTCCTAGCAGTGCACACCGAGAAGCTTCTCCAACAAATGGAAGATCTTGCTGATCTAACGGAAGAGGTTTCGACTCGACAGACGGAAGTAGACAATACCACCGACACTGGATTGGAATTGATGAAACATATTTCGAGCGACGAGGCGCTTCAATTAAAAGACAAACTCGATTCGTTGCAACGACGATTTAACGATCTGGTCAGTCGGGGTTCCGATTTGTTGAAACACGCACAAGAGTCTCTTCCGTTGGTTCAACAGTTCCATGACAATCACAATCGTTTAATGGATTGGATGCAAGCTGCGGAATCAGCTCTACAATTAGCAGAACCTCGCGAAGATGAAATTATTAGATTGGAAATGGAAATATCAGAATATAGGCCAGTTTTAGACAAGATCAATGCGGTTGGGCCACAATTGTCTCAACTATCGCCAGGTGAAGGTGCGGCGACTATCGAAGCTCTAGTCACCAGGGACAACAGAAGATTCGCCGCAATTGCGGAACAGATTCAACGAAAAGCGGAGAGACTTCAACTTAGCAAGCAACGTTCGTTGGAAGTGATCGGAGACATTGACGATTTATTGGAATGGTTCCGTGAAGTAGACAGTCAATTAAGAGAGGCAGAACCACCAAGCAGCGAACCAGAAATCATTAGAGTACAATTGAAGGAGCATAAAGCCTTGAACGATGACATATCCAGTCAAAAAGGACGTGTAAGAGACGTGATATCCACTGCAAAGAAGGTAATTCGTGAAAATGGTCAATTCGAGGACAAATCCACAATCAGAGAAAATATGGAAGAATTACGAGAGACCATGGAGATCGTTTCCGCTCTTTCAACGGACAAACTCGGGGCTTTGGAACAGGCTTTGCCATTGGCAGAACATTTACGCGATACTCACATTGATTTAGTCAGCTGGTTAGAGGAAGCCGAGCAACAATTTGCAATGCTACCTATGCCCGCGTTAAAACCCGATCTAATAGTCGCCCAACAGGACAAAAACGAGCTTCTCGTGCAGAGTATCAACGAGCATAAACCTCTGGTCGAGAAATTAAACAAGACTGGCGAAGCTTTGCTGAAACTTTGCAACGAAGAAGAAGGCATTAAGATACAGGACATCGTGGAAGCGGACACCGCTCGATACGCAGCCCTCAGAGCAGAACTTCGTGGTCGGCAGCAAACTCTTGAACAGGCACTTCAAGAGTCGTCTCAGTTTTCTGACAAGTTGGAAGGAATGCTACGTGCCCTTTCCTCGACTGCAGATCAAGTCAATGGTGCTGAACCGATCAGTGCTCATCCTGGTCGGTTAAGAGACCAGATGGAAGAGAACTCCGCTCTGATCGACGAACTGGCTCAAAGATCCGAAGCCTACGCTGCTGTGAAGAGGGCCGCTGATGATGTGATCAGCAAGGCAGGTAATAGGGCAGATCCAGCTGTAAAAGATATCAAACGGAAATTGGAGAAACTAAATAAATTATGGAGCGACGTGCAAAAGTCGACGACCGACCGAGGTCAAACGTTGGATGAAGCTCTGGCGATCGCTGAAAAGTTCTGGTCCGAGTTGAATGGCGTGATGTCGACTCTGCGAGAGCTTCAGGATGCTCTTGCAGGTCAGGCACCACCAGCAGCTCAACCTGCTGCCATCCAACAGCAACAAGTTGCCTTGCAAGAGATTAGACATGAAATAGATCAGACAAAACCAGATGTAGAGCAAGTTCGGGCTTCTGGGCACGAGTTGATGGGTCTTTGCGGCGAGCCGGATAAACCAGACGTTAGGAAGCACATCGAAGATTTGGATCAAGCCTGGGACAACGTCACTGCTTTGTACGCTAGACGAGAAGAAAATCTGATTGATGCTATGGAGAAGGCCATGGAGTTCCACGAGACGTTGCAGAATCTTCTGGAGTTTCTTCAAGAAGCCGAGAACAAGTTCTCCAGCATGGGATTACTTGGAAGTGATATTGACGAAGTTAAGAAACAGATCAAACAATTGGCCAACTTCAAAGCCGAAGTTGATCCTCACATGGTCAAGGTCGAAGCTCTGAACAGGTAACAGATATTGTCTTTGATTGATCTCCCTTTTACGATTTGTTGGTTTCGCGAACAACTCTATTTCGTGAATTCCCCCATGATCATTTATTCTATAAAGATTTACTTTATTCTATCAATAATATTCCATCGTGCGATGTTTCATTTATACGATAACGCAAGAAAGCCTGTCTACATATAAACAGCGAGATTCTAATCCAACTTTTATTTTTCCGCGCCTGTTCCTGAACGCATAGGAGTCTGATAAGGCAAGTCAACCTCTCTCTGTGTTGTAGTAGTTAGAGCATGGCTTACAATCTTTTTTATATATGTATACATATATAAAACATAATATACATGATTATTATACCTTCGAGTAATACATCCAGGTTATCGGAATAGCTCCGCCCTCTAGCCCTTTTAATCTTGTAATATCTGTAATATTGTCGTAATATCCCAGTTGAAGTCGGATGATTGCAATCCTTAACTGTTTCTGTTGATTGGAGTTCGAACAGTATCTTACCAACAGATGTATCTTGCCTGCATGTCTGCCTTGGCTGTTGCCTGGCTCGTGACGTGCCTGTTCTACTTACATACACTGTATCGTAGGTATTTGCCCGTGGACTCGATGGAGGAAACGAGTCGCGGTTTTCCTTTTAGATGATGACCATGAAGCAACTCGATTAACGACTTCAAGGTTAAATAAATATTCCAGTTAAAATAATTTTGTGTCATATGTTTGTCATGTGATTTCAATGGCATCACGTGATATCAAAGTAATTCAAGGGAAGAGTGTCACGTTTATTATGATCCAATAATACGAAGAACCTACACAAGACCTTGATGACGTTAAAAGAATAATTCCCTGTAATAATTTTGTATCATTCCTTTCCTGTAGAATTCGTCGACCCTGTGTTCATTATGACTAAATATCGATTCTATAGTCTGTCCAACGAGACGAGGTCCAATAGATATAAACAAAATTTGTGCTCGATTGCAGTGGCCACAAGTATTCACTTGTCGATCCTCAGAACTAAGATGAACTAACTTTTATGATTGCTACAACTCTGTGAACAGATCCTATCTTAGATCACGTGTGCACTTGTTTGGATTTGTTATATCCTCTCGTTGGACAAACTATAAACGTATGTGTAAGTTTAAACAAAGATCGACACTTTTTACAAATACTCCTATGGTGTACGCTTTCTGACATTGACGCGTACAGTTGTTGTTCGATGATCCACGTAAATCACACAAGTACTTCTTGTACAATTTCAGACAAGCTGCCGAACTGACAGAAAGAACATCCTCGGAACAAGCTGCAGCTATCAAAGAACCACTTGGTGCTGTTAACAAACGATGGGACGGTCTGCTTCGAGGTCTTGTCGAGAGGCAGAGACTCTTGGAAAACGCATTGCTACGTTTAGGACAATTTCAACATGCACTAGACGAGTTGTTGGTATGGATCGAAAAGACGGATGATACCTTGGACAATTTGAAGGCCGTGGCTGGCGATCCTCAAGTGATTGAAGTGGAATTAGCCAAGTTAAAAGTACTTGTGAACGACATTCAAGCTCATCAGACCAGCGTGGACACGTTGAATGACGCTGGAAGACAATTGATCGAGGATGGTAAGGGAACGGCAGAAGCTTCAACAACTGCGGAAAAATTGGGCACTTTGAATCGTCGTTGGCGCGATTTATTGCAACGTGCTGCTGATCGTCAACGAGAATTGGAAGATGCACTTAGAGAAGCGCAGACGTTCACCGCGGAGATACAGGACCTTCTATCTTGGTTGGGTGATGTAGACAATACTATAGTAGCTTCGAAACCGGTTGGAGGATTGCCAGAAACGGCTTCAGAACAATTGGAACGTTTCATGGAAGTATACAACGAGTTGGAGCAAAATCGTTCCAAAGTTGAGTCGGTTCTTCAACAAGGGCAGGCATATTTGAAGCGTGCTGATTCTATTAGTGCTGGTGGACTGAATCACAATTTAAGGACTTTGAAACAACGGTGGGATAATGTAACTGCACGAGCGAGTGATAAAAAGATCAAACTCGAAATCGCTCTGAAAGAGGCTACAGAGTTCCACGATGCACTTCAATCGTTTGTCGATTGGTTAACCAACGCGGAAAAGATTCTGACAAATCTGAAACCTGTGTCGAGGGTAATGGAAACCATTCTCGGTCAGATAGAAGAACACAAGGCATTTCAGAAAGACGTTGGAGTTCATCGTGAAACTATGTTAAACCTCGACAAAAAGGGTACGCATTTGAAGTACTTCTCACAGAAACAGGATGTGATTCTAATAAAAAATCTATTGATAAGCGTGCAACACAGATGGGAAAGAGTAGTTTCGAAATCGGCAGAGAGAACAAGAGCTCTTGATCATGGATACAAAGAAGCCAGAGAATTCCACGATGCTTGGTCAAGTTTAATGAACTGGCTCGACGAAACGGAGAAAACTTTGGACGAGGTTGCTGGAGATGGTGGCCTTGGGGGAAATGATCCAGAAAAAATTAAAGCTAGACTGAACAAGCATCGTGAATTGCAAAAAGCTCTCAGTGCCAAACAGGGTACCTATGACGTAACCATGAAGAACGGGAAATTGTTAAAAGATAAAGCACCAAAGAGCGATGAATTCGCTCTGAAAGAACTTTTGAACGAATTGAAGAACAAGTGGACTACTGTCTGTAGTAAGTGTGTGGACAGACAGAGGAAACTCGAAGAAGCATTGTTGTTTTCGGGACAGTTCAAAGATGCTATTCAGGCATTGCTGGAATGGCTTAGCAAGTCTGAGAAGCAACTGGCGAACACTGGACCACTTTATGGTGATCTTGATACTGTGACGAATTTGGTTGAACAACATAAGACTTTCGAGAAGGATCTTGAGTCCAGAGACTCTCAGATGGAATCTGTGATAAAAACGGGTCGCGAGCTTCTTGCCAAAGCGACACCTGATGATGCATCTGCTATAGGATCGCAGCTTGCCGAATTAAATAACCTTTGGGACACGGTAACCAGATTGTCTTCTGACAAGACTGAACGACTCCAAGAAGCCCTCAGAGAAGCTGAACGCCTCCACAAGGCTGTTCATGTGCTTCTAGAGTGGCTGAGTGATGCTGAGATGAAACTAAGATTCGCTGGACAGTTGCCGGAAGACGAACAAGAGAGCAGGAATCAATTAATGGAACATGAAAAGTTTTTGCGTGAATTGAGTACCAAGGAAATAGAAAAAGATCAAACTTTAGAATTGGCTCATATGATTCTTGCAAAGGCACATCCCGATGGAGCTTCAGTTATTAAACACTGGATCACGATTATTCAGTCCAGATGGGAGGAGGTTTCTACATGGGCTCAGCAAAGAAATCAAAGGCTGGAGAACCATATGCGAGGACTTCAGGTATTAATCTCGTCAAATATTGCTTCTTTGATCTATTATGTATTAACTTGTAAATTTTATTTATTGTTCTACTTTTCAGGACCTTGATAATCTCCTGGAAGAACTGCTATCATGGCTAGAAGGTTTGGAGAACACTCTGAATGCTCTTGAAGCTGAACCTCTACCAGACGATAAAGCTACTCTAGAAATGCTCATTGCGGATCATAGAGAATTTATGGAGAACACCAGTCGAAGACAGAACGAGGTCGATCGTGTCTGCAAAGCCAGACAGATTAAATCCGGGAAAGACACGATGAAAATAACGAAGGCTAAGTCGCCTGCACCAACGTACGTTCATTTCTTTTCATTTATCTTTTGTTTTCTGCTCCCAATTTTCTTGGTCAGTTCAAATGTCAAAATCGCCAAGGATCGCGCTCATCAAAATTCATCGTTCGTTCGAGGTAGACGAAGTAAATCAGATTCGCCTATCTGCTTCTCGATATTAATTTAAATATTTGAAAAGTACTCTCTCTTTTTTTTTTTTTTTTGTTTTCGTTTGCGCTTTGTCGTTTGGAAATTATACTTGACCGTGCATGAGTTGCGTTTGAGTCTCATTTCTTCCAATTCCATTCTTTTTTTTTTTTTTTTACTTTTTTTTTACTATATATACGTAAAATGATTTTCGATAACAATCCAAGTACGGATCAGGAGGTTTACGAGGACAGCTGGATTCAACAAAAAGGTGCGTTTACGAGTAAAATTAACGGGTTGTTAAAGTCTGATCGGTTTGTTTCAAGGTAGTAGCATGGTATGTGATAGAATATCTTTAAATCTAAGGAAACACGAGTACGAACACTTGAAGCGTATCCAAGGCGTTTATTTTACAAGTACGGAGAATAGGTCGCCTTATAAATAAACCTTATTATGAAGCGAATACTTCATATTATCGTTTTTTGTTTTGTATACGAGTAATGTTTGTTTTGTATGTGGCCTATTCTTCCTTTTTCCTTCCCCTTTTCTTTCGTTTGCTCGTCACAAGGAAACTCGACGATCGGTCGCTGAAATGGGTTTAAGCGATCGGTGCACGAGAACGCGTGTATTAGGTAGAAAAGTATCAAGTGATGTGACGCATGTTCCTGTTTAGCCGAGCCAGCCCAGGCCGTGAGAGAACGCCCGATTTGTTGCCGCACATAGGCCCACGGTTCCCACCCAAAGGAAGGTTCGTCACACCTACCGTTACTTCGATTCTTTTTAATCGTCCGAGCTTTACTTTGTTTTTAACCCTTAACACACTTTTCCATTTATTTTGCAGTTTTATCGATCCTGTCGATCTCGTCAGGATAAACGATTCTTCCTCGTTTATTCTTTCGTTTCTTTTCACTCTTTTCTCTCATCTTTCTTTTTCATTTATTAAGTTTCCATTAATCACTGTGGAGATTTATAAAGGTCGTTTTCGATGATTTACATATTTTGTCATTCATAAGCTTCCTTTGCCTCTCGTACCATGTTTATTTAATTCACGATGAAGAACGGAAATGTTGACATGTTATTTTGTACTCATATAGCAAGGGTGCCGAGCCGGAATTCCGTAGTCCGAGAGTGAAACTGTTGTGGGACAGGTGGAGACACGTTTGGATGTTAGCATGGGAACGTCAACGTCGCCTGCAAGATAAATATAACTATATCCAAGAACTGGACCGTGTTGCAAATTTCAGCTGGGAGGATTGGCGCAAGAGGGTGAGTACATGAAACAGGGGCATTGTTATTTATTTATTTATTTATTTTCCACTCAATCTAACCGATATTGTTTCATTACTACAGTTCCTGAAATTCATGAATCATAAAAAGTCCAGGCTGACAGATCTTTTTAGGAAGATGGATAAAAATAACGACGGCCTGATTCCACGTGAGGACTTCATTCAAGGAATCATGAATACCAGTAAGTCTCTCTTTCTTTAGCTCATTTGAACTCTTTTCGCAACAGAACATCATAAATTTAATCTTGTATAGAATTCGAGACTTCACGACTGGAAATGGGAGCAGTCGCAGACTTATTCGATCGCCACGGTGAAGGATTAATAGATTGGAAGGAGTTTATCGCGGCCTTAAGACCAGACTGGGAAGAACGCAAAACGTACAACGACACTGACAAGATCCATGACGAAGTAAAACGATTGGTGATGCTTTGTACTTGTCGTCAAAAATTCCGTGTGTTCCAAGTTGGTGAAGGGAAATATAGGGTATTTATCTGAAATTGTTTTCTGTTTTAAAATTGCTGAGACTTCAAAATTCGTAGTCATTTACGATGACAATTTATTTGTCTTTTAGTTCGGCGATAGTCAAAAATTGCGTTTGGTACGAATTCTACGATCGACCGTGATGGTTCGAGTCGGTGGTGGATGGGTAGCACTGGACGAATTTCTATTAAAAAATGATCCATGCCGCGGTGAGTGTTTCTCTCATTTAATTTATCTATTTTTCTTTTTATCTATTCCGTTACCGCCGAATTATGCCGTCGGAATCGATAAACACGAACTTGGCCTAATTTAGAATGACTTTTTTTTTGTTATAACAACGAATCTTTACAAAATTTCCTACGATTATTTCGTTTCGTTCCTATCTACCTCTGAACGCGACATAAATAGACCGGTTTTCTCAATTAAAAATAAAATTTCACTATTTCCTAGCCCTTTACCCCCATCCAAAAGAGGCAGCTAAACACGTTTATGTTTTTTTACCGATTAAACACACATGGGATTTAATTAATTTTGTTTGAAATATATTTATTAACATTCTGTGCTTCTTACTTTGAGTTTCATTGTATTTCTGTTTTATATCCATGCTAAAAATTTCAAACTAAAAACAGGAAAAATTAAACTCGAGCACTTTTCCTTGCTTAGGGAATAAATATTTGATTGTACGCGCGTTCATTGATTAAAAAAAGAAAAAGGAAAAGATCGTGTAACAGCTGCATCCAAAAAAATTTCATTCATCAAATTGTCTCACTAACGAATCCTCTCATCGACTCTTCCCGCGTGATCACTCATTTCTCTTCATTGTGTCGCATTTTTGTTGATGCTATGTGTACTCATCCTACATTTAATATACGTGTACGATCTCAGCTCCTGAGGTACAAAATGTGAGCGTGACTAATCATTAACCGACACTAGATGAATTTTTTTAATACCATTTATATGAGCAGAAGAAGAAAGCGTGTGCTCGTTATATGCGACCTCCGCTTCGCATAATATTTACCTGTGTATTGGCTAGGTTTTCATGTTAGCTTAATCACTAACTGTCACGAATGAATCTTTGTCCCACGAATTACATTAATATTCAGTTCTGTTTTCCTTTTATTGTTAAAAATTTTGCCCGATTAGCTATTTTGTTGTAATATGTTTTGCAAAGCAAGTTCGTGGGACTCGATCGTTCGGTTGATTGCTATTGCAATCATAATATATCTTGGTAACTTTAGGAGAGATTCGTATCGCTTGTCATTAGTATGTAACTAACGTCAGTCGAATCATCCTCTGCCAATCCGACCTAACAATTTAACGAACAGAATAACAACATTCCATCTTGTTTCATTGGTTCATTTTGTCTTTTATTGCGCACAATTTTATCGACGTTTTTTCTCCCCGATTTCATTACGTGTAAATTTTTAAATTACGCATTTAGTTTATTTAATATTGCATGCCCTCGTTTATTTTATATTAAAAAAAAAAAAAAAAAAAAAGAAAAGAAAAAGAAACGGACCGACTAAAATCCTTAAATCGTAATTAACTCGTTAAGTTTTTCTAATGCCGATACCGGACCCTAACAAACCGGAACAACATGAGGGTTGGTGTCCGCTCGGTGAGAATCTTTTTATATGGGAATAATTTCAATTCGTGGTCCGTACATTGTTTTCTTCTTGGAAAAAAATGTACTCTCTTCCCTACATTTTGTTTTATACCTTAAAAAGTAGAACATTTTCAAAAATATAACTCGGTGATCGTACTGACCACGAAATGAACATCCTGCATGGTACGTGTTTTGTACGTGTACATATGTTTGCTTTTTCGCAACGTGTTTCAGTTCTGTTGTTTAGTTGGTTTTCGCATTTATTTGTCGAGCAGAAGATTTCGTGTGTGTATTAAACTGGCATGTAACACGGAGTTCTGATTTTTCAAGTCATTCTAACAGAAAACTATAAACCGCGTCCGCGTACAACTACTCCGTCGAGATAGAACCGTTTTACCTTTCTCGATCATCTTCCTCCTTTCATTTACACGCTGTAATGACGAAATCTATTTTTTAAATATCGTATCCATTTCTTTCTATTCGACAAAAATTTACCCGCGAATATCGAGACATCTCATTTATTCCTTACTTCGACTAGTGTCGCCGTCAAAATTCAGCTTATTTATGGGATCTCTAATTAGATTTGAATCGAAGATAAATTAATTTTGACTATTTCCGTGCTCTCTGAAATTAATAAGATAGTTGATTTTCGACGTGGACACAACTCGCATGCTATTCCATCAGCCATTTGAATTCTTTTAACAGCATAATTAACGGGGAATTATACTCAAATAACGGGGAATCATAATTCGATCAATATGAAATCAAAGCGGTTTCAACAATACCCTTCGAGTCTTATTGCGATCACAATATCCATCTAACTTTTATTCTTTTATCGAATAATAATTATCATTTTTTAAATTATATATTTTTTACCTTTCAATTATCGCCGAACGAATATTCTATAATACACTGTATTTTTTTCTTTTTTGTTCCACCATACACTCGCACACCAACATACCGCGCGTGCGCCGCTATCATTGCCTTTGAAATGATACTACTATTGCTATTATCGCTAATACTATTTACTCTCGCTATTACCGCTACAACACACACACACACACACACACACATATATATATATATTCTCTATTTTCTTATTTTATACTCTAACTTTCTATATGCACGACACCTCAAACATCTCACGACGATAAAACTCGATCAAATCGACTCTTTAATCTATCACTGTTGATAACGCGCATGATTACTCGATAACGCCGCTGTAAACTATGCCCTTACCTGCGTATATCTGATCGCTTAACATACTTTTCATATATCTGTGATCTGATTTATACTATGTTTCCTCTATTATTTCTTGGCTACCCGTTAATTATCTGCTCTATATATATTCTTACCTCTCTCTACGCTCGTTTTCTCTTCTTTCTTTTTCTATTTCTCTTTCTCTTCCCTTTTCTCTTTTTTTTTTTTTCTTTTTTTTTTTTTAAAAAAAAAAAAAAAAAAAAAAAAAAATTACTATTCTTTGTACTATGGCCCCATTTTCTCAATACCCTGCGGTACGTCCTGTAACGCCTTCCTTCTAACTTGCGTGCACGCAACACACTGTAGCCAAGGGAAGAACGAATATCGAGCTGCGAGAGCAATTCATATTGGCGGACGGCGTTAGCCAGACTATGACGGCGTTCAGATCGAAGCCAAGCCCAACCTCGACGTTGCAGCGCACGCCAATCTCATCCGCTAATGCCGGACCCATCACCAAGGTAACGTGTGTGTGTCACCATTCTCTCGTTCCTACGATCGATCATCCAGATCGCGATCGTCGAGAGCTGCCAAACTGCGAATGTCATTCGATTTCGTTTGAATTTCGCACCTTTGACGAGTTCTCGAAGTCTCGCGGTGCGAGATCAATCCAGGAGCATTGAGGCCTCCTTCGCGTAGACATGCGAAAACCAGTACACACGTGCCGAGGCAACTAATCATTTCATTGTTAAAAAAACGTGGACGTACAACTCCTACTTTCAACGTAGGTTGCTCCCTTGTTACTTGCTAATCGGCATTCGTGCACTCGAAACCCGCAGCAGCTGCGTGAACGAGGCCCGACTACTCGTATACTTCTTTTACTTTCATCGAGCCGCGTACTCGAGTTTCACTTTTCGAGGATGGTTTGAGAAAATATACGCAAACTGGACCGCTGGATCGTTCGTTGATTTGTTCAGCCGCCCAAAAAGCCGATCGATGCTCCACGGGGAAATGATGTTGTCGGGATTTCCTTGGTTCGATATCGATCGCAACGATCGCACGCATTGTAGATTCTCCTCCTGTTGTCGTCTCTCTGTTTCTTGATTTGACTTGACTTGACTTGACTTACCTTGCCTTGCCTTGCCTTGGCTTTCCCCCGGTCATCTTTCTCTCTAGTCTTTGTACGGGTAAACTCGATCGATGGTTCTGCTGTAATTTAGGGTAAGTATTATACCACCTGACTCGAGAAAATTAGGAACTATAGTTTTTCTTTCCAATCCTCTGGACTCGTTTACTTTTTATTCTCGCATGCGAGCATGTCAGCTTACGAAATGGTAGCAATCATTGCACCTACGGCTACCTTAGCTCAGCCAGTTGCACCTTGAGGTGACCGCTTTTAATCATTCCCGTTCCTCGATTGGTTCGATTCCGGAATTCCTTTTTGTTTTTCAGCCCACGAAGCCCCCAAAAATATTTCTTGGCCCTAGCCACGCTGTTACGCCCTCGAAATCGGCATTGAACCGGTTATGTGAATCCTTGGCGCTTCATTTCGCCGAGGAAATACAGAGTACCTCACCTCAGGAGATGCGATTTCACGAGATTCTATTATTCTATTTTTTTCTTTTTTTTTTTCGACTCTTTTATTTTCTATCTCTCTGTCTCTGTCAGAGTTTGTACGTCGAATCATTGGAATCCGACATCGTTTGTCGTCGATTTCAACGACGTACTCGTCATCGCCCGTAATCTCCTCGACTAGAATTGTTTACGTGATAGAGCGAATATAGAACTTTCGATCGAGAAATTACATTAAAAATTAAAATCGAATAATATACATATATACGAAAGAAGCTACAAAGAATTCGTAAAAGATCTGTCGAAAGATCCGATATTCGCTTCGATCAGCAGACAAACGTGAGAGAAAACGGTGCTCTCGCTATTTAACGATCGGTGTATTCCTAAACTATTCGTTTATGGTGTAGCGGAGGAGTTTATGAACCAGCTGACGCCGATTTTTGAGAGTTTGAGGCAAAAGGAGGACCTTCCGTGCTCGTATCCCCTCCACATGCACGCTCCCTCTTATCATTGGGTAAATAAGAAAATTCTGTTTTAATTTCTGCTGTCAGTGGTGTGACACATATTGTATTATCCGATACAATTGATTTTAATCGTTTTATTTTATATTTTCTATCGAATTCCTCGGTGTACTCTCTGTTTTCTGTTTCTTTCTCTTTACTTCCTTTTTTTTTTTCTTTTTTTGAGTGAAGGTGATTTGTCTCTCTTTCTCTGTCTCTCTCTCTCACACACACACACACACTCGAGTGCGCTTATTACGGTCCTCAACATCGTGTGACAGCCGATAGGAGGAACGCTTCGTTCACGATTTCAGCGCCTGACTATATCGTGACTGATCTCGCGATCCCAATACCAATTCTTCATCTCTGTATCTTGTGTTTTATACATATACAAATATTTCTTCTTTTTTTTTTTTTTTAATTTGCGTTGCTACTTCCGCTATCGCTGCTCTCAGCATTCCCGTATCGTATATGTCAGTCTCATGACGATGCGCGCGTACACGTACGCGAGAAACATCCCCTTCGATTCATGGCATCGTAGCTTTAACGGGATATATCATATATGCATGTGGTAGAACTGGTAGTTTAGATCGACGATCGTATTTTTCATGGCACTTAGCCATGGACGGCACTCGAAAGAACATGTGTCTCTTCGTATCTCATTGAACGCGTAAAACGCAATTACGTTTTGAGTTCGCCAGTAGCTCACGGGGGTTATTTTTCTTTTTTTTTTTTTTTTATAATGCCTTTCGTTTTGTTTCCACGTTCGTCAGCCTGATTTGCCGTGTCTGATTTTTTTTTAAATTGAATGCCTCTTAAATGATTTCCCCTCCCTCGTAGGACGAACCGGGAATTCATTCAGTTCATCTTGCAAACGATCAGTATCCTTGATTTTTCTTACAATTCATCCGCTTAGAATTTCTGTCCATTTTCCTTTGGCTCGAACGTCGAGGATTCCAAACGTTGCAGAACGAACGAATTTTTTCTCGCGCGGCGGACGCGTTTCGCGGACACGGTGAACTACTGTGTATGTATAGGCGAATATGTGCATAACGATCTCCTGTATTGCTGTATTGATGCGTGCATAGTGGCGTTGATCGGAGATACTTCGAATCATCATAAGCTACTCTATCTGTCCCAACTTCCTTTGGTAAGTTTGCATGAATCTTTTTTTTCGTTAGACATAAAGAGTCGCTCTTTATCTCTCTCGAACTATCATGGTAGTCTCTATTTTTTTTTCACTGGTCTTTTTGTTTTGTTTTTTTTTTTTTTCTTTCCTTTTTTCTGTACTTGTTTCTTCAATCGATCGGTTTCTATTTCACACCGGTGGCGTTGAAAAGGTTGTAAACGAACGACCGAGCAGCACCGCGGAAAGAAACAACCAGATTTCTACGCGATATCACTGAAATATACGCGGCGGAAGGAAATCCAGAGATGTTTATCTTTCATCGTTCGAATATCTGCTTCCTTCCGTCTCGTGATTTGATACGTATCGCTTTTAACTAACAGTATCGGCGCGTCGCATTCGCGCGTCGACCGGTTCAAACGATTCTTGCTGTTTGTCTGTTTGTTTGTTTGCCTCTTTGTTTCTACCGCGTACGTAATTGCCTCCTCTGGTAGAACGTATCTTTCCGTTTAATTTCCCCCCATCTGTGTTCGTTTATCCAAAACGAGCTTTCTGTCGTGTAGGTGAGAGAACGCAGCGCTCGCAGCGTTCCCATGGGACAATCGCGAGCATCGCGCTCCTCGCTAAGCGCCGGCACACCAGACAGCTTGAGCGACAACGAAAGTTCCTTCAAGCTTGGCTCTGCTAGAAAAACGAGTACACCTTACAGAAGCTCCGTCACACCGGGTAAACGATTCTATCGAATATTTATATCCTCTATTTTTCAGCCTATCTTTTCAGACAAAATTTTATGTTTATCGTTGACTCGCTGCAGGTGGTAGTCGACCATCCAGTAGGCCAACTTCGAGACCGACGTCCAGACCAACAAGTAGACCCGGAAGTAGGCCTGCGTCCAGACAAGGAAGCAAACCACCGAGCCGTTACGGTTCCTCGCAGTCGTTAGATAGCACTGGTAAGTAATTATCAAATATCGATGATATATAAATATATACTATCTATATATATATATAATATATATAAATATACTAATATATATATATAAATATATATTTCTTGTTATTTTTTTTTCTTATAATAAGAAAAATTAATTTATATTGGATCTCTTGAGGAAATCCAGAACATATTTATAGTATTAAAATAGTGCTAATGGATTCTAAGACATTGGTTTCCTAATTTAGATTGCAGATGACAAAATTGGACTATGTCTATTTTTTATCGGTCTAGATAAGAATTTTTATTCAGAAATATACTTACATATTACAAAATTAAATATACTAAAAAGTATAGTATATACCAAATATATTTATAAAGGAACATCTATCCGGCGATTCAAAAAATTACGAAACTTTGGGGTAAGTAAAACATATCGAGGTATGCGCAATTTTTTTCCTGCCAAAATTCACTCTAAGAAGTGGAACTTTGAAAATTTGGCAAATTTTTAATTTTATATTATGATATTATTTTATGTTAAGAAAAGTTTTGTGACAAAAACCTTTTTTATCGGCAATTTAAATAACTATGAAATAACACAATATTTTTTTTATATACCAACTTTGTTGTATTGGTAAATGCTTCAGTCGAAAAACTTCTGGATTTCAGATCATATATATCATTGAATAACGAACAGTTTTTTAAAAAAGTAATTTACATGATATCGTTTTGTCTTTCATTATACGGTATAAACATAACGTATTAGAGTAATAAGTAAACATATTAGATGAAAGAAGATAAAGAAAAAGAAGAAAACTCTAAGATATCTTTATTGGAACTTTTTATTTTTAACTATAAATTACGAATTTTTCTTTTATCTTCTTAAGAAGTGAATGAGGACGCAAAGATAATAATAATAATAATAATAATTTTAGACTGAAAATGAACAGCTATAATAATAATAATTCTAGTATAGACAGTTGTGAAAATACATATAAATATTATGAATTACTCTTAATGGCGATGGAAAACTGTTCAAATAAATATTTAAAACGTAAAAATTCATTATACGCATGTCATATAATAGCATGATTATCATATACAATAGAATGAAGCGCATGTATAAAGAAAAAAATATTCTTTTTGTAAAAAGTTGCATAGGTCGAAGATACACCTAAAATGCTTTTACGCATTCGATCAATAGTGTGTCTAGTTTTCAGCACTAGCGACTATTGCTTGGACGCGACGAAACATGCTTCAATTTTTCAGCATACGAGACAAGTAAAGATCTCGATATTTCTCGAATATGTACTTTGATCACAAAAGTTAATTATATGTAAGAAATTGTAATTTGATAACATTATTCTATATAATAATAATATCACAAAATCGGGAAATTTTCAAACAAATTTTTTCCATACATATATAAAGTATCATTCGCTACAAATGTTAATATATTCTCGTTGTCGATGCTAAATAAAACAATAGACATAATATTTATAACACTTCGATGGATATATCTTTCGTATGCGCAGAAACAATTGTACAAAAGCAATCGCAATAGCGACGTATAATGGAGACTTCGTTAATCATTAATACTTGAATATACTTCTCTTGAAAATTATGCTTCCAAAGAAATTATGTTATTCCTAATTTTTCTCTTATTTTTAGCCATAAAATTTTCCTGATTTGACTTGAACTGAGAATTACAGATCATCCTCTATAAATTACTTTCTCAATATATGTTCCACACTACTTCAAAATAAATATTTGAAAATCCAAAAGAGTACCTCGAATGTCGAACACAAAGGCACACAGAGTGTGTATGTAAAAGAAAACTTATGCCATTTCATAGTCATTTAAAGATTACTGGATTTCACGCGAAAAGATGAATTTTACAAAAAAGTATTATTATTAATATTTTTATTTGCAATTTTTTTATTTATATAAACGATTGAAAAATCTTTTACCATAAGATATATAGTCTTAATTAAAAGGAGTAATTTTTTTTTATCTCTTACAATTTTCAAATGATATCTAACATAAAATCGAAAATTTACCGAATTTTCAGGATTATGTTTCGGTCTCTTACAATTTCGGCATGAAAAAAATTGCGTAGTGTATACCTCTTGTTCTGCCTTACCGAACACAATGGAGGTAGGGTTCGCACTGTGAAAGACAAACCCATCGAGCCAGGAAAAGTAATTTTATAATTTCCAATTTCTCGACGGCAGGGATCTCCCGTAACCATATTTCATGTCCTTCGTTATCTTGCATCTTCTATTGTAGTCACACCGGACTACCAATTCCAAGGCTCGGTAAGTTTCATTGCAATGCTCCCCATCACAAACAAACTCGAAAATGAGATGCGAAAAATAAATTCATCGAGTTAAGAATAAAACTTTCAGATTCACCATTTTTTCCATGGATTTCCCTTGACCGTACTTCGTGTTTTTCCTTTACTTTTATTTCATTGTTGTAGTCATGCTCGACTCTCAATTCTAAAACTCGGTAAATATCTTTATCGCAACTTTTCTACGACATCCATAAATCCAAGATATATTGCGAGGGACACATTAGGGGAAAACCATTAGAAAGTGCAACTTTCTGAGACCGACCTCGCTCACATCTCTAAGCAACTAGCATATCTCCCTAATCCCTCCGTAACCATAGAATCAGCTATATAAGACTAACGCACAAGGAAAATAGATAGACTTACTGTACCTAACATGCATAAGATCAATAATTACATATGGATATCAAATCTGGACCTCTGCTGCCAAAACACACATCAATAAAATACAAATCATACAAAACAAATTCTTTAGAATTATTATCAATAAACAGAGGGACACAACCGTAGCACAGCTCCATCAATTAGCCAACATCCCCACGATCAAGCAGTAAATATTCAAAACTCACTATCTGGAGCCTACAACAACCATCAAAAACCCCCTCATCAGGGAACTATCAAGTCGAAAACATACCACTCAAAGATCAAGGTCAAATTACCTAAACACGCAATAACCTGATGAACAACCCGAACCAAAATCGTATCAAGCAACCTGCAGGTTATTTGAAACTTTTCGTGCAAGCCTAACCTCGCATCATCATGCAAACAAACCACACAAATATCCACAAACTAATAATATCAATCTTCATGCACTTCAAGTCCAAGGTACTGCAGACAAGACATCCTGACTAAATAAAAAAAAATAAAAAATAGTTAATGTTTTTTGGCAATCGCGCACTGCGCACAGAAGTTCCAGAGCAACCCATCGACGTACGACAGTTCACGGTTCAACTATCAAACTCATTCAAATCTTATCATTTACGAATTCAAGCTCTCTTACGACAATATACATTCCTCTATCATACCAATCCAACCCCAAAACAACTCTCCCTTGAACCAGCTGACTTTCATTAATGTTGAAAGACAGCAAGCCACCGATCTGCTCAACGCTCCTCATACGTCGAGGCCAGATCGGCATGCAACACTTCTATGTACTCTACTTATAAAATGTCAATTTGGTGTGTCCCCATTTAAATATGTTCTTTTTTGTTATTAAAATAATCGTTAAATTTTGAAGATCATACTATTGATTATTTTTCTAATATCTTAAGATTTAAATTCGAAAATAACTTTATTTTTTAGTAATCGTACTGCAAATTTTTTTAATGCACCTTATGTGTTTTTCCATGTACTCCGGATAGAATATATTTTTTTGATAGTTCCAACTTAATATCCGTTAAGTAACTAGTACTAACGTAAATTATACCCATAAGAGTTCAAAAATTTATCCACCATAAAAAAATTAGAAATTAGTAAAATTATCAGTCACCAAAAGAAAATATTCATCGTATTGCAACTATTTACTTTATACTATTTACTACTTCTACAATCTTTCCTTTCGTACCCTTCTTGTTAAGAAATGTCGACAAGTTGATTTACATGTGCATAATGACTATGATTCAATTTAAGATACAAATTAACCTTCCGAGTACCGCAGTATAGTGACCCATGCCGGAGTCACTGCTGACTCACGCCGATACTTCACTAACACATAGCGGCTCAAGCTCGAGACCCTCATCAATACTGTACGAGCACAGTTATGGTTGTTTGAGCTCTAGACGTTACTATAATACAATGTAATAGATTTCGAGTTATGTTCGGATTTTCGTTGTATGTATACAAAAAAATAATAGATTGGTAAATTATAAAAAAATTATATGTATGTGCGAAGTATTGCATTCATTACATATAATTTTTTGGATTTTTGTTGAGTGGGCATTAGAAACCTTTCTTTTGCATGAATTGCGTACAGGCGAGTATCTGTTATTACTTCCTATACAGAAACAGCATCTAGCACGCTTATTGTAATAAAAGGATGATTGTATGGTGGATTGTATTTCACTAACTATACAAATATTGCGTGTATGATACGAGTCTGGGAGATGTGTACTGCTTCTCTCCTCGTGAAAGACTGACTGACTGTTGCTAAGAGACCAAATGTTGCTACGTGACTTCTTGGTGCCAGCCAAGGATCCTTTTTCCTAGGCTTGGCTTTGTTTCTACCTTTACCGAGATGAGAAAATACCAGGACATCTGTCGAGCTGTGGTGTCATTTTTCGTCTCGCACAAATATGTAGCTCTTCACTGTGTGCGTCATCGTTTTCAAAACGACGCGGTACGACGAGTCACCAGTGACTCCGGCATGGTTAAACAATTTTTCCCCTACTTTACTTTTATAATGCTATCTTTATGTTTTTATTCATTTCATTTCAGACGATTCGACCAATGTGAGCCGTATTCCACGTAGAACGGCGATAAGCACGACAGGGAATACTCCCTCATCCAGTAGACACAATAGCGTTTCGGGGAAGCGTTTGTCGGTGAACGGTTCGAGTTCACGGCCACGAACACCTACCGGCTTGGTTAGTCCTGCCAGTGGTGTTCCAGCAAGGTTCGTGTCGATAATTTCCGTTTCTCAGTGTGTTCACTTGAAAAATGAAAAGATATGAAAATTTACCTGCGGCCAACTAACTCGCATCTTGTCGAATCTAGATGATTTTGTCGCATCGTCGATTCTCATGGTAGAGATACATATATATCTATATATATATTAACGACGATCGTATGTATTATGAGCTATTTCACATTTCGTATTCCTTGTAATCTTGGAGTGATGTTGATCGACGTGTCGTGTGCAAGATACGGTGTTCATTTTCCCGGCATTTTGTTCCATCTTTTATCGTTTTGTTTTTCTTTTTCTTTCTTATCCCTTTTTTTCATCATTTTGTCTTGTTTTATTTTTTTTTTTTTAATCTGTTTACCGATAAACGAAATTTGCGAATGGTTCAAAGAAAAAAGAAACCGTGATTTTAGAGCCGTGCCTATTAACCATTCGATATTCACGTGTCAGTTAACGAAAATTAACATAAATTTGGTTAATAACATTTTTTTAGGTTCGGCACAATCCATAGAGCTTCGAGCATTCCAACCCTGACTGGTGTCGGCACACCGATCAGGTAAACTAAATTAACGATTATCGAATCGTCGATGAAACTTGACGATTGGCTTTAGCTTCATTTGTCACGTGGTATATGGTACTATTAAGGTGGACTGTTTATAAATCATGGTGCAATGTACATACATATCTCGTATCATCTAACCACTCTTCCAAATTCATATTTCTATTTGTGTAGCCAATGCTCGCGGCGATGGTGGAGTTGATTTCATTATTTTTATTTTCCCATTCTCTTGGTTTTACAATTACTCGAGCTTTTATTCTCAATTTGTCTCGAGGAAGAATTTGTCAGGGAAAAAATAAAACGCGTGATAGATACTCCGTGTATGATAAAGTTGATTAATTGATTGGTGATGGTTTAGCCGCTCAAGGATTCCCGTGTATGTGGGCACAGATATAAAATCCCCACAATCGACGACCAGCAATATTTCTACTCATTCTACGCAAAGCAACTATTCGACCGTTTCTACCGATTCCACCGGGTATGGCCAAACTCTTTCCCGCTCTAATTAACATCGTCACGTCCTTTCTGTTTTTCTCTTTCTGCACTGAATGTCATTTGCATGCGCACTGGAGTATCGTTTTCATTCTCTGTTTCTGTTTTCTGTACCTATTCAAGATTCTTAGTTACTTTGCTTTTTTAGTTACTATTGCTTCCATTGGAACCGAGTCTACGATAGAAACTCTCAACGAATGCAATCGTTCAACGGAAATTGAAGTATTTGATGATGAACAATAGCATTCAGACAAAACTTATTTAGCATCGTACGTTTGCCTTTGATCGTACAATTAGTTCGTTTGATTTATTTAGCTTCGCCCTTATTAACGGCCGTGTTTCACCGTGCACCGCTTTAGATCTATTTAATAATCTAGTATCGTGTTTGTTTTTTAACACTATAGGAGCAGCTCGATGTGTACAAATTCAGCAACTAACACCTCATCGGCCGTTAAGCGAGCTAGGTAATCATCGTTTCGGTCTGATTCGGTTTACGTATAATTGGTTTTGTCGCTTGTATCATTACGATCACGCGGTAACGTCCTGAGAAAACCTAGATGGACAATAATGGGTAGTTAATACGTACCTGATCGACCAAGCTGCGTATTTTTTCTTTGCATAATCGATCGTTTGAAACGATTTCGATTGACGAGTCGATCGTACTCGACACATGGATCGCAAATATGAATACACTGTAATATAAATTGCTGAATTTTCTATAGAACAAGGACACCGTCCAGCGGGTCGAGCACTCCACTGCCGCCATCCTTGAAGCTGTCTAGGAAACCTTCCGGAGCATCGGACACGTCCGTGTCGACGACACCAGCCAGCAAACGAAAAGGCAAACCAACACCGATCGACCAACGGGCGCCATTCCGATTGTAGTCACCATGTATCATCATAGTCACTAAAAGGCCAAACATGTCTGAGAAACTGCGGTGGTTGGCGATCAATCAAATCGACGACACATCGACGTTTAGGATATTCTAATATAATAGTAACGATTCGAACGCGCGAGGATTTTAGGAGAATTGTTCGTATCGTTGTTAGCTACCGTTGCTTCGGATAATTGACTCGAATGTTCGTTACCACAGCTCGTGTGATGACGATCATATCGCGGATCGTGGGCTGCTCCTCTCGGGGACGTTCGAATCGAGCAAAAGAGCTTAATATTATCGAAATATTTTGTAAAAAGAAAAAGAAAAAGAAATGAAACGCATAGAGATGCAAGATGATAAAAATAGACGTGATTACAAAGCGATCTAAAAAAAAAAAGAAAAATAAATTATCGTGGAAGTTAACATCGATTGTATACGTATGGAAAACGATACGTATGAGCCAGATGTTAGCTCCGCTGCCGAGCGTACTGATTAACTCTTTCGTATTAAGTTTTCTTTACCGTGAATAGTGATAACGATCATTATTATTAATGTAATTGTAATTTTACGTTATCCATAGGACTAGGTTTTTACCGGTCGAGCAGATACATGAGCAACGCGTTTCATGTTTCGAAGAGAGGAAAAAAAAAAAATATTCGTCACCGCGGTGTATGCGTATTCAAGGATCGCGATACTCGACGATGCGGCGTACGACAGATACCGCGTTGCTGACTTGATCAATTCGGTCCATCTTTCTTTTTCTTGTTTCGTTTTTTTTTTTTCGATCGTTGTGTTTTTATTTCTTTTTTTCTTTTTTTAATCGTTTTCTTCTTTGTCTCTCATTTACTGGTGGAGAAAGGGCCCTACGGAAAGAGCAACGAAATCGAAACGATATACCAAGAGGGAAATAGTAGACGCGAGATATAATGTATGTATATATTGCTCGATTCTCCGGGTCGGTGTCGTGCCGGGAACCACTCCGCGAATAAGACAATTTCCTAAAAAAAAGAAAAGACAAAAATTACGCTACACGCAACGATTGCCTTAGGTCTATCGCCGTAAACCGCTTCTGCGCGAATCGTACCTGCCTACCCCGAAATGAACCGACGCCACGGATGAACCGAACGGGCCCTTACGACAAGTGTTGGCCAAGCGAACGGAGAACGCGTTTAATATCGAAATCATAGCCGCTTCGTCCAAAATAAAAGAGAAAAAAAAAAAAAAAAAAAAAATATAAGAAGAACGGTGAACACCCGTTTTATACCTATCGGGCTTTATACAAATCATGTGTATATCCATTCTGCGAAAGGCATTTCCGAGCGTTTTTCCCCTTCTTTTCTCTCCTTCTTTTTTTTCTTACGTTTTAGGATGCGATAATTAACGCGCGTGATAGCACGATTCGTACAATGATGCGATTAATCTATTAACTATTCTTAAATGTTAATCTCTGTTTTCGCTTTACTTGAAGGTTCTGTATCGTCGCTACTAATTGCAGTGGAAAAGAAAAATATACGCAAACGCACACGTATTTGACACCAAAAAAAAAAAAAAAAAAAAAAAAAAGTTGAAAAATTGAAAAAATTATCACGAAAAAACTTCCATTACACCCTTCCACCGGAGAATCGGATTTTCGGAAACAAAGGAGAACGAAGATTCATGTAAAAAGTTATATGTTTATTAGAATTACTCGAATTCTTCATTCGCGGAACAATCGTATTTACAAATTAGACGCAAACTTAACGAGAAGCCTACGTACAGTTTTATAACAAATTCATATCGACGAATATATCTATGCGACAGCAATCGTTATTTCGTTTAGTTTAACGAAATTAGTGCCGTAAAGAGTTAGGACGGACCGAACGGAACGAACGATCGATCCGATAAACTATTTTTTATTTGTGACAACCAGACTATCCTCGCTCGAATACTTGTTGTTCTCGTTCGATTAATGCACATTCGTTGACGTGTGTACGTATCGATATGTCCACGGTATCGACTTTTAAATCTACTTTCGTGAGAGCTTCTGAAGGCGTGCTTTCAATCCTGTGGCGCTTATTTTCCGTTTTTCCACTTTCGTTTTACTTTCGTATTTCTTTCTCATTTCTTCGATTCGTTCCTTTCGCATTCGTTGTTGCTCCTTTTTCCAGATATCCTACGAAATCCGTTATATAAGTATGAGGAAATTCGAGAGGATAAAGTATGATGGATGATGTACTTTGAAGTCCTGACAGAAACCAAGCCAAAAAATGAAGAACGAGTTCGGATCGACTGCGTCTAGGTTCTTCGAGCCTTTGGGCGTGTATTGATAAAATTGCATCACAGCCTTGAATTTGTTCTTCGCATCCAATAAAGCCTCTTGCTCGTTTGCCAATTCTGCAGCCGCCTCGCGGAAAACCGAATCCATCTTTTCTTTGAACAGTCCTGACTGTTTGGAATCCGTATTGGCGATGATTTCACACTTGTCGATACAAACTGCAATATAAATAGAATACCAAAGGTAGAGAAAACAACAACTTCCATATAGAATTTCGAAAGAAAGGAGAGATGAACATTTATTAAAATTCTTACCACGAAGTTTCGTTTTTAATCTTTCTAACTCGGCCGAAATATTCTCGAAATTAATCGTGGATGCCGCTTCTATGTCTGCTGGTTCCGGAATCGGCAACGGCAGTGGTTCCTCAAAGTTGTGATCCTTCTCTTGTGCTAATCTTGCTCTGACAACGTAATGCAGCAAGGTGACACCAGGTACATTCGACTTTACGTCCTTCAATTTCTCTAGAATCTCAAGGCCAAACCCGTCAGCTTGGCCTCGCGTCCTGTTTCCACCGTTCATGTAGTTGCCGAGCGTGAGAATTAACGCCATCACTTTCTTCAGAGATCTGGAGTTCCGGAGGAAATCGCAGGTGCTTCGTAAGTTCGTCAACTTCGATGAAACGGACGAGATCGTATCTTGAAATTCGGTTTGAAACATCAGACACGCTATCCTCTCGGAAAAATGATCTATACCGGCAAGTTTCTTCACGAAGATCTCTGGTCGATCCAGAGGAACGTCCGGATTGCTCTCCTCGAAAGCCTTTATCTCCTCCAGTTCTTTCTGCGTCGGCAACTGCAACAAAATTAAGTCGAAGAACGTTCACTTTGTTGTATGAAATCTAAAATTTTTTAACGACCCGCTTTCGTCATTTTCAAGAATGCTTACTATGTTATAAATCTGCTGTAACGCCTCCAGGCTAACAACACTGGTGTCCAAATTGTAAACCGCGTTCTCAACCTCGCTAAAGTCCACGTGCAAGCTTTTCTCCAGAATACCAACGGACTTGGATCGTTTCGAGTCGAGGATCTTTGCTGGCTGTATCTTAGACGGTTTCGAAGCCTCGTCCGCTTTTTTGACCGGCTTTCTGGCGGTCACCTGACGAGAAAACAGGTCTGCGAACTCTTTCATGTCCAGATTTTTCTCTTCCTCTAACTCCGCCCATAGTGGAATCTGTTAAGATCACACGATTAATAATCATCCTTAACGATCTTTTTTTTTTTTTTTTTTTTTTTTCACATTAAATCAACCTGCGCGGCCGAATCTGAAGCGTCGACGGAACCATGCTCTGTTGGTATTGCAGGCATCAAAATCCTGGTCCAGTAGAGTGGTTTCATAGGAACCTCGGGACAGAGCGGCTCTTTCCTCATGCCTAGAGTAAGAACATCGTTCCGATCACCGCAAAATCGACACCGTGTTTAATAAACAAGTCCTGCTGTTCTGTTACTCACACGCTCTGCTGGCTGGATTCCAACCTCCAACCGGAGGTGTGGGTAACGGAGTAGGTTGTTGCAGCGTTCCTTGAGCTCCTGGCGGAGGCGGAGGAGGAATCGCCATAGATGGTGGTGGCGGTGGTGGAAGCGGTGGTCCACCGGGAATATCTCCCATTCCAGCTGGTGGCGGAGGCGGAGGTGGCGGTACGCCTATCATAGGTGTCGGAGGTGGTGGAGGAGGTGGCGGCGGCGCTCCTCCGGACACTGAACCGATCGAGGACGTTGAAGCAGGAGGGGGCGGCGGAGGTGGAGGAGGAGGAGGAGGAGGAATCGGAGGACCTGCGTGTAGTCCAGTGATGGAGGATGCCGAGGATAGAGATGAAGGTGGAAATGGAGGTGGAGGAGGCGGTGGCGGTATTAAATTGAAGAGGGCTGTTTGCGTCGGCGGCGGAGGGGGAGGGGGTGGAGGAGGCGGAGGCGGAGGCGCAGGTGGTGCAGAACTTGTTTGCCTTCCGATTGAGGGTGCAGGGGACGGAGGTGGCGGAGGTGGCGGAGGAGCGGGTGGTGCTACGTGCATCTCATCTGTCGCTGATTGTAAGATCGGCGGAGGTAAGGGCGGAGGTGGCGGGGGCGGTGGGATTGTCGGTAACGAAGTTATACTGCGTTGAGACGAGAACGATTGTGTTGGAGTGCTGCAGGCGGGTAATGGAGGTGGGGGTGGAATGGAGTAAGATGGTTGAGAGATAGAGGCTACATTGCTTTGAGAACGATGATTTAAGAAAGGCGAGTGTGGCGGCGGAGGTGGAGGTGGTGGTGGAGGTGATGCACTCGTATATGCAGGAGTGGAAGAAACTTGCTGTAGCGGTGGTGAAACAGGCGTAGTTAGAGTCGATGGTAATCGAGTAACTCCTGCCGCGTTTTCGGCAGCTTTCGTGTCCTTCGAAACACTTGTGTCCGATGTCGAAGTGCTACTCGAAGATTGCTCTTGAGAGTTCGTTGAATCTCGAACGATAGCCCTCTCCGAAGGCGAACCGAATGTTTCGGAAGATTTAACTTTCGACAAATCCTCGGAACATGTTTCTGGGAGAGCCGTCGTGGGAGATGTCTGCGTGGATTTACCTTGAGTAGGTTTATCCGCATTTTTGGCAAGTTCGCGAAGTCGTTCGAGTTCCCGTCTCAGTGTTTCCTTTTCCGAATCTCGTTGGTCTCTCGAAGAAACTTCTTCTTCGACTGGACTAACCGATATCGATGGCGTGTCTCTGCATTGAGATTGATCTTCCTGAAACAAAAGAGCCCATTCGTTTATTTCAGCTTTAAATGCTCGATCTTTGATACCCAGTAGAACGAACAGACGTCTTACTGTAAGCTCCTTGTTCTGCGTGACACTGTCAAGCGTAATCGATCCAATAATACCATCTGATACGAGTCTGGAATATATTCTAGCCACAAATTGTTCAACTTCGGCTTCCGTCAATATCGATTTCAACTGTTCTGGCAGAGCTGAGGTTAACGTACCAATGATTCTTCGTTCTAAAAGATCAAAACACTCTTAAGTATTTTCCTGCTCCTTCCTATTAGACGTTCACGGTCTCTTTCATGCAATCTCACCCGATCATTCGTTTCAAAATCAAGCAAAACTCGAAGAAACGAGACAATCATCGAACCTGTGCAATTCTCACTGATCGAGCGCGACTTTATGATAACTTCGTTTTTGGCTTCGATGCCGTTCCGGCCTTCGTCCGGCATTGGCGGCTGCTCTTATTTGCACGTGACTTTGGAGTTTTCCGATCGCAAGATCACGACATAACAAACGGATTTCCGCGACAACTCAACGACGAAATTCGTATTCGTCGTCGTCGTCGTCTACGCTCGTAATTTGGTAAACGTCGCACGATAAGTAAACTCTGACTGTCTTGTTAACCTTTGACAGCTTCGAGATAACTGCCAATCGTATAGTCAAACAGTTCGTTTTTAACTAAAACATGGTTCATTCCATGGTCAAAACGATCTTGAAGTTCCCAATTATTCAAAAGAAACACCACCTTGATAGTTCGACCAACCAACGCCATGTTGAATAGGTCGCTATGAATTTTTTACGACGTCTTGACGAATTTCACTCGCAAAATGAGAACGTAATCATCGCTCGCCGTTGAAATCCGGCCCCACCGCGAAACACGAGCGCGACACATGGCGAAATTACGCCTCTCCGATAAATTTTATCTCGCTTCTTATCGAAGCGGAACACCTATTACTACTATTCTTAGTTCTGTCTCGTTATTGGCGCTTCGCGAGTGTCTCGGCAAACAAGCTTTACGATTGCCTTCGTTTCCTGGTTGGGAAACTAAACAGGAGAGCATTTTAAAGTACTTACGCGATATTATTTTTACAAACGACTCAATTACCGTTATGTAATTAATATGATACTTTGTTATTCGCAGCAAGCTTGTATAAAGGAACATCTACTAGACATGTGTCGAAGTGAATATTTTTTAATCATTGGACCGCGCAGTTTGAAACATCTTGTACCTTGGTTTCTTTAATTTTCATATCGAGGTCACGTTCGAGGAAAGATACGGAGCACGCTCACCTAAAAGCGGGGACATGGGAGATGGTTGGACCTCGTGATTCCTCGAGATGAACGCCGATGGCGCCGGGGCTGTTTCCTCTTTCGTGGCATTCGTTGCACTGATCAATTCATCAGGATCAGTAAACACGCTATCGCTCGACGATTTCTGACTAGGCGGCATCGAAATCTCAGCCACGACTGTGCACTTGTTGGCCAACAACCACGAATCCGTGACCAGAAGCGTAGGTTCTTGTTTTTGTATTTGATTCGTTGCCGGTATCAATAACGTTCCCGATGATTCTTCCTTCACCTTTGTTCCCTTCGACTCGGTCAGTTCTATCGATTTTCGAGATCCATCTTCCTTTTCTTTCTCGTGTTTTTCCTGATTGCGTGACTTCTTCTCCGATGACTCTGATACAATTGGCCCGATCTATTTGATAGAAATATATAATACGAATTTTTTCCAACAGACACATTTTTTACTTTAGAATCATACGTCTTTTTGTAAAAAATCGATTGAAACTCCAAGCCATTTAAATATTAAGGTTAGGAGAATATTTATCGATAGCATGATTGAAATATTATCAGTAATCGGGTAACTAAAGAATTAATTTCAAGTCCCAAACCAATTGATCTTGTCTGTTTATATTCTTCGTTTTATCGGCAGGATATTTGCAAAGTGACATATAGCATGTTATTGAAGTGTGTGAATCATCGTGGCTAGTATTCTAGTCAGTTTCAATTGTCAAAAACATAGCAACGTTACCAATATACGTCTTTCAACCGATTTCACGCGTCATCCGATAGATTACCATTAAACTTTCAATCGATCGATCGACCCAGAGAAATTTTAGTTACTCCAAACTCTAAGAATCAATTATTCAACGCCTTATCCTGTAAGGGTGGAGTCATTGGGAACAAAAATTGACGTACCATCCCGAAGCAACAAAACATGATAGAATCTCTGTTCTCCGTTCAAAGTTTCCTCTAAAACTGACCTTTCTCTCGGTAGAACCAGGTGGTTTCGGTGCTTGCCTCTTGTGAGGCAATCGCTTTTCCGGTCCAGCTTTCTGACACTCTTCCACATTCTTAGCAGGTGTTTCTCCTGTTTCGGCCGTTTCTTCGTCATCGCCAGTGTCGGTCGCGTCGTCGAGACCATCCCCTATGGATCCTGGCGTGCTCGCAGTCCCATCTACAGTTCCTTTGCTCTTCTTTCCCTTCTTCTTGGCTTCGCTTTGCAGATTACCCATGACAGGGTCGCGCGGCGACGCTTCCTGTGCCGCGAGACCGTCAGGGCAGACGGAGGCGGTGGCTGGCCCGGCGGCTGGTGCAGCGGCTGCGGCTGCAACGTTGGTGAATGCAGCCCCGACGTTCCCGGCATAAAACGCTCTGAATGTGTTAACACAGAAGCGGGCGATGTCGCGCAGCTTTGGCCTGATTTGCCGTGGCGAGGCCGCGGCTGCGCCCTCATACGCCCCTGTCTCCATTCCGACCTCGGTCGATACCAACAGCGATCTGCCTCCTCCGCAACAGTCACCGGTGTCCTCGAGCGCGAACACGCGTGTTTGTGTACGCTGTTACTCGCGTTAGTCGCGAGTTGGTTGTAACTGCCAGAGAGATCCTCTCGATCAGTGTTTCTTGGGGATGTCGAGATGTGTTCCTGTTCCACGGAAAATATTGTCGTCGTTTTTTTTTATAGTGATTGACAACAAATCCGGAAGAGAGGTAAGAGATTCGCGGTTTTCCCTTCGAGAGAGATTCAATTATTCGATTCGTAATTTCATGCGTGTGATCAATGATATTTCCGGCTTGAGAAGTCAACGTTCTAACTTTGCAAGTAACCATCGACTGTTCTCTCTTATTGTTGTTGCTGTCACTGTGCTACACCGCTGACACGGATAGATAAGCCGCTTCGGAGAAATATCAGAGTCATGAATATCGAAGAGTGTTCAAACAACCGACGATATGTCAACTTTCTTGAACGAAACACTCGCACCGACTCGACCATGAACATTCAATACAGTATTCTGGACTGATCGAACAGGTAAGAAGAAATTTAAACGTCCCACATGACACGTTAACTCTCTTCGTCGAAACACTCGCACCAGCTCGACCTTGAACATTCAATACAGTACGGTATTCTGGACCGATCGAACAATTCTTGTCGCCAGGTAACAAGAAACTTAATATAGATTTTCAAATTCAAAACTTGCTCGTGTCATTTTTTTTTCTTTTCTATATTTTTTCTATAATTTGTATTAGCTTTAATCTCAAGATAGATTTATAATTCCATCTTATTTTTATTGGAATCCTTCGGACCCAATGTTTGATCATACTCGCACCGGTTCGATTCTAAACATTACAAAAACAATAAAGTATTTTGGATTGATCGAGCAGTTCTTCTCGCCAGGTAAGAAGAAACAGGTAAAAAAAATCTGACATGTTTTAACAACTTTGTCGAGTAATTTTTGACTAGTTTTTTTTTTTAACTAATTTTCAATAATTGCGATGCACTTCTGATCGAGAGCTTTTTCTCGTGCATCACTTGGACATAAAAGTTAGATTCAGAAAGAACAAACACACGTTCAATGGAAATACAGAAAGATATGGAGCAATCAGTTGTTTTTGAACTTACTGTCTTTGTACTTGGAGATCACGTAACAACAGACTAAGGGCCATCACTCACTTGAATACTACCGCACTTTAATGATACTGCACCACTATATCAACGTGTTTTATATGTATTTCAAATGTAGATGTATCCACCTGGCCGCAACAGCGCAGCATCCAGCATCTGTATCCCCTCGGCAGCAGCGATATTCTCAGTAAAAATGTTTTCTTGATTAGATGATGGTCGCATGCTAATTGCGTGTTGCTAATAGCGAAGCAATTAGTTTCACAGATGAGGTCAGTTGTTTGTAACATTTGTAACGTTTGTAACGCGAAAAATTAATAGAATTATTATATATTATATACATTATACAGTGTTATTATAATTATTTTATTTAATCTACAATCTATGTTTTCACCGGTATGCTATTATGTATTTTTGTAGACTTCTCAAGATATACGTATGTATTTCATTTCTTTCTCTGTATGATACGGCATTTGCTCGTCAGAATTTAAATAAATAAAAAATAAATAAATAATTATTTCTATATATTATATATTGTTATTATAATTAGCAGATATAAAAATATAGTAATATTTGAATAAATGAATAAAGTTAAAACTAAAATATTGAGATCAATTATATATATATTTAATGTTATATTATGTTATATATGATTGATCTTGTTTTTTAGTCTAGTTTATTTATGTTTATTCATGTATTATTACATTTTTATTACTTTATTGTACTTGTATTCGAATGCAATTATAAAACAATCTATGTGCAGGCTGGTCACTGCATGCATATTTTCATCTTTGTCAAGTAGCAATACTATTAGAATCAATTCTCCAGATACTTTGACATTTTATATTGATATTCTTTACTTTATGTATATATATATATACCACAAATAAGGTACTTTTTCGTAAGATATTCTTAAGTTAAACAGATAAAGTCAATAATTAGATAAATAGAACATTAAATAAAGGATTTCGTGTCTGAGAGTCCGAAATATCGACTAGGAAAACATTTATTGGATTTTTAACACACATTATGCTCTAATAACGGTGAGTTGGAAAACCCCAAGTAAAATAACACAAAAACAAACTGAAATGAATTCTGTTACAGTGTTGTCAATTGCAAATAAGAAACTAATATCTGAAACTGTTCCATTTTATATTATGTATGTGTCAGAAAAAAATTCGTGTTTTACAAATTCATCGATAGGTATTTTCACGTATATTTATTATAATTTTAAATTTTAAATTCTACGAAGATATTAATACACATTTTAAATATATAATTATTTATACTTCATTATTTTTAAAAGTAATTCTTGACAAACTAAATTTTCAATTACTTTCTAAAATTGTTTTGGACTATGATTCCGAATCAATGGCTCTCAATCGAGTTGAAATTTAAAGGATGTGAGAAGACTCTAAAAACAAAATATTAGCTTTGAAAATTCATCTGCCTGGGAAATAAATCCTTCAATTTTATAAAACCTACTACATGTAAGGTAAGGACAAGTAAATAGCAGCGTCTAGAATTTAGACTAAACAAACCGTATATAACTCAATAAGAATGTAATACATTCATATATATAAATATGTATCGGTTTGGTTCGGCAAAAATACAAGTCTCCAACCGGGAACATTACCATGTTGTCCTTATCTAATTTTTATTTTTCCATTTTTGTTGTTTTTTTATACGCTAGATATTGTAAAATTATTTTTCGAACCTTCTTAATCTCCAAAGATTTTATTTATTTATTTGAAGTCTGTTCACATTCTTAGTGCTTTTAAATAATGATCTTTAAACATCTTGACCATTTGGAACAATATTCTTATTTTGTACGGAGATTCAATTGGAAAGTAATTTCGAAAGGCCCTAGTAATGGATCGACATGAAGGGTTACCAGAGGAGCAACAAGAAACTCAAATGTAAAATTTTAGCTTCGCCTAGTTTTCAAGTTATATAATAGAAAATTTTCGCTAAAATACATTGAATTTTACGTATACAACGATAAAAATTCGAGAAATTCATTGTCTAACCCTTATATACAAAGTTCAAAATGGCGACAAAAATCGTACAGCAATTTTAAGATGTCATTGAAAAAAGAAAAAATTTGAATTTTCAAGACCATGGTGGATCCAGTCATGAATAAAATTCTCAATGTTTTAAAGGCGTTTGAATTTTTATAATTTTTAAAAGTGCCTTTAATTAAAAACATTTTTATTTTCTTACCTGTTATACAATGTAAAAATATCTTTAAAAGAACGATTTCAGAGAAGTAAGTAAAGTAAAAGTTTTATATAATACTTCAAATAAGGTCAAATAAATTATTACGATTTTTTTACGAAGTTATAGTAGTTTAAAGTATTGACAATTCTGTATCAGTGTGTGTTCTGTTATGCATTAACATTGAGCATGTTAAAACAAATTTAAAAAGTTTGAAAAATCAAATATTAAATTTATAAAAAACTAATATCTTCATTAACGATGCAAAGCTGATTCAGTGAAAACGATTTGTATTTGCTAGAACACTGATAGTAACACAATCATAAAGTTTGTTTTAGAAAGCCTAAATTCCAAAATTTTGTGTTCTACGTGCAACTATTCAATAAAATATTATTTATGTTAAAATTCCAATTTTGTTCCTTATTGTATGATAAAACTTATATTTTTTCTAATTATTCTTTATTATTTATTATTTTAAATAAATTTGTTCAAATTACCCAAGTGCGAGTATTCGATACTTTGGTAATGGAATCGGATCGGATCGAATAATCCTAATTGAATTCGAACGAATGCCCGAGATAATAAACAATTGTGCAATCTGCCTATTTCTTTAGTTTAATCATTTCATCGTCTTATCTTGACGGACAGAACAGTGACAAAAATGTGGCAATTATGTCAAACTTTTAGGATTATTATGATTTCGTCAGGAAATCCTAAACTTATATTCCTTTAATTTTGTTTTTATTTTGTTCGCGATAACGAAGACAATCGGAAAAAAGCAAGCGGATAAAAATGGGAATGAATAATATATTTTGGATTCGCATAAAATTTCAGTAAAGTATGCCAAAATATATTATTAAATCTTGATAAAATTATTCATAACTTTATACATATTTTATATTAACTCTCGCTTAACTGTAATAGATATCCCTATTGTTTTAACATGAAATTTAATCATTTTAATAATCGTTTCGTTCCGAAAAAAAGTTTCCTTAGATTAAATGATCAAATCAAAATGGTTATTGAAATGATTAAACTTTAATTTTTGTGCTCCATGGATTATAAATTCCATGAGTCAAAAATATAAGTTTCATTTGAAAAATCTTGAAATGTTACAAAAATAATATTTTCTTCATTAAAAAAAAATATAGCAGATATTTTTACGTTTCATTTAAATGTCGTATACTCTATAAAATTTAAAAGATCTCGAGAAATTCAGTATTATGCGAAAAGTTTTCTATTCAAAGTAGCACGAGAAATCGTAAAGAAAAGATAGTAAAAATCCATTAGAAAATGATATACACATATCTATGAAAGATCACACACTATTACCAAATTCAGATTCATTTACTATATATATATACATATATATGTATGTCTGCAATAAAGTGTCACCGCATTCAATTGAAAAAAATAAATAATTTTCAATGCGCAAATGATACAATACTGTCTATATTTTTTTATTTTAATTTTTATCGTCGATAACACTAGTGTAATAATACTTACCTAAGTCGATACAGAAAGATGTGATGCGAAAATAATAAGAGACTCAGGTGATTTCCAAAGTGTGAGGCATGAAAAAGCATTGGATGTCCGGTTTATCCTAGTCAATGATCCTTGTCCTTAGTCCACATACCAGTGATATATGGCAAACAGCATCAACGCGGAGACAACGTTGGTCTGGTGCAGTGTTGTTAAGGCGACAGCCTTAATCCGGCATAAACAGCGATACTGTTTTGCATACCGGTGCAAAACGCGCAAGCTCGTGCAGTCAGGATGAGAGACGTGAGACGTGACGTGTTCTCGAAGGATTATCGATATGTTCGTGCATGTATTCGATGGCAATTGGGATGACTCTATACACTATGCAAGCCTTTAGATCACTTATTCGCCTTGAGGTAATAATTTGATTAAAGCTGATGGACATTTAATAAACGTTAAGTTTGTCGTTTTATTGTTTATTTTATATCGCAACATAAAATTTGTACAAATAATAATTCGTAATAATATCGTAACTATAATGGACGATAATTGATATATATGTATATGTGTCGATCGATATATATCAATTTCAAATTTGCACACGGCAGTGTATCTGTGGTGTGCACGCAACCACGCGTAACAATCACTTCAACCGACATTCGGTACGGCAGTGTATCTGTGGTGTGCACGCAACCACGCGTAACAATCACTTCAACCGACATTCGGTACGGCAGAGACCTGTTTCACAACACGAAAATTTTCATGTCGAGCGCGTGTCTTATTGCGATGTGCTTCCATTTTCGGAAGCAATAAAATATTTGGTCGGTCGGTTGATCGGTGTGTCATGAAGAGGAAGAACGGTGACTTTCCATCGCTTCCGGAGACGATGTAGTGGTCCAAGTTTCGAGGAACGGTCGAGATTTCACTACGAGATATTTTTTGTTTGTTCGCAAATTGTCGCGACATGTATCCAAGATATACGATTTAGAAAATGAAATGTCACCGTATATGGAATATCCGATTAAAATGTGAGAAAAAGTCGTATTAATAACAAATAAAGGAAACATCGTCCCGTGGTCGATAAAAAAGGTCGCCCGTTCTCCCAAACGATAAGAAAGAAATCATCTTCGTATCTCGGCGAAGAAATGAGATCACAATTCGAAAGGAACGAACGCGTATAATCCAGCTGGTCCTTTTTCTTTCCTCTCTATTTTCCACCCTTTCTCTATTTCTCTATATCTCTGCAGTCTCCCTAATAGCGCGCGTATATTTGACACGAGTACGAGAACACGAATTGAAACGATTTTTCAGCGAACGTAGGCGGTGTTCGCAAGAGCGGTAGAAAAATAACAACTTCAACGAAGGTCGCTACGTATGTGAGATTTCTAAACGCGCCGCGTTAATACTAGGAAACTAAAGGGACGCACGACAGATGCGCGAGCCAAGTAATATTCTTTCAACGTTAAAAGCGTAGCTGCTATCGTTAGTTCGGGTTGAAACCGCGTTACACCATCTGCGGTGTTCTAACGCAAGACACGAGAACGTATAACCGGGCATCCGAGCATGTTCCACTTTCTCTTCGATTAATCGTCTTTCTCCCCCTCGTTTTCATTCGTAGAGAATACACGAAACGAAAGGGGAACGAGGCTCTCGGAATTCTTTGAAATCTCTCGGGGCCCTGTGCTACCACCACCGTGTCTCACCTCGTTAAGTACTGAGATACGTTTATCGTTATTTACAACAGACGAGCGCTCGAGTTTCAGCCAGGCGCGTGCGTTTTTCTCTTCATCGACCAAAACGCGATCAATTCTCGATTTTGAAAACGCGCGCGTATCGCCAACGAGTCGCTTCGAATGTTAGACATATTGCTTAAGTTATTAAGCGCGTTACGGCGCAGTCGAGTTGTTACAGTAGGTACATTTACAGAAAAACATCATCCCCGATCGCGGGAACCGCGGGGATCGTCACATGTATTGACGGCATCGTCCACGATATAAAAGTACAAAATGCGTAAACGCGTCGGAACTCGAACGTGTTGACATTTTCCATTAACCCTTTGCGCTTTCGTTGCACTAACTCGCAATACTAGCAATTCGAATTGTCAACTGTGCTGATATAAATATTGTACGCTCTGATTACATAATATTATTTGAAGATAACATGTATATATTTTCACAATGTATCAAACATTGATGATTTTGACGATATTGTCAAATATAAATGTATACATAAATATATTTAAGAAAGGTGAAATCCAATGATTCTTGACCATGATAAACAAACGATCCTGAATTTGATCTAGCAAATTCCGTCTATAATTATCGAGTTGTTGCAAAGAAATGTGAAAATAGTTTCCGAGAGTGCAAAGGGTTAAAAACCGCGAGATACGTTCGGGCCTCGACGTTCCACGTTCTTATACGAGCTTTTTTTCTTTACTGTTGCTTCTCGAAAAGGTTTATGGCCTCTTATGGCATCGCGTCAGCCTTTATGCGAGACTCTTCTCTCTCTCTCTCTCTCTCTCTCTCTCTCTCTCTCTCTCTCTCTCTCTCTCTCTCTCTCTCTCTCTCTCTCTCTCTCTCTAATCACTCATTCTCTCTCTCTCTTTCTCTCTCTCTCTCAAAACTCAATCATCTGTCTTCGTCGCGGCTTGTACTTACATACTACTTAAATATAATACACATCGAACGATACATCGGTCGGCGAAAAACAAATTTTCATTTGCCTCCGTTTAAACGATCAGCTGCCCTCTTCAAATTTCACAATTGTTCCGACAAAATGATCACTCGTAACGTTTGGATCCCATCGTTGTCCACGAATTCGTCGGCTTTCTGCGAGGATTCCCCGTCTATTAGCGGGTTCCTTGATGGCCCGTGCTCGCAGCCTTCCGCTTCCGCTCTTATCTCTTCCGGCGCTCGGTTATTGCACTCCTCGGCGTTTTCTTGTTTCCCGTTCGTGTCTGCTTTTCCCATCGCGGACACCGCGACCGTAGTCGTCGACGTTGTCACGGTAGTCGTGGTGACCCTAGTCGTTGGGAGACTCGACGTTCCCTCGAAACCCGAAAACGCTGTCACCGCCCGAACAGTGAAGGGAAAATTGCAACAGGTCTCCGAGTATCTGTCGGGACTCTCGGCCGTGGCAGTGCCGTGATCGCGATCGTTTCTAGCCAGGGCGAGCTTCGACAAACGTCCTAAAGTACGTGCTCTAGCTTCGCAGTTTTCTTGTAATTGAAACGACGAGACGTACCTCGAGACGTGCGAATTCGACGATTCGATTCCCTCGAGATCGCGATTGAAAGCTTTCAACGTGGCTCTCGCGTCCGAACGGTCGACTTTGTGGCGGGATTCAAGCGAATCGAAGGAAGTTGACTTCATTGGCTTTGTCAGATTAACGACGGACAGCGTTTCGCAGGAATCGGGTCGTGATGCTGCGTCTCTCCTTTCTTGTCCAATCATCGGCGACGTTATACTGATCAGAGGCAGGTTGGCAGTGGACGTGACGGGGAACGTATTCGCGGCACCCGGTGTTACGTTCGCCCGGCTGGTTTGTCCTGGAATCTCTGGTACCGGATCCAGTTGTCCGACACACTCGAATCTTCGAGGCGACAGCATCCCGGAAGCGACGGTGTTCATTCCAGACAGAAATCTTGGTGACCTCATGCCAGCCCTTAAGGAAGATGAGTCCGATTCGGTGATACCTAACAGTCCAGACTTGTCGATACGTCGAATCGTCGGTGATGCTCCGTCTGAATCATCGTACGATCTTCCGCGTGGATGCTGACTGCGTCGCATGCCGGAGTACGGATCGCCGGCGTATGGTAGCGAATTGGCCGCGGTGTACGATTCTCGATAAGAAAATCGTACAGGGGGTACGGGATAGCTGGGAGTTGCGGTGGGATTTTCGGCGATGGTTATCGTCATCACGGTTGTAGTAACTGGCATTGAGGTGCATGCCACAACGTTGGACGAGGAGAAGGTGGTCGGTGAAGCCGTGACGATGGCGTTCCACGGTGATATCGTCAGCGGCTGTAATGGGGGTGGTGGCGGAGGAGGCGGCGGTGGTGGTGATTCCACGGGGTTTTCGATCACTATCTCCATCCTATGGTGGAGAGGATCGCGCGAATGGTCCACCGGATGATACGTGGCACCACCGGTGGGAACTGCCTCCTGCTATAGCCACGTGGTGCGAGTGGTGCTTCCGGCTCGCGAGCCGGTAGGCAGATCTCAAACAATTATCTCGCGAATGATACGCCGTCCTCGGCTGTTCGGGGTTGAGTAACCCGACTCGAGGCTCTCGTCGTACGACAGGCTGACCTGCTGAGGTGGCTTCGCATCCTCGTCGTAGTTCTCCTGATATGGTAGACCGGACACGTCGTACGGTGAATCTGTCGGACAAACAATCGACAAGTTGGGTCGTTCAGAATGTGAAAACAAAAGAACGTGGCCGTGGCGGCGATGTACGTGCCCGGAGAACGAGAGAGGGATGTGAAAAGAGAGAGGATGCTGCGGTGGATAGCGAAAGCCTCGAGCATCGTCCCGAAAACTTTGTACGGCGATAAAAGAAGCTCCAGGGAATTGCAAACGTGTTGAATTCTAGTTATGGCCGAGGTGAAATCGTTCCGATGTTTAAAGGTAATTCGAGAACGTCTTCATTGAAATAATTGTGATCGTTCCGTCCGTGTTAGAATTCGCGGCACGTGTCTTAGAAACTCTGGACCATCCCTACTGTTTCGAAGGCAGTTTAAAACTGTCCCTTTATGTTCGATACGTGGCCGCATAGGCACGTCAACACGTAAAATAATTCCTTAACGAGAAAGAGAAATAAAATCGGCGATCAACAACGGGTCGGAATTCTAATATCCGGAAACTCGCGAGACTGGCGTACCGCTTCGGCAATTCCGCCAAGTTCGTACGATCGGCTATTAAGCCTGTCACGACTGTCGAAAACACCTTGAAACATTTTTCGATTCGAATAACGTTCGGAGGGCGATTCCAACTTTCCGTATAACTAAATTGCTCGAGAACTTGCGACAGATAGAATTGAATGCTCATCGCTGGATGGGTGGTGGGTCGATCGTGGAACGTCGGCTAAGGGTGGATGAAACGGGGATGAAACGAAGCGAGAGGAGGAGAAAAGGGTCGAGGAAGCGGTGATGGGGGAGGAGGTGAAACGGGGTGGAAGGATAGGGCAGCGGAAACGGGAGAGTTCGACTAAACTAAAGAATAGTACTCACCGACGTGTTTTTGAGACTTTACGACGGTGGCGAATGGTTCCGAGCAAAACTGCTGTCGACTTAGATTATGGCTCTCCCGGTAATCCTCCCTCTGTGGAAGGTAATGAGGGTGGGTTGGGTAATCCGACTCGGTGGTTGCGTAGCCGGCCAGATCGTAAGGCTGGCCAACACCGTTCGCGGCCGCTGATTTCATCTGCCAGATGGAGTCTTGCGAGTTTACCGAGCCACCGTTATTTGAGTTCGAGTAACTGTTGTCCATGTAGCCCATGTTGACGCCTGTCGTCAACAAAAGTGCATCGATTAACATTTATTAGCGAAATCCAGAATAAAAATTCGTCCTGTTTACGACGACTCGGGAAGAGATAATTGTTGACTGACAATAACGTTTTCGAGTTTAGAAGAGACGGCGCGTTTTGGTATTCCAAATACAAAGTTAAGAAAAGAAAAAGCACAAGATACAAAAGTAAGAAACGAGCGTTGTTATTTTTACACTATGATAATTGTTTGCCGCGTGAGTTATCTTTGCTCCTTATATGAAAAAGTAAGTAACGTGCAAGAAAATTGCAATTCGCAACATCGCAACGGGAATAATCGTTATAGTTGTAGAAAAAGTACGGCCATAGGAAGCTAGAGCTCGTTAAACCGCTCTACTTTATACCGTATTTTTTTCCACCTGCGAGATACGACTTGTACACCCCGACAAACTTTCTCCAGAATTATTGCCAACGACATTGTGAACGTCTTCGGAAGAAACAAGTCCTTACCATTGATGTTGTGGTTTGGTTGATGGTATCCGTAGCCAGGTTGCGAGTACGCCGGGGTCTTGGAATCCTCCATAGCTAGCGCGTGATCCAAACTGTGTTCGAGGGCTTTGTTCTCCGCGTAGTAAGGTGGTGGTGCCTGGCTCTGTTGTCCGTTTCCGGCGACCAGGCTCGGTCGAACCCTATACAAGTAAACAACATCGAAATCTCATTCGAGGACCGTGTATAGATAGAACTCTCCTCGAACCGTTTGAACTTACGCGTTCGAATCCATTTCGTAGTCCTTGGCCTTGGTAACGTGCTTTCGTCGACACCGACAAAAGAGCAATAACAGCGCGGCGAACAGCAAGAACACGGCGCCGCTGACCACCAGGGCAATCAAGGTTGGCGTTGCAAGCGCCCCAGCTTGAGCGATGTACGAAGGACCGACTGTAACAAACGAAATATCGTTCGAAGTGGCGTTCGATTACGATAAGAAATTTTCAATCGGTAGAAAGAGATATGCTAAGATAATTACTTTCAGCCTCCGCGTATTCGCCACATTTTTGTCGATCCGCCTTCAAGCAAAGTCTAACCCTGAGCCTGGGTTCGGTGGTATCGAGAGCGTCCAGGTCATCCAAAACGCCTTCCCTCTGAGTCGAGGCGCTTCCGAGTACCTCGAGAGGCCACTCGTCTAAAATCCTCCACTGCGACTCATCCGTGGAAGAAGACGGCCCGTCATTCTTCTCGATCGACGCGACCAACGAGAGGCAAGTGGCACCTACACTGATCGCAAGCATTCCACTCTCTGGATCGTAGCTAATCCTCAACGGCGACGGGATTTTTGCGACAGCGGTCGTCGCAGTTACCTCGTCCGAATAGTCCGAGTGATTTTTCGTGTTATACACTTTGACCTTGAACGTGTACGTCTGATGTTGTTCCAGGTTGGTCACATTACATGGATTGGATCGACGGCAATCTGATTCGAGCCACTGACCAGCCGGTGGTCTGGGAACGGCGCAGTCTGGTGCTACAATTTCGTCACCACCTGGTACTCTACGGTAGGAGACGAAATACTTGGTGATGGGCAGTCCCCCGTCAAAACCGAGCTCCCAGAGCAAGGCTACGTGTGTCGGACCAACGTCCATCGCCGTGATGTTGACGGGCCTTTCTGGCGCGCCTTTCGGTTGCAGTCTGATGGTCGAAGTGATGCTACCTTGAGCGTTTGCCGCTCTGCAACTGTAATCCCCGTAATCCAACTCTCGAATGTTAGTTATCTTGAGTACGGACGTGTATACGTCGTAGTTGTCGCTGCTTGTGGAAATCTCGTAGTGGCCGTCACTCGAAGATCCTTGCAAACTTGCCGTATTGGTGCCGAAACTCCACTGGAACTCGGGTTTCGGCCACGCTTGCACTTTGCACGCCACCTCGGCCGTCTCTCTTAAATTATACGCGACTTTCCCGTGCTGGTGCAGGGCGATAGGCTCGTGCTCCACCTTCAACATCATCGTCGACTCGACCTTCTTGACCTCATTCACGAACACGCAGGTGTATTTGCCCCGATCGCTGGCCACGATCTCGTCTGTCTGTGGTCGAGCATGGCCCAGGAAGCTCAGCGTCGAATTCACGGTGATTACGTTCCCGTGACCCTCCGACGCTGTTGTAGTCACCTTGTAGAGTCTCTCGTCCGCGGTTAACTCTTGATCGTCCTTCAACCATCGAACACTCGGTCGAGGTTTGCCCTGCGCCACGCAAGACACTTGAAACGATGACTCGCCGACCCTGTGAACCATACATTTCCCAGTTTACATTTTTTCGTTGAAAAATTGTGGTTTTGCAAAGTAACGTTCGTCGAATGGGAGAATTTTAGAAATAGACAATCAAAACGATATGACCGGACATTCCTTTCACAACTTCTTACGTCGTTCATACGTATCTTAATCGTTATATCAGAAGTAACGTAGGCACATGTGTGCGATCGCAGTACGTTTAATTGTCCTCTCTGTCGTTAAAAATATAAGAAAATGCTGGGGAGATGGGTTGAATGATCTCGCGTGATGGCCGAGAGAAGGTAATTCCTGTGTATTTTTAGCGGCAAAGAAGGTAATTAAGTATTCTGTTTCTGGTCGACAACTCTTTATTATTCGTTATATCCCGTGTAATTGCGATCCCGTCATGAGATATACGAAGATGAATTTTTTGCCAAGGGAAAAAGGGAATGGCCGACTTCGCGCATTTCTTTCTCGCCTCCCACCTTTTTACGAAATTTTCCGCTCTGATCACGGTTAACGGTTTCTGGATTATTTGTGAATTAATATAGCCGTCAGTATTTTAAGATGTTCCCCAACTTCTTCGCGACTTTTAAACCGTAAACTCTTAATCCCAGCTTAAAGTAGACCGACCCAATTTTCAAGCCGCATATAACGTGGCGAATGGCTGGCTGATAACATCTGAACTTTTGTCCGTCTTCTTGATAGCCCCGAATACAAAACGGTCGAGGAAAAACAAAAACGTGAAAAGGATCGGGAATGAGAAGAAGAAGAAGAAGAAGAAGAAGAAGAAGAAGAAAATTCCAAGCAAAACCGAATACTCACTTCCTGGTAACGTGTGGCTGCAACTTGGTAAGTATTTTAGGCGGTTGATTCACAGTCAGATTAACGGACGCGGCCTCCCCGTTGCCGATCTCGTTGGTGGCATGGCACTTGTACGTTCCCTCGCTGCCCAAATGAACCGAGTCGATCTCATATCTCGGACCGGCGTTCTCCGAAGTTATCGATATTGTTCCAGACTCTCCCTCTTTCCACCATTTGTACCTGGGCTCTGGATAGCCAGCCGGACTGGCCATACAGGTAAGAATAACTCTCGATCCTTCGACGGCGACTGGAGAGTCCGGCGTAACTCTTGCCGGTCCCGGTTTGTGCCTGACTCGAACGGTCAACCGAGCGGTGGCAGAGTAGTTTCGCCTATCGCCGCCAGAAGGATAGATGGTGTTCACCGCGCGACAGGTATAATTTCCGGCGTGATCGGCGGTGACGCGACTCAGTCGAAGGATCGAGCCAAGTTGTCGAAAATCTGGTCGACCGTCGCGCAACCACTCGATCACCGTTGGCGGAGGATTCGCTGTCACGTTACAGTGCACGGTTACCGTGTCCTCGACCTCGGCGATTCTGAGAGAATCGCCCTCTATCGAGACGGTCGGTGGATAAAGAACGTCCAGCAGGAGGGAACTCTCGCCTCTTTTCCCCAATCCGTTGTCCGCCTGACAGGTGTATTTGCCGGCATCTTGAATGGTGACCCTTCGCATGGTATGCTGAAAGCTAGTGGCCACGAAACTTCCGTCTCGCCACCATCGTACCATCCCAACAGCTGGTTTGGAGTCGACGTGACACTCGAGATTCGCAGTTCCATTTACCTCGACCTTCAGAGGGTTTTCGGGGCCCACGGTGACCCGAGGAAAGTAGTTGACGTCGAGAGTTATCGTGGCGTTCAACGTTTCACCGTCGCGCATAGCTCGATTCCTCACCACGCAACGAAAAGTCGCTCTGTCGTCCTCTTTCTTCGGCTCGACCGACAACGTCCTACCAGAGTGAAGAACAGACGTTTCGTTGCCTCGGTACCATCTGACTTCTGGCTCGGGGCTGCCACCGTTTGTATTGCACTGTAATTCGAGTTTCTGACCCTCGGTTGCAGACGCGGAGGTCGGCGAGATGGTCGGTGGCCCCGGCGCTCTGAGCACGGTCAAAGTGATGAATTTCCGATGCAGGTCGTGCCCCGTGCCGCTCGCTTTCACACGGCATTCGTATTTGCCGTTGTCTCTCTCGTACGAGACGTTTCTTATCTGAAGATCGTATCGACCTTCCTCCAGGTTCATGAACACCTTATACTGAGGTGATAACGCGAGATTGTCGATCGCCGCGTTATCGTGATTGTCGTTGGTGTGCGTCAACCAGAAACACGTTACGTTCTCCCTTGGCGGGGAGAAACGGCACTGCAGCTGTACCGTCGACCCCTCGTGCGTGTCCATCTGCGTCTCTTCGACGCGACCCTGCGCCGCTGCTGAAACACATCGAAATGAACCATATCGTTAGAACTGGCGCTTCTATATTTCGTCTCATCGCTAGACGCTTGTTTTTTTTTTTCATCGCGTTGTATGCATATATTTGCTATAGTCCGTTATATGCTAATATTCCACGTTGCACGATTTATACGATTCGATTTTGGTTGGCCAAAGCATACGCGGCAATCGTTCTGCAATTTTAGCTGTCGCTTATGTGTGTATATATATACATATATATGTTCACATATATGTACATATATAATGTTTACATACTGGGAAACGATAGACGCGACGGCCAAACGATCCGTCGATCCTGCCTCATCATTGGGTCGTGTAACGGTAAAGTCACCGGTTTGACTTCTCGCTGATATCGCGAGACTTCTCTTTCTTCTTCCTTCCTTTCTCCTCGTTCACGACTTTAACCCCACCAACCTAGCTCTTTCGTTCCCTCGTTCGTTCGTTTCGTTCGTTCGTTCGTTCGTTCGTTCGTTCCAAAGGAATCGTCCCCCTTCCTCCTCTACCCACTTTAACCGTGCCATCTTGCGTCTCTTTTCAACATTCCTCCCTCACCTTTACGTGTCCCGTCCAGTTCCCTCTCGCCGCTCAGCCCATCTTTTCTCTACCTATGCACGAGTCTATATTTACGTCTGCTTGTCTCTCTATAAATCCATCCGCGCCGTTCTATCTCCCTTCGTTGCCTCTATTCCCCATCTTAGCTATTCATCGACCCGTCATAGTTTACGTTTTCCCTGCCAACCCTCCCCGCGTTTCTCGCCATGACTTGTTTACTTTTCGATAGCACCGTTTTCTTGCTCGCGTGCCATCGGGTAGACGTTCGATTTCTTCTATCGGGACACTGGCTAATACGTGTACGTGTTTTCATATCTTTACGAGCACGCGTGGAACGTACTCGAGCGTGTATATTCGGCATATCATCGAAAAATCGATCGAAACGCCGTTGTCGAATGAATCGTAACGAGCTGCTATCGGTACGTCAACGGTTACCAGACATATGTAGGTATATTATACTGCACGGTGAAGAAGTAGCTGCGAGGCGAACAGTGGCGTTAACGTGCTGCTCGTATACATGGAGACACCTGTGGCGGCAACTCGGCTACGTCACGAAGCCTAATATCATCGCTCGGTATTTCTCCAGCGGGAAGCTGCCTAAGCGAATCGCATTCTGCATACTCGACGAATTTACCACGAGTCCACTGTCCACGCAGCTTCGTCAAATTTGCCTTTACGGTGTGAAATACGAATAAATACAGAGGTCTATTCATAAAAAAGATTCAACACATCGTGTTTTTCGTTACTTTCACGAACGAACTCGTACGTTGACGAATAATAACCAGGTAACATGCTAGACACGATACTATTGTTTGCAACTGTTGAGCAACAAATCCTATGTTTGTACATAAGCGCAACTATTCGTCAACATCTTATCACAGTGGACGTGACATTAGAGCTGATTCTATAATATGATCTATAAAACAATGCCGTATTAATAATCTCTTGCGCTGGCAACTGGTTCGCGGACCATAACGAGTGACCGAACCGTATATAATAATTCGTCGCTTTCCTTTTCTTTCGAACTCGTCGGTATATTACTGGACAGAAATGATTAAGAAGTAATAAACTTATCATTTGTTTTGCCTGGGTTACATTTAAATATTACTTAAAACTGAGAAAATGTTGCAATCTGAGACAAAAAATTCTCGACGTGCGTGGCACGTCATTCCAGCGCAAGAGGTTAACCGTTTGTCTTCCGTTATTTTTTGGCGCAAATTTTTGCTATTTATTACTCTATGTATCAATGTTTGAAATTCTCTAAAAAAAAAAAAAAAAAAAAAGAAATAGAAGCCTAATCCATGGCCAATTATCGAATCACAGCGTATTTGGATTTATGCTTGAGGATTAAAATCGCGCGCAAAGTTTTCATTGGTCGGAGGAGGCGAAAGGAGGCCTTCTCGGCCTCGAGCGCGGCCCAGAACGGGTTTTTAAAAGGACGCGCAACGAAACTCGTTGCAAACTACGACATACCGACACTGTACGTCGCGAGAGTCGCGACGCCATGCAAGAGTACTCGTTTTAAGCGTTTTCTTCATCGAACAAAAAATTGTTTCGTCATCCACGATGACACGTTGAATGCGGCCTTCTTTCTTTTTTTTCTTTTTGTTTTTTCCTCAACGAAGAGAAATTAGACTCGACAAGCTTTTCGGCCTACGAACTTTCTGTCTCCGAGGACATATACTCACCAGGATGCAGAAGCAGCAAGGTAACGGCGACAATCGTCATGGTGCTTGGCACTCGGATCCTATCCATTCTGTCGGTAAAATGAATTCCACGAACGGAACGGAACGACGAGAGACACAAATTGAGCGGCTCCATTCGAGCTGGAGGACAGAGTTTCGTGTTGCAGCGGCGACTTTCACCCAGAATCGACAACAGTGCGCGAGTTTTGCCAGCATGCGGCATCGGTGATCGTATCGATCTCCTCGATCGCGTTGGTCAAACAACCATCAAACAACCCACTGCACGCATAACTCGATGTTTGTTCTATTCGATCACTCGTTTCACTCTTGCACTTCCTTTCCGCACTGTTTCTCTCGCCCTTCGTCGAAATCGTTAAAACAAAAACGACGACAAGCTTCATCGGTCGCGATTCTTCCCAGACGATCGCGACCTCTTCGTGTGCGATCGATGTTTCCAAACGAGCTACGACTACCTGGACAGTAGATCCACGCGAATTGTTTCACGATCCACTGACTCAAGCGAGTATCCTCCCATCGTCTCGTATCTCCGACGCTTGAACGCACGGCGGTTTCTTAGTCGAGGCTGTATTTCTCAACAGTGGCACGATCGTTGCAGCAGGTTCGCCAAGAACGGCGAGGCTCGCACGGTGATTCCCATCGCGAGCATCCGTCTGTTCGCGAAACAGACGAAATAGGAAGGTTTGCGCGCGATTTCAAAACGCCACGTTGCAACCGTCCGGCCTTAAGGCATTCCTTTGTTCCGCCGGTGAGACTCGCAGGTATTGCATGCAGGTTTTTCGCGCACTGACTTCGGTATCGCCTCGGTATCTCCGTTCAACCGCTCCAATCTGGGATACTCGATCCTCTGCCTGTGTACTTTGTTCTTCTGTTTCGCACTTTCCCTGGTCGTTTTCGCGAGACGGTCGGTCGATGCAAAAATAGCGAGGGACGAGAAAAGGAGGGAAACCGGACGAAAATAAATCGAAAAATATGTCAAGATAGGGAAAGTTTACGACGAAGAGAATGTAGAACTTGTACAACATAAAGGAAAAGAATATCGTTCAGTCTTGGATGTTACGATACTTGGAGTAAGAACACTACACTGGTAATGTATCCAAAGGGACAACATTAAAAAATTCCAATAGCGATGAACGTTAACACAAACACACTGAACGAGGGTCGCGCGACGACTGAGCTTGGGGTCGCGTACCATCGGCGCTACCCCCCACCGGTCGTCTTCTCCCCGTACGCCGCGTCTCCCACTACAGTTTGGTGCGCGCGTAGCGCAGCGCGCAACGTACAACCGGTCGGCTACGAACTACGATGCACGGCCGTCGTTCTTTCATATGTATATGTATGTACGTATACGACAATGGTGTCGGCGCGGTGGCAATGATGGTAATGGTGGTGGTGACGATGATGCTGGCGATGGTAGCGATGGTGGCAGCGACTGGACGGAAGACGAACGACGAGCGACGAACGAACGCGTTTGACAAGGATGGAGAAAAGTAGCAGCGTTGAAGAAAGAAAGAAGGAGAGTGAGAAAGAGTGAGAGAGAGAGAGAGAGGGAAGAACGGGGAGAAAAAAAAAGAAAGGAAACGCGTAGGGTATGGTATGATGAAGACGAGGTAGAAGAGGGTAAAACCGTTGAGGGGGAGAGAAAGGATAGTGGTTAGAAAAGATAAAACGCGCGAGAATAGCTTGCCCCCACCGACCTATGCGGCAGGTGGTTCTTACCGCCGTGGGCTAGGCCCATGGGACTACCAAACTTTCGCGCGGTCGTCTGTCGTCGAGCTTCTTCATCGGCAAACTTGTTATCGACCCCCGTGCAATTTTTTTCCTCTTCTGAAAGAACCACTAAGAACAACGTTCAAAGACTGAAGAATTTAACGAAGATAAACGTACTATCTACGGATCAGTTTCGCGGCTGCATTTTACAAGAATTTTAGCGAGAGGGTACGTTTAAAAAGTTGGCCGAGAGAAGGCTTCCCTCGATCTTTCGCTTGCGACCGATGGTTTTTCGACGGTCGAAGGACACCTCAGTGCAGCAGGTGTCCGTTTCTCGACGATCGCGCCCTTCCGCTCCATCCATTTCGTTACCTGCCTCCTACTTTCGGCCAGCTGCTCGTTTCAACTCCGGGAATTCTCTATTTTTCTAGAAATAAATATTCCCATCGTTGAAGATACACGCGGGCTCGCGTTTGCCAACTCTGCGTGCACACGTTCATTTAGATAGAAACCGTGAGAGAAGAACAGAACGCGGTCGATGTGGAAGGCGCGTGGAGGGTGAAAAAGTGCACGACATGAAATCGAAGACGGGTCTCGAGGACGAAAGACGGGTCCCGAAGGAAGCAGGTCTCGAGCTCGGTTGGAAGGTGGCTAACTCAATCGAGGGGAAACGTTGGTCGCTCGTTGATCGGTTCTTGGAAAAATCGACCAAGCACTATTGGCAGACGACCAGGGCAAAGTTTGCGCGCAGAACGTGTTGGAAATGCGCTTAATTAAATGGTAACGATTCTCGTTCGCGGCCCGTTAACGAACCTTCCATCCCGCGACACCGAGAGAAACGGTCAGCGGGATAAGCCCAGCAAAATCGTCGAAATAATTGCGGCCACGATAATTGCGCCTCGATTCGAGTGAATCCTGGTGGCCCGCGTCAGCCCCGCGTCCTTTCCAACTTTTGACCCATCGATTAAAAGCGCGTGATTAAACGCTGTGCCATTTCCAGCACGCTACAAACGTCTCGAGCATCTTTGTCGGTGATATTCTATCCGATCGTTCCTTTTATCGATGCTCGTAAAAATGGATGTTCGATCGTCTTAAATCTCTAGCAGAATTGAAACGACGGGATCGTGAGATATCGCGTACGCGAGACTCGTTCGGTTCAAGATATAAGCAAGGTTAACGGAGACTCAGGTTCAGAGAGGAGGAGGAAAAATCAAATAACGACGCTGAAGCATGTTGCCGAAGCAGTCTCCTGTAGCCGCCGCGGCCAGTCACGCGAACCATTAAAGATTCAAAGGCCCGAGGGCAAGCAGATGGTCCCCGAACTGAGAAACGAGAATCGTGGAGAGATCTCTGTCGAGAAGCAACAGCCTGGACTCGGACTCGGACCCGAAAGCGGCAGCCGGGGAATTACTAGGAAGCGGCAACACCGCTGGGCCGCGGTTACGTCCTACAGTCGTGCCGGTGACCGAGAGCTCCGGCTGGCCCCTTCTTCGCCTCTTGTGCCCTCTGCGCCACACGCTTCTCTTGAATCTCGCCAGCTTCTTTTCTACGCTTATGTTCGACGGCGAGAACCTCTCTTTCTCCTCTCCCTCCCTCCATCCTTCCACCCTCTGCCAAGTCCTCCTCGTTTTCTTTTTCTTCCTCCACCTCTTCTTACCCCTTCTCTTCTTTTTCACCTTTCAAAGCCACTCTCTCCCTCTCTGGCTCTCTCTGTCGCGTTTTACCTGACGCTCTTCTGGCTCACTGTGCTCGCCCACCTCCTCTATCTTCCAAACGTCCGACAACGTCGCCTCCGCGATCTCGCAACACCGTCGGGGCCTCTGCCAGAGAGCTGGCAACCTCGCTCCATTGGGCCCCGATACCACGAGTCTCAGACCCAGCAATACCTCTCCGCTCTCTGCTCGACTTTCTTACCGTTACCGTTCTAGCACATGTATTATCGGCGCCAGCCTTTGTTTCGCAATCAAGCTCGATCGACTCTCTAGCTGCGCCCGTAGACGTTGTCCGAATCCACGATGACACGTGGTCCGTTTCGTATGACGCTGGACTTTGATGATACGACATATATAATGATACGTAGTTCGATCGATTCCAGAGGTCTTCTTGACGCTTCGATAAGGAGTATGTATCTCGCGTGACCCGTTGATCAATAACGTTCGAACGTAATTGTAGAAACGGACCATTTCTGCTCAACCGTTTCATAAATCATAGCACTCGAGCATATTTTAGAACATTTTCGTTCTCCTTCTCGTTTCGCAAGTTCGCTATTTACATCGCGCTAACGCTTCTCTATTATTCTTCACTTCAAACGACGCTTCGACTGTCTATTGAATTCTTTCAGGGTCTAATTGATGCCTAGGTTACCGAGTCTATTCATTCCCGAGTCTATTCGTGAGAAAGAGTATCCTAAGCGAACTCAGAGAAAGCTTGCCGCAAATCTCGTATAATAAGATAAATATCCATTCGTAGAAATATTCACCACGATATTCACCAAGGTAATGCCACTCCTTTGTTCCATCTCTACAATAAAATAGACCTCGGTTCGGGCGCTAAAACCGGTCAGCCTTACAGTGCTGGAGTTCTCCTGTGGTTCGAACGCGTCATAGAGACAACACGTAACCCCAAAGGTATCTTCCTGTGAAGAAATACACTTTCCTGTAAGAGAAATATAGAATGTGTCTACCCACGTGCGTAGATATGACTATCGCCTAGTCGCTTTCCCTGAATGTGCTACTGTTCCCGCCTTTCGTTGACCTTGGAATTCCTGATTCTCGAGCGACATGCGCGTTCATCACCGACACGGGTAGCCGCTCTTTCATTCTCTCTCTCTCTCTCTTTCTCTCTTTCTCTCTGCTCGAACAAATAAGAGGTTTGCAACATCGCCGGAATTTACACGACGCGGCGGACACGCGAGGTCGTGCGTAAGACGCGTATACCGCTAGGTCGATACCGATATCGGGTAGATCCGTTTCACAGCCGTGAACGTGGACGTAGTGTGTAAGTATTGCGAAACGGTCGGTGTCCCGGTTCAGGCGTCGGCGAAAAAGAAAAACTAGGGCACTACAAGACGTTATCCACGACGGGTGGCGCGAGAGAGAAGGGGCTGAGTAAAACCGCATGGCCCCGAGAAGAACCGTGTGTAACAAGAGGTTCTTTCATTTTGTGGCCGTAGAAACGGCGGTCGGATCGGCGAGAAAAACTCTGTCTCTCTCTCTTGTCGAGTCGAGACAGAGGCGAAGAGAGCGCTTATCACGCGTACACCGTCAAGAGCATTTCTGGAGTCCGTCTTGGTGAACGGGCGTCGCAAACTGTGCGCTGTTCAACGTGGCGTTAAGCGACGAACGGGCCGAGGGCGGGAAAAAAAAAAAAAAAAAAAAAATGGAACGCGCGGCGAACGCGTCAGAAGTGTGATACATAATGCGGAGCGGCGGCTGTGTCTATTCGCGCATCAGCCGCAGTCGAAACTGTTGTTTACGAAATGAAAAAGAAATGTAAACGAAGGCTAGAGAACGGAAGGGAAGGTGAGCAGACGCGAGGCCGATAAGAAAAAACATGCGCTACCTCGTTAAAACATATCTAAAGACCGGATACCGCTGTTACTATGATGTTTTGTTTCTCAGTAGGAATAACAGTGGCTGCTCGTTTTCGAAACGAAAACCACGCGAATTGCCAGCTCTGGCTACCGCCTATATTTGTAGACGAATCGTGGCGGATCCCGAGGGCAACCGGAGGGCCACGGACGACCGCGGAGCGAAAGCAACCGGCCAACCGAACCAACAGACGCACGGCAAGGAACCCCGAACCGACTAGAACGACAGACGAGGATGGAAAGATCTCTCGGGTTCAACGTTTCCTAAGAGAAGATCGAAGCTAAATTTAACCCTGTTCGCGCATGGTACGCCAGATACCAGAACAGCTTCTATACCGAACATCGTCGAAATTTCCTTTGATTGGTTTTGCTCGATCGATGTTGTTCGTATATAGACTCGATACCCGTAGGCGATACAAAAACGAAATTGAGCAATGTACTGGCACGAGACACGTCTCGCTACGACGAGGTCACGATGCTCTGCTATGGGGGAAAGAAGGTCGCGTTTCCGCGAGAAGACACCACGCGACGACCTACTCTACTCTCGTGGCCAAATAAAACGATCTCAAGAATGCTCCCAGAGAGATAAAGAAATAAGAGATGGAAAAAGAGAATGTGTGTGTGTGTGTGTGTGAGAGAAAGAGAGGGAGAGACACATTCTGTTCATTAGGAAAACAGCCAACAAGATCCGAGATCGAGAACGAGGAAGAAGAACATAAGGGCGACCTTTCGATAAGAAAGCAATTAAGAGGTGTCGAGTGATCGACTTGAGAAAAAAAAAATCTATCTCTCCTCTCGTCTATGTAGCGAAGAGTCAAAGTCTGGCCGTGTTACGCTAGAGTGATAACAGCGACCCGCGATAAGGGGCTCCTTACGCTTCCCGTTATCATTCGCTGCATTTCCCGCCTCATTTATCTTTTCACGATTGCTTCTCTCTATAACGTCTCCCGTTTCTTCGATCTCGCCTCCCGGTCTCGTCGAGACTTTCGTCAAACGCGCGACGACACTGCGAGACAATACGCAGCCATATCTCACCCTCTGGTAAAACAACCTACTCGCTCGCTTACGTGCATACGTTCTCCGAGTGTACGCGTACGCGTACGCCGGAGGAGCCGACGTTGCCTCCCAACAACGAAAGACCGTGGGATACGTTGGAGCCGCGTATCACGTGTCCCTGGTGTGCGTTTCTACGCACAACACGCATCGCGTACAAGCCGCTGTATAAGTAATGTAAGTACGTAGCGCGCGTATCTCCACGCTGCTGCGTGCCTACGTGCCTGCGTGGCTGCGTGCTTAGAGAGCCTGCTGCTCTCCGATGCTTTCCTTTGTGTCCCCTTCACGGTGTGTTTTTTTTTTCTCCTCGATGGAGAGTGGTCGAACGTGACCGAGCGACCTAAACGTTCTCTACGTCGGGGCCGATGATGGCTGTCGGCGGTACGTCGTTGTTTTGACGGACTGCTAGAAAAGTTAACGAGCTCTGGCTGCATTCACGAGTGTAACGAATTCGAGTTTCCCCCTCGATGAACGGTAGAAACAACAAATAAGCTAGGACAATCGAGGCTGGGAAAAATTCAGGCCGTTTCCGCGTTCGGATATTTATACGGTCGAAACGTATCGATTCACTTTGCTCGATTGTTTTTATCGTTGTTGCTGTTATTATCATTATTGTCGTTATTATCGCTATTGTTGTTGTTATCATTATTATCATTAGAGACAGGAAAAGTATCGCAATTAGCGTTAGCGTAGCAAAGGCAAGTTACTCCGTCGCGCCTTATATACGCGAAATGATGAT